GAAGAAAAACAACCTGCAGCCGCCTCCCCCAAATCCGACGCAAGTTCCACTTCACCACGTAAAGATGATGTGGCAGACGAATTAGCACCTGGCGCTGAAAATCGCAGGAGATTGCGTGGTAAACTCCCGCATTACCTAGCCATGAAACTCCCAAACGACGATGATGAAGAGATCTATCCAAAAGTGGCTAAAGAAGTAAAGTGGTTTTTATCCTTATCCCCTTTTAACAGAGCCCTCATGCAAAACTTCTACGATGGGATGTTAACCTTTTGATTATAAAAAGCAATCCTGCCACACCCATGGACCTCAGGTTAGAATTTTGGCTGAGAATGTTGACTAATACACGGTAGCTCGTAATAGGAATTACGGAAACTTACAGTAACGTGGCACTATGTCGAACAGTCTCCATATGCATCAAAATATCAACTATAAAGGTTTTCGATGACATCAACATGCCAATTTTCTCAGTAAATGATTGATGCTAACATTGGAATGTGGCAGTAGGCTGTAACCGAGGGTTCACTTATCGTTACTCCTAACACTGGATGCGTTAGACATTCGATTGGAATGGCGACCATTTTATAGAAGCACATTACAATTATCTAGGTATTTCACGGGAGCTCATCTGGTGGCATGTGGTACCTTATATCCTTAATAAGGAAACTTATATTAATTAATTTTTTTGAACTACATTATTTTGAATATTCCATAATCGAAGTGTAGAGGCTGAATAGGTCTTGCACTCTACGAATTAAATAATATATACGACATAACGTGTCACCTTCGCAATATCATTTGCATTATATATTGCTTATGTTATTAATGTAGCTCTTGATTGTGTAGATTGCCATAATTGGATACATCTTTGTAATAACGATCCTTTCATACGCTCTTGATATATTAAAGCAGATTCACACGGGTTTCTCGGTTTTTAACAGAATTTGTTATTCATTGGCAGATTATAGAGCAAGTTGTAGATTATATATTTTGTGACAGATGGTGTAGAATCACGTCGTTACAATAATCACATCACACAGCGATATACAGATTGTTTTAATGTAACACGGTCCATATATTTGATCTTTGCACCGTAGTAAGGCCTGCTGTGGCTTTATTGCCGCGGTTCTGTTCAAGTGGAATTGCGTTCTGGAGGCCAAGCTAGTTATTAATAATAAAATGCGGTCACTCATAAAAATCAAGAATACGACACTCTTTCTAGGGCTTTTCATTTGAAACTGATTTATATCTAAAGAAATGGTAAGATACGGCCTTTTATACGACGTATTGATGTGAAAGAGAGGAAAATCTCCTTATGAGCTGTGACATCCCAAAGGTTTATTGACGATTTGTCTATTGTAGCCGCATCGAATTAATATTTTATACGAATAAATGATATAAACTAAGTAAAATCATAGCAATTCTCACAGGTATAATTGAAGTGAGATGTGCAGCTGTGATTTTCATTTCTAGGCGTAAAACATGAGGAATAAGCGATTTAATAAATAATTCAAATTTGAATTTGAACAGAGAATCATTAATGTTTACGTTGTTACACATAGTTTACAATATTTGGAAAATGGTATTTATTTGTTGGCAGGCGGGACTCGCAATTTGTGCACTGGCCGTTATAAAATACATCTCTAAAATATATGCTGTTAAGCTGGATATCAATAAAACAGAGTTTCCTCCATACATATAAACATTCGAAGGAACTTTTAGCGATGGAGGTATTTATAGGATGTTTCACTCCAACGCTGCGCCAATTGATGTGGTCACATACGGGAATCGGATCTTGAATTATAAAAAATACTGTAACTACCGTGTAAGCGATGTCTATATACAAACATATCGACGTGGTCATCGTTCAATCATTTCTATCACTCGCTTTATCTTGGGAGGTCGTACATATTTACATACAACCTATTATGATATAGTCAGTAACAAATGCACTTATACAACACGTAAAATAAAAGAGCTTTTCGTAGCGGGTGCAATATCATTACGGCTTGATGTTGATTCAGAAAAGTTCCATCCATTCATAGACGCCGCAAGATCACACGGAGGCTGGCAAGGTAAAACGTGGTCGATTAGTCATTATTCACGGAGATCCGAGGATGGACCTATTGTACATCGCATAAGTTACCGTTTAGAAAGATTTCTTATATCACCTATTGTAAATATAGATAAACAATTCCGTGATACAAATCATCCACCACCGTCACTCAGTGCCTGTAGTACCAAGGTCAGTATTGGGATGGGTAGAGACTGGGCGCTAATGTGGATCAAACATGGGTGTACTTGCTCGAAATTCATGTATTCGATACCACCAGTTGAGGAGGGGAAATTCAAACCGAAACCTATCCTGGAGTCTCCATATAATTTTATATCAGATGTGAAACGTTATAATACTGCGAGGCACAAAATCGTGGCCATAGATATCTCTAGCACGTTCACCAGCGTCCCAGATATTGTCATTCTAGCCAACCTAAAAAGGGGAGATTGGCTGTACACGCAACACAGCTTTGTACCCATAATGGACCAGAACTTTGTATTAGTCAAGGTTGTAAATTCGGAGAAGCGCTGCGAGATATACGAAACAGATGATGAAACATTCGTGACGCACGTCGAAGTATTCGATCATGTCAAAAGCGACTCGCAATACGTGGTGGTAAACATCGCCACGCCATCTAAAACTGCAAGGCTGGGCGAACCTCGATTTGAAAAAAACAAAAGGGTCTACAAACCCATTGTCTTCGGAGAAATCTTGAGGTACGTTGAACTCGCCAATATATGGGTGGATCCGTATCTAGACATGCTCTATAACATCCCAATAGGGCCTGGCGCTGATAAACAAGATGCACGTGAGATAATGGTGGACACGCTTTTAATGTGACTTGACCATAGCGAGTTCATATTTCACCGATGTGATATACTCTATATGTATCTAATTCAGTTACCATCTCATCCTTCAATATCATCATTGACATAATATTTTCAACCGATAACGTATACTAAGCGGTATTTTTAAGAGCTAAGACAATGACGCTCTGGCCCACTACATTTGTACGGCTGGAACATTATTTAGCCGATGCGATTAAATAAGCCTAACACTGTCATCTTGTAATGTTTTCAGGGTGCATTTCATGGCACATATTTCTGCTGTCGAATTTTGTGTCTTCCGTTCCAATATGTCATATTCGTTGAAGGTGTGGAGACCGACTGTTTGAGACATGAGACTTTGATTGTGTTTTCAATTAGGCAGATGTGATATAGGCACAGTCTACAATTGTGGCATCTCATTCGGGTGATACGGGGCTTGATTTACATGATTTTGCGTTAATCTAACACGAATGATGTATCTGTATTGTTGAATTATGCAGATGTTGCACCACCTCAACAGTATGAAAATAACATTAGATATCCTAGACTATATTATTGTAGAATCTGATGAGTTATCATCTTAATGATAATATATTGAAATTTTGTGCTATCATATTTGGTTTATGTACTCCCCCCTGGATGGATTCTAGCAGAATCACACGGGACAGTATGTTCTACATATCTCGATATTTTGTGACATGAACCCCCTAATAGTTATCAAACAACATAAAGCGTATGGAAGGCAACACATCTTAGTGAAACAGTTATATTATATTGGAAATCTCATCTCCTGTCACTGGGTCAGGCAACCTTCTTGACCACCTAGCTATTCTTAGGCCCAGGTGTATATGCTGCAGACTATATTATTGTAGAATGTGATTATAGAACATTCCAGTGATAATATATTGAAATTTTGTGTTTTCATATTTGATTTATGTACTTCCCCCTGGATGGGAGATGGGAGATGGGAGATGGGAGGGGGCGGGTGGTAAAGGTGAAATCGGAATGTTAGAAGAGGAGCATGGCACACCACTAAATACCAATCGTGTATAATAATACGACGTGTTGCTGTTCATAGCATTAGGTTGGGCATTGGAACAATACCATAGCTATCAATTATATAAACTGAGGCAAAGGGTTTCCAATGTGATATCCATCGTTATAATAATAGATCACATTTACTTATCACCTCATTAGATGTTTACATAATACAGGTTACGACTAGACGTCACCCCAAATAATTGTTGTTATTACTACTGTGTTATTACAATAAATAGAATTAGGTATTGGTTCCAAAGATGTGAAAGCTAACCCAAGCAGGTAGCAGCACTCAAGTTTTTGGACAAAAACCATATGCCCATTACTGCCAGTTATCTGAAAAATTGCTGCTGTGTGCAGTGTATTATGCAGTTAATTCCTTAGGGGTTGATTCCTCAGGGGTTGATTCCTCAGGGGTTGATTCCTTAGGGGATGAGTCAGAAGATGCTCCACCGGCCCCGATACCATAAATGACTTTCTTACCCATTTTTTCAAGTTCTTTACCCAAGTCGTCCCAGTCCCTCGTAGCACCATCTTCCCCCGAGAAGAAGAATGCAAGGGAGTTGCCAGATATCTTTTTGGCAAGGTAGAGGCTAATTTTACCAGCCAATTCGGATGGGATCTCTTCATCGTCACTTTCCGGCAGTTGTTTGGCTAGGTTTTCGGGGAGTTCTTCGCGAAGTTCTTTGCGAAGTGCCCTCGCAGCTTCCGGGTCTACTTTCTCTTCAGGCATACCATTCGGCATAGCACTGGGTTCGGGTTGGGTCCCAGATCCCTCTCCTAAAACTGTAACAGTGAGAAGTTGAGCAACACCCAGAAAGGCAATCAAGAATTTAGAAAACTTCAATCCTGCCATCTTGAAAAGACGTTTGTTTGTATTTCAATAAGTCGGCGGAATTTATTGATGTGACGCTCTTGAAATAAAAGGTGTCACTAAATATTGATTTGGTGGCACGTAATATGATACTATACCAGGTGATGTTCTGAAATAATGCTGAAGGTGGGTTAGAGAGAAAAAGTATTGTGATGATATTTCCGAGGCCAATTAAGCCTCACATGGCTCCGTTTTCCACCCAATATTCCACGATCGTATAAATCTTTAGAGCCCAAAACAACTACATGCATGTTATTGTATGTAATTGTCTCTACAATCTGGAGTTATAGGAAATATATTAGCAGTTTAGGTTTGATTTTATTGCCAACCATAAATTGAATTAGACGCCAGACATGGCCCGGTTAGCTACCGTTGCAGCTCCCAACCCTTGTCTAATACGTTAACAATAAATATTATACCGAATTATAGACGTTTTTTAGATTTCTCAGGTGAATGCCGAATTTGTCACAATTTCTTTCAATACGTAAGAATGGCATACTTTGTTCCCCTTCAATCCACTTCTGCCACTGGTTACATCTTATAACTATGCCGACTATATGCTCTGGTGTACAACCACCGACGTTGTAGTACTATGTGTTATCTCCACGTAGAACGTACACGTTGTCGCCTTTTGTAACGGAACAAACAAGAAGTTGCTCTACATCCTACGTTCACATCGATAATTTAAGCTGTCTTTGATCGCCACTATACCATTGCAGTATCATCATACGGCAAAGATAATTTATCAATCTCCATGACAATAACATTGATATTGTTTATAGCCCGAAAATGGTTTGCAATTTTTGAAATTGAAGAAGCTGAAGAGACCGAGGTAAGAGGGTACCATTAAAAATCACTTTCATTGCATACTACGAAAATGAATGCTACACTAGTCATCAGCTATTACAGTCTCAAGCTGTTCTATTCTCTTTTATTGTTAATATATGGACACAAGCATTTTAATGGAGATATCTGTGAAGTGTTCTACCAACCTCACCGAAAAAAATTTAATACAACAGTTGTACACTATATTATTTTAGAAGCCTGCCACAATGTACAGTACGGTGCATCACTTTTTTGTCAGATAACACCAAGGGCATAATATCTCCCCAGGGTGGATTGTTACATGACAACTATATTGGAAACTGGTAACATTGAAAAACCACGTTCCAAATAGCATATTTTGATATTACTTATACAAAATAGGCCCCAGTGTTTTTTTTTTCAGCAACTACAATATGAAAAATTTGATTTTATTACAGCAACCCTTTATTTCTAGTTAGCTTGGGTAAAAGTATTTTAGTTTACCTTTCGTTCCACCGATGTTTTCGTTTTGATGGAGACCGTCGGTCCCTCGATCTATGGCGGCGACGGCGATCATGGCTGCGATCACGGGATCTTCGATGATAATTCGAAGATTTACGTCGATTTATATCGTAATCGGCCGAATCGTGGTCTTGCTTAGTGCCCTCTGTTTGCGCGGGTACACTAACACTTACGTTTGCTCCATCATTGAATGCCTTGCTCTCGTTGCCCGGTGTCAGAAGCTTACGTAGAGACTCTACATCATTTGGCCTGGCCTTGAGAAGCATCAAACGCTTTGGTTTTGCACCACTGATTGTGGATTATATGTTGTATCAGCGAACCTACATCATCTCCAGCATTAGCTCATCCTCATAAAGTTTTATTAATCGTAGTTCATCGGCGGCATCGGCATCACTGGTCTTGGCATTATCCTTCAAGTACCAATCATGTTTGTAGAAATGATTCTTGTATTTAGTCATGCCGATCTTTACACTATGACCTGAAAAAATTGAGAGAAAAAAAGGACACCTTACCCAAATAGTGCTCACGTTCCTTCGTCCCATAGTTCTTCACTTCATCCCACTTGAACTGTTCGCGACCTCCTCGAACGCCTTCTCTCGGCGGACTTAATCGGATGTCCATCTTACCAGATTGGATAAGTCAATGCGATTGATACTACAAAGCCATGATGGAGGCCCATTACCTTGTTATTATATGTAAAAATATATAGCACTTTTGGACTTTCAGATAGAGTATTAAACTGCACTCATATAAACGGAAACCACTAGCTACACCAGCAAACCTAAAAGAGGTCACACATCTCTGCTTTGCTCGTCAATAGACAGTAACGTATTAATGCGTATTTTTAATTATTAGTTTACGATTAAGAGTTAGTAGAAGGTGAGTTGTGTCCGCGCGGATCACTCCTTGGATCCTTCGAGGGCGTTGGACAGTATGTACGCGCCGCTCTCGTCTGGGCGGTAGACAAAACTCTCACCATCGCACGACACCACCAAACGATCGTTGTTGAAAGAGACAGAAACCTGCACAGATAAACGGGGAAGACGAATGCGTTGCGACTCAGACCACTCAGGAGCACGACCGAACAAAAACACATCAGAACATGTAGCAACGGCCAAACTAGAACCGCTCTTGTTCCAACACAAACATCTCACGTGCGGCAGACACTTAGAGTCACGTTCCAAGCTCAAAGTCTTCAACAAATGAAACTTGCGTTCAACCAACTCCCAAATCTTAACGCAACCATCAGTACCACCTGTGGCAAGCAGACAAGGGCGACCGTTACTGGAACTGTCTAAACAACCCTCCCCAACAGCAAATGATAAACTGCTTACTCCGCCATAGTGTCCCTGGAACTGGACAGTTTCGAACGAGCCCTCGCTAAATATGACACTAACGCTACCACCAGGGGAGCCTACAGCACACAATAACTCACCGTTAGGGGAAACACCCACACTCATACAACTTATAGATTTCTGAACATCCGGCTTCTCGTGGTACAATGACAATTGACACCCAGGACTGGAAGACGGGTGCCTGTAGTAACAAACAGAATTGTCACTCATTACAACGACCAAAAGACGCCCGAATTTAGGGGGAGCCCATGACAACAAAACGGGGTCGCAACGAGTGCTGATGCTGCTCACTACTCTCAAACTTGCAGAATCATCCGGAGAGCCGTCCTTTTCCAAAACCACGATCTCAGGACCGCTTTGCGATCGACAGCCAGCCACTAGGTATTTGCAGTAATAGTCATACTGCAGATCCTGTAGCTGTACCTTTTTCTGTAGAGTGTGATTCAGATTCACAGAGAGCGAGCTGGCAACTGCGCTCATCCTGGCAAATGACCGTAGTATACAGAGAGACCACAAAATCAATATTAAAAGATTGCGACTATGCCACTGCGCGAAAAACGCAATTAAATAGGTGGCAAATATTTAATACACTTGGGAAAGGAACCTCAAGTATCAGGTAAATGAGCCCACAGACAAGGTGGGCGACTAGGGCCCTGCTGCATAAGCAATCAGGCACACACTTTTACAAAGTCGTCACAAATATTTTTGCATTATCTCATACTTGTTGAGCACGTGCCCAGGGTGTAGAAATCTTGGCGCGGAATGTGCAATGCCACAGGCCCCTCCAGGTAGGTGTCTCTCACCTACACATTGAACCTAAATAACACCCTCACCCCGCACACTTGTTTGTTAACATTTTGTTCAGGAATATGCCACCGTGAGGTGTACTCCGAATTGCTAGCGAGTGCGGGGCTGCTCTTTGAGAGACGGTACAAGGCACAACAATTGGCCGATATCTCCCAATTGCAACAGCGAGCAAAGGGTTATTTAGCGAGATCTCTGACCAATGTGGTGTTAAACCAGGGACATGACAATAATCAAGGTAGTCTAGAAGGCCGTTCGTCGAAATCCCCTAGTCCCCTGAACGCTGGGAAGGAAGACTATGATGAATGTACACCAGAGTCCATAGGACACGAGGCGTACGAAGAGGTGGAACCAACTTCAAACGAGTTCCACCGAATTGGTACTAGAGTACTGCTAGCCGTGACTGACCCAGAGAGACCGGAAAATATCGAGGAAGACGTGAAAGGAAGTAGATACCTTGAGGACACTAGCTCCGTTGGCGCCAGAATCGAAATTGTTCACAATTCAGATATAATTGAAGAGGCCGCATCAGATATACCTGGTGACGTACGTGTTAATATTGAAGGAGTCCCAGAGCTGGGTTATGACGAAGAGGGTGCGTCGCCTTTGCCAAACCGCAAACGTCTGAGGAATATTGGCCTCTGCTGTTTGGCAGTTCAGCTACTTGTCTCTGCATTACTCGTTGCGCTGTTATATTTATGTGTCCACCTTGAGTGGCTCAACAACGTCGACAAGTTGCATATCATTTACCCGTTTGTGGTCTATTTCAGCACAAGGGTCATAGTGCAGGGCATGTTTGATTGGTATATGAAAAGATATCTCCGATTGTTCACGATACCGACTACCGCCACCGCAGCCGTATCCCTTGGGCTCGACAGAACTCGATTGGTCAAGGCCATCGCTAACAACTTGTGCCTAGTTCTAGCAGTCGTTGCTGCTGCTCTGCCGCGGGAAATAATAAACCAACTACAGCCACGCAAGACACTCAACAACATATACTTCGCAAACATCGCAGCAATATTCACCATCAACGTTATAGCCACAATATACCAATATTATAGGATAGGGCGAGAAATGCGAAAGGTATCCCCGTAATTTGATAAGATGGTCTTTGTTGATTGTATTAATGCGGTTTCTCGTGGCCTCAAGGCTGGATTAACGAAACCTGTGGCCTCCATCGCAGGAAAACTTGTTCCGATAAATCATTTATCGAATACCTTGCCGCAGCTGGTACATTGGATCGTGGAAACACCCGTTGAAATGGAGTTGCGGCGTCGGGTCTACAAGGCGTATAAAAGGCGCGTTCTTTCACTACCATCTACAAAATCTCGAAGACGACATGCCCAGAGCCGCAGATGATTACAAGTGGAACTTTGTGAATATGATTGTTAAGAACATTCTACATAATATTTTTGATTCGGCAGGTTGTTGTGTATTCTCAGCTCTCTATAGTTGATATGCTGCCTTCAGTTACTGTAGACTAATGTATTATGGCCCATACAGCATGGACATGAAATCAAGTGTATTTTTTGTTCAATAACGATCCTGTAGTCGCATCAATGTCATTATATGGTTCGGTTGGAATCTGTCAGTTACTAGGTGGCCAGATGTAGTGAGTAACGGCGTCTCTGCTATAACCGCAGCGCACAGAGAGGTGCTGACGTTGTTGTGCTATCTAACAAATGGCCGACGCGTTCCATTGCGAATTTTCCACCTGACGAATCGTTATTGCAGGGATATTCGACGAGGGAACGGTACATACCGTCTATGGTACTCAGCCACCAAGGCTTTGCACATAAAGCAATTCAACAATTTCATTTTCTACGCCTAACGGATGATCAAAATCGATTATAATATAGTGGAATACTAAACATCAACTACTCGCATAGGTTTTTCTCCGGTGTAAAAGAAACGCAGACGACTCGCTTTGCTCCTGCATAAATGAGCTTCTTTGCTAGAGCAATTTTGCTCCTCACAAAGCAATTTACATCCACATAAAGTATAAAAGCATCTAACAATCATGCTGTTGCAATCAGTATTATATGTGAAATCACTGCTGTTATTACTTTTTCGCTAGCCACAAAAATGTGGCATACAAATTTTTTTAAAAATAAGGTCACTTATCATCCATAAGCCATACATTCGTCATTCTTAATTACGTATAAATTATAACTATTACAAAATGTCACATGGCTTATGGAATGCAAAGAAGCTCATTTATGCAGCAGCATTGATTATATCAATATGCCCGGTCCAAAGTATCATTCTGGATCTCAGCCAGCAAGAGTTCCCGCCTTTTATAGATATTTTTGTCGGAACCTTTAGGGATGGTGGTATTTATAGGATGTTTCATTCACACGGCCCCCGAGTCACCGTTGTCAAATATGGTGACCACATTTTGTCCGGTTCAAGACGTCATTCGTCAGTCCCTATAGATATATATGTTCAAGACTATAGGCATGAAGGTCGTCATATTATTTCAGTTAGTCGTTTCAACCCATTAAATTGGAAGTTGGTGCGAACAACTTTTTATGAAAAGGGTTCCACGAAATGCAAGATCATAAATCGTGAATTAAAGGATAAATTTGTAGGAGGCCATATGTCATTAACTTTAGATCTAGATGCAGATAAGGTTCATCCATACATCGTGCCAGCGATTAGTAAGAAAAAAGGAGATATGTGGTACCGCGTTGCACTAATATATTCTAATCGAGGGATGTACACAATAAATCACATGAGGTCCCCTAGAGAGCAAATCACGATCTCCCCTATTCTCAATGTAGACAGGGAATTCCGAGATAGCAACAGTCCCCCATCGTCTCTCAGTTGCCATTGCGCTAAAGTCTATATTTCGCCTGGAGGTAATGAAATGCGAATCTTTATCTATCATGAAAATCATATTGTGCCATATCTAACAAAGCTGCCTCCCATTGTGAATCATATTTTCAAGTCACAAAATATACTGAATTATCAGTGCAGATACGCTGTGAAGCGACGGGCGTCTACTTCGTTACAAACAATTAGCATAATTATAGATATCTCTAGCACGTTCACCAGCGTCCCAGATATTGTCATTCTAGCCAACCTAAAAAGGGGAGATTGGCTGTACACGCAACACAGCTTTCTACCCCTAAGCGACCAGAACGTTATATTAGTTAAAGTTGTGAATTCGGAGAAGCGCTGCGAGATATACGAAACAGATGATGAAACATTCGTGACGCACGTCGAAGTATTCGATCATGTCAAAAGCAGCACGCAATACGTGGTAGTAAACACCACCACGCCATCTAAAACTGCAGGGCTGGGTGAACCTCGATTTGAAAAAAACAAAAGGGTCTACAAACGCACCTACGGGGAGGAAGGTGTGGTCTATTTTGATATTAACCAAGTCTGGCTGGAGCCGTATCTAGACATGCTCTATAACATCCCAATAGGGCCTGGCGCTGATAAACAAGATGCACGTGAGATAATGGTGGACACGCTTTTAATGTGACTTGACCATAGCGAGTTCATATTTCACCGATGTGATATACTCTATATGTATCTAATTCAGTTACCATCTCGTCCTTCAATATCATCATTGACATAATATTTTCAACCGATAACGTATACTAAGCGGCATTTTTAAGAGCTAAGACAATGACGCTCTGGCCCACTACATTTGTACGGCTGGAACATTATTTAGCCGATGCGATTAAATAAGCCTAACACTGTCATCTTGTAATGTTTTCAGGGTGCATTTCATGGCACATATTTCTGCTGTCGAATTTTGTGTCTTCCGTTCCAATATGTCATATTCGTTGAAGGTGTAGAGACCGACTGTTTGAGACATGAAACCCTGTTCTGTTTTAAATTAGGCAGATGTGATATAGGCACAGTCTACAATTGTGGCATCTCATTCGGGTGATACGGGGCTTGATGTACATGATTTTGCGTTAATCTAACACGAATGATGTGTCTGTAGAGTTGAATTATGCAGATGTTGAACCACCTCAACAGTATGAAAATAATATTAGATATCATAGACTATATTATTGTGGAAGCTGATTAGTTATCATCTTAATGATAATATATTGAAACTTCGCGTTATCATATTTGCATTATGTACTTCCCCCTGGATGGATTCTAGCGGAGCCAGATGGGATACCATCTTCTAGTTATCTTGATATTTTTTGTGATATAAACCCCCTAAAAGTTATCAAACAACATCTATTGTATGTAATGCGTCACATCTTAGTGAAATAGTAATATTATATTGGAAAACTCATCTCTTGTCACTGGGTCAGGCAACCTTCTTGACCACCTAGCTACCCTTAGGCCCAGGTGTATATGCTGCAGACTATATTATTGTAGAATATGATTATAGAACATTCCAGTGATAATATATTGAAATTTCGTAATTTGACAAACAAGGTAGATACTTCCCCCTGGATGGGAGATGCTAGTGGGTCCGTGGTAAAGGCCACCATGAAATGCTAAACTAATAGGGTGCTCTCCCTGGTTAGTTCCGTTAAATACTCTATCATTTTACTGCTCATAAAAATAATAAGATTGGCATTCTGTATCGTACTACCGTTGATAGCCCTCCTTAATTAATTTATCCATAACACAGAAGTCGAAACTTCTTAAATATTCAACGCACTGGTTGTGAGTCAATGGAATCTTTCACATTTGGCAGAGTAAACCTCTATAACACTTATATGCAAGAAAGCGCAACTAAGGTCTCATTAACCTTAAACAAACAACGAGCATTTAGCCCGTTGCTGTGAAACCGCACGAACAAAGTAATAATAGAAGACACTGAGTAAGATTACATTATCAGAATGGTTATTATATGTTACGCTACGAACTTAGGGCCGTGGCGACGTCATATAGGCCTCTTGCCTCGCTTTCACGCTTTCCTTCCTGCTGCTCCGTAGCACCAGAGCTTTGGCACTGGTAAGTATAATGCACCCGTTTGAGGAATGACAATCTACCAGAATTTGTTCGCAAATTGTCCACAACAATCGCACTATGAGAGATCTTATGCTGCGATACCGGTCGGTAGCTTTCTACACCCTGTGCAATCTCAATACCCTCTTGCTTATATCCCGATTGATGCTTTTCTAGATCGACAACCACCCTTCCCTTTGCATTTACCTTTATCCCCTGGATAAAAGCGTCTTGGACTAAATCATAACGTAACAGGTCAACATCTCTACCAATCGGAGTATCATATGTCATCCTGAATTGCACGAATGCAGGATTGAGTTCTTGTACGTCCCCCGATTCTGCAGTATCCGAAGGTGATATCTCACAATTTTTGTCCAACTCAACGTCGTTTAACTTAGGAAGTCCCTTTAAAGTCGCATTAGTGTCATCCGGCAAAGTGGTGTCCCCGCGGTCCGCCAACCAGATGCCTTCATCTTCCTTTCGTTTCCCCGATGATTTGTGAAGCTTGCTGTAAACAGCTCTCTGGAAACTTGTCATATAGGTGCGCTCTTCAGGGTTAACACCGAAACTTGTAGGCAAGTTGAAAACCTGAAGAAACCATGGACATTAATGAAAATAATTCGCCGTCATCAATGACAGGCTGATATTCATAAAAATATAATGGAGCTGCAGAGTGAAAAAACCCACCTTCTCTTTCAGAAGTTCTACCTTTCGCATCTCTTTCAGTTTTTTGTACTTTTGCAGGAGACGCTGACGGTCTCTGCCTTCTAAACTAGGACCCTGCGAACAGTGTGTATCATACGACTTACAAACCACTTACATCTGTACTATGTGGAGATGCTTGGATGTACGATGATAGCGCGTCAACCACTGACGTGACCGAAGGCAGTTCCTTGAGCGATGCTTCGGCAATGACTAGCGGCGATCCTTGCAAACTCAGTTTACACGTTGAATAGACACCTATCAGCATGGCAGCAATATCACTTAGATCAGGCGTGTCTCTCTCGACCTGCGCGCCATGATAAATAAATCATGCAAAATGCTACCCATTGATCGACATACATTTGTATACTCAGGATGCTTTTACAGTTGTAAAACACTGACTATACTAACAAACTAGAGTTTCATATCACTCACGATTGCATAATACCTCAAATCTGTTTTTGGAGGTTTGGTTTACATATGTATCTGCGGAGTGACTTTAGCTTTTATCAAAACACATCTAACCATATTGAAGCACAAAACACATCGACAGAAATCGTTTTGAAACACTTGACCAACCTGTTGATACCTCCTGCATCTACCCCGCTTGACGCATCCACGGCATACTTGCGTTTCGGGTATTCCAAAGAAATTGCGCAATTGTTTGGCCGACTTCATGACTTTGCTTGGCATCGATTCTACCGGGGGTAGCATACTAAGTTCTTTTGATTATTGAAATTGAATTATAAACATACATTTTCCTGTTTGGGCATGTGACCGGGCATTCCATGTGCATCATCGTCAAGAGGTGTCGTTTATCGGTTAAACTTAAGGATCGCACGAAGCTAGTGACAGACCTTCCCCGGGTGGCGCTGAGAAGTACCTTTTTAAGTTCGACCCTGTTTGGATTCCTCGCCGTAGGTAGTGACCCGGTGGCAACTCCCAAATCGATCAGTTTTTTGATGAATTCTCTGCACAGATTCGCAAAGCGATCCGCGCCTTGCGATATCTGTTTGATAGCTACATTGGACATTTTCACAATGACGGGAGAGAGAGCGTTTTGCGGCCGATACGTCGAGCACACCATGATTCTTCTGGTGTGTAGACGTAGCATTACTGCTCCTCAACATATCAGAACAGACTTATTTAAAACAATTAGAAACAAACTTTAAAGTGCACCATTAGATACCAATATGTGTAATGTAGGTCAACAGAAGGTCTCCGCTTAGCGACCGTCGTATGCTCCTTGACTGTCTAAAACGTGAGAATTTAATCGTTTTGGCCAAATAATGGTTGAATTCTCGAAACAGCTAACACATATATTCAAATCTAAGACATGTATATAAGTTATTTCTGTTCATCCCAGGCGCCGATCTGATGTGACTCTTGCATAGGATGTCCGTCAAGATATCTGCCGAACGGCGAGCCTTCAAGGCACCGATTCAACGCAACGCCTGTTCGTTTGCTGCAGCCAACAAGTTGATATGGTTTGGTCTCCACGACGGTAGGATACTACGCTATACGTGCCCTGCTTCGAGTTCGCCAGACTCTGTGCCATCATCACAAAGCGCAGCCGATTGCGTAACTTTACGCCTTAAATCAGCAGGTATTTAATGCCCGGTTATGTACTGTATAAATGTGCAGGTGCGACAGCTGAGGTGCAAAGCTTATTTGTGGACTCGAAGTCGTTTCACTGCATCGCATGTCTGTCTTCTGGACATCATTGTTACTCTAACTTTCAGAGCACGGAATTGATACTGCTTACGACTCTGCGAGGTTGTTTTGTACGTTCCGTATGCTTCACTGATGCAACAAGCGAAGACGTAACCGGCTCCTTTTTGCTGGGCACCGAGCGCGGCAATCTGATTGAGGGGCGCATCAACTATCGCAGGACGAGTTATTCTTTTCGTTCACTATACACGCTCCCAAAAGGGGAGCCGGTGCTCGACATTGGCATCATTCCCATAGTGCATATGGGTTGCCGCACGCACGTGGTTGTGGCGCTCTCAACAGGCTGTCTATATGAGTTTCTTGGTGGCGTGTCATTCGAGGACACCTTCTCCCGTTACACAAATACGGGCATTTCCGCGGTGCGTTACGAGGTGCCTCTCGTAGGACCTACTGGAGAAGTGCTGGTATCGGAGCGAGCGGACGGCAGCCACGATCTCTTTTGGACCAATGCAGCTGGCATTGTATTCGTCAACATACCCTATCGCGTTCCAGACGATTCTACCAGCTGTTTGACGTTTCCTCCGGTTGTCATCACTTACCCGTCAACTCCACAGCGACCTCTTTCATCGCTGCAGGACAGCAAGTTACGACAGGGGAGAACGTTGTTGAGGCGCCCTGCCACCCAGGTCCCTCGGAGCACAGTCGTACTAAATCACTCACTACTTCTGCTTTTTGACGAGAAGATAGTTGTAGTTAATACCATAGTCGGTAAACCTGTGGCCACATTGGCGTTGCCCAACGGCACGTTTGGCAAGGCATATCGGCTGGTGAGTGACCGCATGAGTGGTGAAGTGTGGCTTCATACAAAGGAGGGCATTTTTGCCATTGTTGTTCGCAACGAAGCCGACGAAGTTTGGAAACATTATTTGTTTAATGGAGACATCGCGAATGCGCTGTCGAGCTGCAAGACACCAGGTCAACGAGACAGCGTACTACTTAAGGGTGCTTATGATCTCTATGAGCGCGGTAAGTACCTTGAATCTGCTCGATTATACGGGCAAGTTGAATCGAATCACCCCGATTTCGAGCATATATGCATGAGATTTTTGGAAAGATGCCAAGATGCCGCGGTTTTGGAGTACGTGATGTTAAAGATACAGCAACGAAACTGGTTCCGCTACGACCCACGTTTCATCATTCTAACAGTATGGGTAATTGAAATGCTGGGTTATCGCTATCGCGACATCTACCTCACAATAGATGCCGCGAATGAAATTACTGGTGTCGACATGGACGCGTTGACTTCGCGCAGAGAAGAGTATAAGCACAAGTTGCTTTCGACTATAGGTTCTCTGGCGCACGTTGACGACATGGCAAACCCGATTAGCTTTTTGTTACAGACTATGATGGGTTGTGGTGACGAATGTGTCGATTTTGCGCGATTGCGTCGTGACTCGTCTAACGTGGTTTGCTATTTGCTTAGTAGCGGCAACGTGGAGGGGGCTTTTCGCGAGCTTCTCCAGATGCATCCCAGCGACAAACGTGACGCTCTGCTGTTGAGATTTGCGCCCCTGCTGTTCATGGATGCACCAGAGTTGTTTGCACGTGCATCGTTCAGCAAGTTGGACCCCAAGATTTTACTGCCCATCGCACTTTTACCCTTGATGATGCACAACACCACGTTTTTACCACACTCTCTCGGAATGTTGGAGCGTTTGTTATTTTATGGCGACACTCCACATTCAGACTCCACACGGTCGCTGCTGTGGTGCTGTTACATCCTACTACTGGCCAACCTCGAGACGGAGGGCACGCTTTTGGACGTCCTGTCTAAACGTGCCATCGACTTTGCACACAGTGACCTCGCTATAGCTCTACGTTACCTCAAAACCAAATCTGCAACGGATCCTCGTTGGTCAGTGGCTTTCATTGCGTTGCAAAGTTTGTGCGGGATGAACGAGGATGCGCTGGAGATGGCACTTTCACAGGATAAAACCGACTTAGCGGCGCAATGTGCTATGCGCCCTCCCGACATATTTACGCGTCGTCGTCTTTGGCGCTACATCTTACGCCATTCTACCATCACAGGTAGTGAGTCGCTAAACAACATCCTGAAGGCTTCACATGGCCTCCTTCACGTCCACCACCTCTTGCATTTTTTGCCAGAGGAGACTAAGCTGGGAGAGATGAGTGATGTTATAACCACTTATGTTGCAGAGTACGAGGAACATCTTGAGGACCGTCGGCAGGAGGTAGATCATCTGTGCGCAAGCATCGCTGAAGCGAAATCAGAGATGCAAATAGCATCTCGTCGTTGTGTGACCCTCTCCGTGATGGAAGAGTGTTCGTCGTGTAGCAACCCTCTGCATACGAAACACTTTGTCGTATTCCCATGTGGACACGCGTTTCACCGCGTCTGCCTGGCTGTGATTCTGCGCCGCCTTCTTAGCGGCTCAGAACTTATGGAGTTCGAACGTCTTCATACGGCCTTTGAGAAGCGTACGGATGAGCACAGCATTTCGAATTATAATGAGTTTGTGTCTAGGGCCTGCGTTATCTGCGGTTACCCTGCTGCAGTTTTGGCATCTAAGCCGTTCGTTTCGTCTTTAGACGCGGAGCAGTCAGATTTGTGGGCTATAAGCTAATTATAACTAGTTTTTAAAGCATTCGCTGCGCCTATAGGCCCGGAACTGTTCCGAGAATACGTCCTCTGGTTGCACTGGCGTGCGGTCGTCACGGTTGCGATATATATGCGTGAGAGGGAAGTTTTCCTTGGATGGTATAATATACAAGAACGGAGGATCTAGTTTGAACTTCCTGTTCATGAGTAACGGTTTGTACGCTTTGGTAACTGCGATTTCACACGTGTCGCTGCGGTACTTCGGTATTGTTACCAGCTGGATGTACCGATCTTGGACTTCCTCGATGGTTCGCTGCATCTCCCACGATATATATAACCAGGGGTCACCAAAATCTGGATCGTAGTGGTCGGCAAGCCTTTTTAGCTCTGCGTCGTCCTCTGCATTCCAAGGCTTACCCTCGTTTGCGAGCGGTTTTGCCTGAGGAACGTCAATTCAGGCACATGTAAAATCACCTGAAAGGCTATAATGTAGTCTGCATCTTCAGAGTGTGGCCACATGCCATGGTTGTACAACCTGTGGTAGTGTGTGTCATTGTGTCACAGAGGGTCAACGTACGTTATATGTTTGAATACGATGCGTCGCTGTTTGTTGGTCATGCTATTGTTCGTATATAGATCCTGCGCTGTATGCAGTCACAGAACACTGTCCTTACTTCTATAGTACTACTGATAAATTCGTTCCATGATCCAAATGATTCTGCGATAAGTTCGGCGCCATCGCCGACACCAGCGGCATTAAGGAACTCCAGCACTCCCCAACCGTCTGCAAAAAATGACATTGCGCATATAGGATTAGCAGCTCAGGTGGCAGCCACGCTGTTTGCAGGAGATGGCGCTCCCATCCATCAAACGTGAACATAGTGGCACTTTGCTCTTACCGGGAGGCGGTTTGGCATGGGCTTGTGCAATGGCCTTCTTTTCCCTTTCGATATCCAATGTCTTCTGTTGTTGTAGAAACTTTCTAAAGGTTTTCATATCCAAATACCTCCTAGGACGCTTGATAGTGGGCCCTAAAGTGTGATATATTGTTTACGGGTAATTGCCTACCTAGCTCTTCGGCAGATTGGTCACGCCTCACAGCTGACGTAGATATAGCCCTCAAATGATCATTACGCCGTGCTGTTAAAATTTTAAACGGCGGCATTAATGTCGAACAGCGCCGTATGCTTTGGCAGCCGTTAAATAGCGCCGCGCTGCGCATGACGATTAAAGCAGTATTATTGCACTTTATTAAACCATGCGTGATAAATTTATGGCTAAAACTGCCACTCCTAGCCCTGAAAGCCAGAGTGATGTCGTTTATAGCGCTAAGGGCGGCGCCGAAAATACCAGCGCGATTCACCGGCAGTCCATGACAGATTCCATCACAGAAAGTTACGCTAGAAACAACAGCATTATACACACCCTTGATTGGCGTCAGCGTGCATGGAAGCGGCGAACTTCGCTAGCTTGTCCACCGTTGTTTGCCCACGATCCCGGATGATTCACAGCTACGTTTTCACCGCCTGACCCCTACTGTAACCATTAGGATGGCTATCAGTATTTATAAAGTGATATTATATGAAATATTACTTGTTAAGTGTATTACATCACCAATTGATTTTACACATTTTTCTAGGCTTATTGCTGTGGATTCCACATAATTTGGCTTCTAATTATCAACATTGGCAACTCCAAGCGCTTGGGTCGTCGGGTTCATCACAAAAAGTGCCTGTGAGATTAATTCTTTAACTTCGCGACCATGTCACGTTTTCCACCTGGATTGCCTTTTAGGCTCATCCCTCATTTTGAAATCTCAACCCTGTTAGACCCTAAGGACATCATCATCGTCAACAACCAGCCTCAAACCAATGTACGACGAACCAGGAGTGCTAATTCCGCTGACTGTACTGAACGAGCGGCCAAGCATCGCCGTACAAATGGCGGTTCGGTATCTGTGCCAAGGACTGCGACGACTCCGGTTGACCTTCAGCGTACGGTAATGATCAACAGTACTCTAAAACCTGAGCTACCGACACGAGATGTTGACCTGTTTGAGTTCAAGGATTCGTGCCGCCGTGCGGTGGATCGGCTTCATACACTACGTGAGGACGCAACTAAATTGAAGGCGGAGGATCTGAAGTCGGACTTGGGTATGGATTCTGCTGAGGATGCTGCATCTGTCTATAAGTTGCGCACCAATATACAGTTGATGTCGTGCTTGAGACAACCGTTACGTGCTCCAACGATTACTGAGGTGATACGCTCGGCGGCTAATATGAACGTGAGTCACATTTTGGTCGATCGCTGCCCACATGGTCGTCCAAGGAGGAGGCGTATAGACATCCCGGTTGCTGCAAACAACATCGCATGGTCTGAGAAACGTTTGCACAATTTATATGCGGCGTCAGTCAATTTGCATAGTTATCAACTGGCAATTGGAGCACGCCGTTACACGCATCCCGAGATATCACCTGAATCGGATGCTTCCCGTCCTATGCTATTAAGAGGCCCTCAGAACCGTTCGAATGCACCTATGTTCCACCACCATGCTATGCAACGTCACCTCGAGCAACGTCGTCGGTCTGCATTGACTTTAGTGTCCGACGACGAGTTGATTGTAACGGTGAGCATGTATCATGGCGTCCGTGGCCACAAGCTACGAGAATACGACATGCTGTCATGTCAGCGCCTCTCTGATCTGCGAGATGTGTTTCGTTGTCCTGCCGAGATTCGTCCAGTTGGGGTCAACCTTGGGGTTCAGGGGTCGTGCTTCATGTTGAATGGTCAGCTTTTTCCCGACCTACGTAATGGAGCATGCGATTACTCTGAACCCCTTTTGCACTATCTGCTTAAGTACAAGCCTGGTATATTGCGCACGAGTGAATGTGTTGAGCAGAGCGATGCGGTTATATGTCACCTTGAGTTGCCGGTATACAGCCCCGGTTTTCTGCTCCACCACGGCGATTGTGAGCATCGTTTCGTGATAACAGCTGTTCGCGCATTCGTGAGAGGTCGTGATTGCCCTTATGAACAATGCTACCCGGTTAGTGTGTTTACACCTCGTCAACGTTCCATCCCTTGCCAAGTCTGCGAGGGCCGTGAGGCTAAAATATCGGTATTCAACAGCCTAGTGCTGCCTCATGTTCCTAATTATCTTTGTGAAGAGTGTTACAAGAGATTTACAGCTTTAAATACGCCAACAGGCGTGTACCGTTCAAACGGTCTTGCCCCTACCACTGCTGTCGAGTTCCCTAATGAGTGACATACGTCTTTAATGTTTCTAACAGGCGTTTCTGTGAACTTCACAACGTCTAGAATGACTAGTTAGCGTGTCTGTGCATTAGTTATGTTGTTGATGCTGTGTTTCATCATAAGTGTTGGTGTCACCAACCTATGCCACGCCTATGGCGTTATTCGGCAACACCTGAGCCCCTTCAGGTCATAACAGAGTGTATCAACCTTATGTGTGCATACAGTCGGTTTTGGAGTCGAGTACTCTGGCGCGTGGCCGCTGACATTGCCTCCCCATTACTAGGTCCCTCCATGGTGGGTTCGCGGTGTCGGCCGTTCATAAAGTTACGCACCGGCGTTACCGTTCGTTGTATCGCCATTCTGGGATTAGTTACGAACGTCTTTAGCCAGAATCTATCGGGGAACATCTTGAGAGAGCGTCGTCAGGTGAGTGTAACGCGATATTTTTTGCCGTGGCGTGGGTTTTACACTTTCTGGGCCGAATCTGCATCCAGCACACCTGTATTTGAATTGTTTCTAAAATTGTGATTATATAATGCTCGCTAATTGCTGTGTTAGGATGGTGAAGCTTATGAGACCTGGCCGCGTGGTGATCGTGCTCGCCGGTCGTCGTGCTGGTCGCAAGGGCATTGTTGTTCAGTGCAATGACAACCCAAGCAAGCGCAGGCCTTACTCAAACTGCCTGGTTGCTGGTATTGACAAGTACCCATTGAAGGTAACTCGTAAGATGAGCAAGGAGAAGGTGAAGAAGCGCCTGCGTATCAAGCCCTTCGTAAAGTACATCAACGTTAACCACCTCATGCCTACCCGCTACACGGTTACAGGTCGCTTGGACCCCAAACTGCTCGTCAGCGACGCGCAGATGGAGAGCCAGGACACCCGCAAGCAGGCCCGTAAGGCCTTGAAGGCGGTTTTTGAGGAGGCCCTCAACAACCCTGATCCCGCCGACGGAAAGATTTCCAAGGACGCTTTGTTCCTCAGGAAGAAGTTGAGGTTCTAACACTCTTCTAATTATACCATCGTTTTTTTTGCTGTCTACGTACCTGTGGGTGCTGCTTCGTCGCCTGGCCATGAGTCATGGCGACTAAGGTTTCCTTGTTACAGCGTTTCATAGCGCAGTGTCGCCTTTCTTTCTAGTTATACGGGTACCATGGGCGCTCGGCTGCGTTTGGTAAAATTCCCCGCTCATATGCTATTAACATGTTTAAATGAGAAATAGCTCATATTTATACCCATGTTTTTGGTTGGTTTTGACTTAAATTGGCATACAGCTAGATAGTGCGTGTTCCGCTGTGCGCCTGGTTCACGCAGCGTGATCTACCATGTTGCGCATTTTCGGTGCGCCAACGATTTAGAATATGATGGTTTGCGATGTTTCCTCCTCGGGCTCAATTGAAGACGACGCAGGTTGCTGCAACTTCTCGGCGTTTTCTCGTATGATTTCTTTGAGGAACTGGTGGAAACTTTGACTCTCCTTCACCTCCTGAAACCGCAGCAATATTGCCTTTTTAGTGCTTTTAAGTCTGAAAGCGACGATGCGTGGGTCTACAATAAGTGTTTTGTCCACATTGCTGAGCCCTGCGACGCTGTCAACACCGAGTATCTGTTCCACATCGTTAAGAGCGATTAAACGTTTTTTTTCTTCCACTACAAGGTGAAGGCAGTCCTCAGCTAGGTCATATAGAACTGAGCATGGCATGGAACCGCCATCTGCGAACACAATGTGCGTGTCACATCCGTTGACCATAGCGTTCATGAAGTCCATCTCTTCTTCAGGTGTAAGCAACTCGTCGCGATCCAACATATTTTTGGTATCGCAGAACGCGTCGCAGCAACCGCTGCTATTCTGGTTTCCCATTTTGGCATATTTGTTACTCTATGGCGGCTCTCCCGCGCCGCGGCGAGTAGTGTTTGTGGCACTGGCCGAACCAAGCAACCACGCGGTCCGAGTCCCCCGATTACTCTTGTATTATTTTCACCTTAAATCAACTGGCTACCGCCGCGTGCCTGGGGTTGGAATGGTACCGAATCGAGGGCGGCAAATAAGTCCTGTTCACCTGCCGATGTGTTGTTGTTTGAGGGGTTGATGTTGAGTTTGTCGAAGTCAAAAATGTCTTCAACAACCTTTTGTTTGTTTGAACTATTAGCTTGGCTCCCTTGAGGTGTGCGACCGCTGTTTACTGGTGCGAAGCTATCCATGAGGTCGAAGGCATGATTTGTAAAGTCGCTTGCCACATTTCTGAGAGGCTCTTCCTGCTTACTGCCATCTCCCGCAACAGTGGAAGTGGCAAATAGGTCCAAATTGGCCGCAGCAGTTTGGGATGCCCCCTGGACCCCAAGACCGCTCGTTTGATCGGTTGGTCTGCCTGTATTAATTAGGTCACCTCTGCCTTGAGTTGTGCGCGAAGAGTCCCCAATCAATTGTATCAACCTGTCTGACTTGGTTCTTAAACGACTCTCCTCACGGCATTTTACCAGTATGGGTTCCAATTCAGATGTTATATATCTGTTCACATCTTCATCTATGTTGGAGCGTAACAGTATCGCTTCAAATACACAAAGTATCCGGAGTTTCGTTTGCCAATTGTTCGTTCTGTTATTTAGACATGTGAGAAGCTCGTACGCAACGTAGCGCATATTCATATCTTTTACTCTCGTCAGAAAATCGTCGAGAATTTGCTGTGATGGTGTCACCTTGATACCGCTGAACGTAAGCACATCCTTTACCAATTTAGCCTCCGATTCACCAGATATATCTTCCGTATCCTTACGCAGTGTGCTTGAATCTTGTATGAGTGATGGCAAAAGCGCGTGTTCCGTCTGCAAATCTCTGCCGACGGTGTTGCTGGGTACTCCAAAGGGTCGGTCTACAGGAGCGAAGGCACCGGAATATCCACCTTGTTGCGCTTTCATACTCATACCCATGCCAGTTGCAGGTGCAATGTGTTTTTCAAATTTCTCTGCTGCTGTTGACGCCAAGGTTGATCCTACACGTTCTAGTTTGTCCATAACCGAATTTGGCAAGTATTTCGCTGCGACATCTGTTATGAGTTTGAATGCGCTGCTCCCAGAGGACTTGGTTGAGGATGATCGTGATAAGATGTTACCAAATCCTTCCATTTTGCTTCCACCCGCCGCACTACCATATGATGGGCCGCCAAATGAAGTTCTACCGAACCACGAACTGCGCGACGCAGTCTGGTTTTCATATCCGCTGTTTCCAAAACCTTCTGCAGCGTAATTGGCGTTGCTGCTGTTAGGCATGTTACCAAAACCCGTATTGAAAACACTTGAAGTAGAGTACTGTGTTTGGTTACTTGAAGCGTAGTTACCAAACCCAGTACTAGAAACGTTTTGGTTGGAATATTGTCCTTGTCTGCTCGACGCATAATTGCCAAAACCGGTATTGGAAACGTTTGGGCTGGAGTAGTTGCCCTGGTTGCTCGACGCATAATTGCCAAACCCAGTATTGGAAACGTTTGGGCTGGAGTAGTTGCCCTGGTTGCTTGAAGCGAAATTCCCAAAACCAGTACTTGATACACTCTGGGCATTTGGCATGTTTCCGAATCCCACAATTCGGTTTTGGTCAGCGGTGGCACTCCCACCAGTTCCCATTGTCGCGTTTTGGCTGACGTAGACCACCTTGAGGAGCTCCTCCACCTCGTTCCTTACCATCTGGCAGAGGTAGTCTCCGTTATACTCGCTGTATGGAGCCTTGTAGTTACGTGCTTCAATGACTGCTTTGCATTGGCAGACTTTATTTCTATTAAAGTCATGCGGTAGCCTGGTGCACAGGTTCTTTAGCAGTTTGAGGCATTTGAACTTGGTGTAAGGTTCGTTTCTTTCGAGTTTTTGCAGCAGGTAGTTCTCTACAGTTGGCAGAATGCCAGGATCCATAACTACCATGTCGGTGATATCTTTGTAGACATATCCAGGCGTGGGCTCAGAGGTCGCCGAAGTGGCCCTACTGAGTAGATTGCGCTGTGTAGCGCTCAGTGTGTCATGCTGCGCCATGACTGCCATTTAACGTAGTTAAATGCCCTCGGGCGTTGTCCTGTTAATGTCGGTCGCTCCGAGCTTAGTCCATATATCCGTGACTATGCGAGTGGCACGGTAGCGATCGTCGCGATGTTATGTGAGTCGATTTATTGTAAAATATGTTTTAATTTCTGCTACAATGTTTCACTATGCGGCGATTCCCGTGCCCGCGGTGTGTGTGTCGGTTACACTTCCTGCCGCCCTTAGATCAGGCACCGCAGTCTCATTTATGACTCCATGGTATCCCCGCTTGTTTGTATTTTGTTGATGTATTCCCTGAAGTCTGATCGATACAGATGAGTATCTTGGACGCACAGCGCCTGCAATGGCGGCGTGTTCTGGGACCACGGGTGCCTCAGTTTATACGGAGGTGACCACCGCCATTCGCCCCTGATTGATCCCAGCGGGCTGACATTTTGTCGCAACAATGAGGCTGTAGTCACGTTGTTGCTACCTGTCTCTGTAGCTCCGTCCATGTACATATCGGCGATGACCTTTGCTTTGAAGGGTCTCAGCTGAATGATCCATGCAAAAGTGGCACATAAATAAGTTAACCTACCTTGAACTCTATGCGTTTGATGACATAACAAACATTGTTCCTGATGGCTGCGTCCATTAAATAATAATTTTCGTTGACCTTGATGATTCGGTACCTTCTTTCCGCACCAGTCGTGCCATCCGTGCCTTCACCTTTGAATTCCTCTGTGAGACCTTTACTGTCATCGGTGGGCTTGGGAGCAGGGGCTCCACATCTTGTCGTTTTCCAGACAAGACAATTGACTCCATGTAATGGGAGTGGATGCAAAGTTTCGAACAGAGTACGCACCTTGCTCTCGCGTCGCGCGAATTCCGAGAAAAGGCTAATCCCGATATCCTCTGCTTTAGGGAACCGCTTTTGGTGTGAATGCCAGGGGTACTTGTCTATAGATGGCCAGTAGTAGTCTGGTTGCTGTGATCATCGGCATATTACACCTACTTGGAGTTCTTGGATTCCTCGCTCGATATACTGGTTTGTACTGCCTGTAGTATGGATAGAGTATATTTTTGAGGGGTCTAGGCTGTAAACGGTGTGTACCGATGGCGCTGTGGTAGTATATCGTTTTTGCGGCCGAAGCGCCACTACCGCTGCGCGATGAGGCCATAATGATATATTATATCCACATAAGTATATTTGTAGTTCAATAAAACTGGCAAGGCAGAAGTGGCGTACATAATATATCGCTGATTCGAGATTATAATCAAGAAAATCGGCGCCCGGTTCAGGGCTTGTGGTGTAGTGGTATCACGTTCGCTTCGCATGCGAAAGATCTCGGGTTCGATTCCCGATGAGTCCACAATTTTAGGGGATAATCCCAGTCTCTGCTAATCACATATCAGTTGCTAATAGCGTTAAACTGAGCCATCTTAGCATCATAAGTCGTCACTGTACAAAGGGTAATCAACTTTTTGGCTATACCGCCATCTCATCACGAACCAAAAACGTATATAAACACGATCAAGGCAGGTAATCTTTTTCATTAGGAAGGTACACACGGTTCATACTGTTGATTCTTTTTGAGTGTTGAGAAGGATAACTTCATTTCTTTGTGACGTTTGCTCACTCTTCATTTGGTTGGTTGATTGATGCAACAATCGCAGCGAATGCCAGGTTGTCCGGTTCCATTGCCATGAATGTGCCATGTACAATTTCCTCAACACGCTGCGTACGGTTATCCATTTCACGTCGTATTCTTACCTTCATAAAATTCTTAGAATTAGCTTTCCCGTGATTCACTGGGGAGTTTAGCGCCCCGTCCTGGTGTTGTATTGTAGATGCTAAGCTTCTTAACCCACCAATTCGTACAATTCGCCATCGACGATAACAAAAGTGACGTAGTGAGACAGTACCTACAGCACGTTGAACGGTTGTCCCGTCTTGCTTACGCATTCTTCATCACTGTCAATCGTCGTCTGTCCCTCCGATTCGAAATAGGCATGTAGTTCCTTAATTTCATGTGTCTTTTCAATGATCTGTATCTTTGTTATTGTACAATAGATTCTATCACCTTTCCTCTTTCTTCTGGCGTTGCCTCGAGTGATTTTTGTTTCATTTGTTCGAGTATGGATCCATCCTCCGGTATCGCCTTTTCGGTAATGTTGTTGAGGAGGTGTAACAAAGCGACGGTGCCGCAGGTATTTCTAACCCGCTAGGGAGACTATGATACCTTTTTTTTTTAAAAATTTACCTGATGTGCGAACCACACTTTCGGCGAAACCTTTTTTGGGGAGGTGTATTTTACATCGGAATCCCGGTAATATACGATCTGTGTAAAATATTTTGTGCGTTATAAATTAAGATATACCCTTGGCGTACATGGTATCGTTGCAATGACTCCCACAATCGGTTTGTTAAGCTGCACAATGATTGACGTGGTTTACATTAGAAGCCTTTGAAGGCGTGTTTAAGCGCACATGTCCATTATAGTCACATAATCTTTGAGATTTTTTTAAAATCAGACGCAGTGACCCCATTGCAGCTCAAGGTTAAGCAACTAAGGTCGGAAGGCTGGCGCCTTTTTGTCCAACGTTGCTTAGGTTATCTAAGGGATTCCGTGTAGCCTTTCTAATTTGCTACAGGAATACAGCCATATTAACCGTTAAAATGAGCACAGGCGCTAATCGCACATCGAACAATGTACTCGGTAATTATTAGACATTCGCCCATGAAAGATTCCGTACCTGATCGTATGCCCAATCCTCCCATGCTACTAAATCTTCGAACATTACATCGTATTGACCTAGTTGCTTGGCATATTTGCCGAAGACTTCTGGGGACGACTCGATAGGCGAGAAGTTTCCCGCCATTGCTGCACGTTGGAAAAAAATTATTTGTTATTTGTGCTTTGAATTGTCGTATAAAACTGGTTCGATAACTTGCAAAATTTCGAAAACGAAATTTTTGTAGTTGAAAATTTATATATACTGATTAACTTTACACGATCGCGCAGCATTATGGGTCCGCCAGACAGGGGAAAATGTGGCTTGCTGCTGCAGCACATCTGCGAAGAATTTAGTAATATCTCGTTATCTACTGCCTTATCGCATATAATTAGCAGAAAATTTAGTTAATCGTGATGATTAAGCGCCATACGACCCCTAAATGGCGTCTAGGTGGGCCGTTTTGAGGGTGTTTTTCTCGACACATTAATTTCACAAAAACTAATCGTGTTTGCTATATCGCCTCAGCGATGAAAAGTTTGCAATTACGTTATTATAAGTTTTTTGTGTGTGGGAATTCATTTCTACCGTGCATTTAAGCCATTGTCGAGGTTTTACACCTTTGACCAAGCCTCAGTCATAATCCTTATTTGACGTTATTAGCCCGTTCTACGGTGTTTACGAAGCTCCAGACATGCTGTGGGCCTTCATAGGCTCAAGCCATGTGTCCGGGGTACCTCCCCATAGGATGCTGCGGCGTTGCTGCCCCCTGCGATATTAGCTGTTATCTCACCGAATAGTCACTAAATATCTCACATAAAATTCCAGGCCTTTCCATTGATAGTCTAGGTAAGTTATACGGGACATAATGAGCCATTTCCTGGGCCCTCCTTTGTCGGCAGCAGGTGTAAAATAAAAATTTCCAGCTATATGAGCTACTTTTACTGTGGCTACGTCTCTAGTGAATTATTTCTATTATTAATATTAGCGCAGGTAGTCTATAAAAATGGCTAAGTCGAAGAACCACACGAACCACAACCAGGTTTGCTTGTTTGCTTGTTGTTTCGCATCCTCGCTCAGATCCGCAAGGCTCACCGTAACGGTATCAAGAAGGTGAAAATCCCCAAGAAGATTTCAACCAAGGGGGTAGGTTTCGGTCGTTAAATTGGACGAGGGCCCCCTTTGTGCTTTCTCGTTTCCTTTCGGCTTCGAACGGCGCCCACGGCCGGTGGTTTGCGTGTTTCTAGAGTCTGTATAGATATGTCAATATACATTGATCGCACCGTTTTAATGGCTTCTCAGATGTGCCCCAAGTTCTTGCGCAACCAAAAGTTCTGCAAGAAGTACTTGAACGTCCCCGCTTCTGAGCGCTCCAGCTAAAAATGACGATTAGACGTCTCTTAGAGGCACTGTCGTCACGTTTGCGTGTCCTATTTGAGATGGGCAACACTTGAAACTCGGCGCCTTTCTAATCATTTTTGCTGGCACCTTGCCACTATGTTTTATATCTTGTAATCTTAGTCCAAACGTTATGATATTCTTAGTTATAGCGTGTGTTGTGCATTTTTTCGTGGCGAATCGTTCGAGCCATGTTGTCTTTGTTGTAATAAAGGCCAAGGGGTCGTGACGATTGCTAATGACGAAACACTAAAGGCTCCAGCTGCCATTTACAGTCTGTCGTATATACATTTAAGCGTCTAGTACGTTGTAATTAGCAAAAATGGTGGACCGATCGGGATTCGAACCCGAGACCTTCCGCATGCAAAGCGGACGCGATACCCCTTCGCCATCGGCCCTGACTCTGGGTCGCGCATTTTTAGTATCAAGACTCGCTATGCGATATTGTCTTGCGCGGTCTCAAAGTGACGTTCAGTTCCCACGGCTAAAAATTATATACACAAATCGACAAAATGGTTCGTAATTTGCTGACATTACCGGGGGACATCACGAGCAACAATGCGTCTTCACTGTTGCAAGGACGTGGCACTTACGTCGACGGCCATCAGTTGAAGGCTGGTTTTTTGGGGACTTTTAAGATGGTATGAGCTGGATATTCTATATCTTGTTGTGATTGTGCCTGTGTGTATAGTATGTGCTCGTTTTCCTTTTGTATTTGACTTTCCATTGTTTATCCAACCTTCCGTTATTTCACGAACGTTCTTCGTTTTATTTGCACACGATCCTTGTACGACGGCCCCCCTCAACAATTTCGAATAGTTAATGTTAATCTTAGGTCAACCAGCTGGCTTACGTGGAACCGATTCACGGCCGGTACAATGCACAGATTGGTGACGTTGTGGTTGGCGTCGTGCGTCGAATCCGTGGCAAATGTTGGTATATGGATATCGGAGCTCCAGCAAGGGTGCAGTTGTCCATTTTGCAGGTGAATACTGAGAAGCTTGCTAATCGCCGTAAAGGTGATAAGGATATATACGATATGCGTAAGATTTTTGCCATCGGTGACGCCATTTCGTGCGAAGTTCAGCGTATTTCTGTGAGTTATCATGTTATGAGTTTGACGTTTTGGCAGGCTAGGGGTACTATTATGCTGCAGACGCGAACTAGCAAGTATGGCCGTCTTACTAACGGCGTGTTGGTTAGGGTGAAACCTAATCTGCTGCTGCGTCAAAGCAAACACATGCATGACCTGCAGTGCGGCGTGCGTATGATTTTCGGTTGCAATGGTACGGCCTAATTTTTACTTTCTTAATACAATTGCAGGGTTCATTTGGATCTCCCGGTTATATGAAGGCGGAGACGCTGCAACCCAACTTCGGGCTTGCCATGACATTTATACATTCCGTCGGATAATTCTGACACTGTCTGGTGCAAGCGTCCAGATTTCTCTCCGCCTATTGTGCGAAATCTATATCTACTTCAGGCAACGTTACCCTACAGTAAACATTTTGTCCAAGGATTTTGCCCCTGAGTTGTTGGACCAGTTTTTAACTGATAGGAGCATGTGACGTGCAAGAATATTTCATCGCATTCTCCTGCTGTAGCGCTAGCTATGGCAGCAACTTGTCGGTCCCGTTGGACAATAATGAAGTACATAGTACGTACGTTATGGCATTCAGCTTAAGCAATGTTCACATAGTTGTCGGGGCTATGCCCAGTGGAGCGCGGGGTAGTGCTTAATCGAATAGATATATCTATTGCGGAGCTTATGGTCTAACCGAGGGGTATGGTTCAGTTGCTATTGTATGTTTCATCACCGCTCTGTTGAAACACGGACAAAAAAATATCATCATGTACCCCTTGCGGCCACTGGGCTTTCTATCGCTATATATTCCTGTAAGTGAAAGGTTATACCCAAACTTAAGAACGTTTGTGTGATTACGCTTAGGCTTCGACTTGCGCGCACATGAGCATCTGTTAATGATTTTTTATGACTTGAGGTAGACATACCTTTTGCTTGACACGTTCCCTGCGTTGTGCCTTTGTGATCTTCTTGTTGCGTACGTAAGTCTTTCCATCTGCGGTGACAACAGTGTGTCCCTTGATGGTTCTGGCTGGCGCAGGTTTCTCTGTCTTTGGTACAATAGGGTTCTTGCGAATAGCAGCGTGGGCCTGCGTGTACATCTCCTCAATGTTGTCTTCGTTAATTCCCTCTCTGAGGAAAGCCGAGAAGTGTTTCTTGTACTTCTCTGGGTCCTCTTCCTTCATCTCTCGCATATAGTTAGCGACGTGAATACCCATGATTCGTTCGCGGTGGGCTTCAGCGTCGTACTTTGACTGTTTGTCATCTCCTACAGAGTATCCTGGGAACCTCTTTTCGCTGTGTGGTATATGCAATCCTCCATCACATGCGCCTTTCAAGGCTCCGAAAACCTTGTTTCCTGTGGTGACGATCTTGATTCCAACATCAAGCAATGCCTTGAATGGTCTCCTCTCACCATCCTCTTCCTCGATATGGAAAGCGGATCCATCAGGTTCTACTTTCCCGATGAATTGGTTGTCGAGTTTGAGTTGTGTGAGCAATCTACGTGCTAGCAGAAGTCCGGTGCAGTATGCGGCGGCATAGTTGGTCAGTCCGACCTTGACACCGTAGTGCTTGAGCTCCGTGGAGTCGGCGTAGGCGTGTACCTTATCTCCGACTATAGTTGCGGATATGATTTGGCATATGATGCGTTTGTTAGTAAACCTGACGACAAAGCGGTACTTTGGCGATGCATATTTGTTCTTGTCTTGTAAAACTAGACGTCTACGGCAGTAGTAATCCGTCTTTCCTTCTGCGTGGGATGAGTGTCGTATATGAAATCGGTCTAACGAGACTGGGTATATCCAAATGTAAAGCTCGTGGCCCAATCGCGCGGTCCATAGGCCCCCGTTACACACTGTCGTGTATGGATACCATATGATTGTAGGCGCTTTGCGGCTTACAATGGGATTGTAACGGACGACAGGTCGAGTTGCGTCCCGGCGCACCTCGGTTATAGTACGTCTGTCATTATACGCCCATCGCAATGCCCCGTTTCTTTAAACGGGGCGCCTGCGAGGGCAAATTTGTTTACAAACATACCTCTACGCCTGCGGTACTTGACCTGGTAGCGTTTGAAGTAGGCCTTGCTCTTGAGTACTCGGATGAACGCCATGGTTTCTGTGGAAGAATGTATATTGTATTATTATATATTTATATTCGTTCACTGTCGTATTGTTTGACGCTAGCTGACCGCTGTGATAGGGAGTAACCACAGCGTCGATATGACACCTGACGTGTTCTTACCTTCAGATTACTTATATGCCCAGATAACGGTTCAGTTTGCGTATTGCAAATCTGTGTCTGGGAGAGTAGGGATATAAACAAAAAGCGTTCGTTTTCCGGCCGGGTGTAGGTACGTTCTTTAAAATGGGGGGCGGGGCGCCAGGCAGCTGTAGTCGTAAGCGGTGTCTTGTATCAGAACTGGTCTATGGCTACCACTTATTCCCGTGGTTATACACTGACACCTACACCTACACCTTCAATTTCAACGGTTGGTATGCAAAATGTGATTGCCACGTGTTTTTAGACGCAGCTCCGTTTGTTGTCTGGGAATAACGTGACAACGGACCATTTTGGCGCCGCCGAAATCTGTATTTGAGCTGACGCTTTGACATGAAGACATATCTAACTGAACTATGGATTTCGGCTTATTGTAGTTTGTTTATGGGTGGCATAGTACTTATAATACGTTTTTAGCCATCATTAGTCTACTTCCATATCACACAGCGCACGTATGATATGTTTTACGATTTGGGTAATCCTTCGGTCAAATGAAGCATGCACCGCCCGTGGCGTGTCTTAAGTGTTTCGCAATATGAGCTGCGTAATCTTAGTGAGTGCAACACATTTCAGTTTAGCCACCTTCTATAGTTATGCCTGAATGTTGTGATTGTTATTGAGCGTTTGGAGGTGATGTGTGGCGATATTACGGTTCGATGCTACATGGCTACTGCCTGGCCTTGGCCGATGGATCCCCATAATTGGGTCCGTGGCTGATGGACCTCGTGGAATAGTGACGTGGGTTTGATTCATTCACTTATATTATTGGCAAGGTGCGGTTTTCTTAAAGGCCGCGCGGGTCCTGTATATCACTGAAGATGGTAAGTCGTCTTTACGTTTATTTGCTGTGGCCTCATGGTCCCTTGTGTCAGGGGTTCATAATAGTTCGCCTGTTTAGTGACCCCTTGGCACGGCAGGCCTTCTTGTTAACATAACTTAATGTGCGAGCGGAGTGTTTGTTAGGTTGCGTAACGGTGGTCTGAGATTCGATGTCTTTGTCGATGTGCTGTCGCTCACTTATGTGCCTCTCTCATCTGTTTTCAGTCTAACTTTTTCAAGAAACAACAGGACGGCAATGCTGGCAACCGGAGAGGCGCAGGTTTCACCGGAAGTTCAGCCGCCGGCAAGACTGGGACAACTAACACAAAGGCCTCAAAGGTTGCCCCTCTCCCAGCGGTGTTGAAGCAGGAGAAGGTTGCTAAACAGCGTGACCATCTTTTCGAGCCCACGCCTAGGAACTTCCGCATCGGCGGTAATGTTCGTCCTCGCGTGAATCTGTCTCGTTACGTGAAATGGCCTAAATACGTACGTATTCAGCGTCAACGCCGCGTGCTGCTTCAGCGTCTGAAGATTCCACCAACAATTAACCAATTCAGCTACACCATTGACAAGAGCCAGGCCCACCAGCTCTTGAAACTCCTGGGCAAGTACAAGCCGGAAACTCGCAAGGAAAAGTCTGCCCGTTTGTTGGCTGACGCTAAAGCCATTGCTCAGGGTCAGGAGGTCGTGTCCAAGAAGCCTTACATGTTGAAGAGTGGTTTGAGTCATGTTACTAATTTGGTCGAATACAAGAAGGCTAAGCTGGTGGTTATTGCCCATGACGTGGACCCTCTTGAATTGGTGATGTGGCTCCCTACGTTGTGCCGCAAGAAGGAGGTACCTTACTGCATCATCAAGGGCAAGAGCAGACTGGGCAAGCTTGTGCACAAGAAGACTGCTGCTGTTGTTGCTATTGACAACATCCGCAAGGAGGATCAGGCTGAGTTTGATAGTATGATTAAGGCCTTTACAGCTATGTTCAACGACAACGTAGAGTTGCGTCGCCGTTGGGGTGGTCATCTCATGGGTATCAAATCGCAGCGTCACGAGGCCAAGACCAAGGCTTTGATCGCTTTGGAGAACGCTAAGAAGTTGGGTCTTGCGTTCGGGTGAGCGTCTGTGTTGGCGCCTTAGCACTTGTTGCGTGTGACATTAGGCGTCTGTTGACCGGTGGTAATTGTAAAACCTTATCTGTTTATATGTTCAGGATGATGATAAAACCACAGACCTGTGCCGATGCGTTGCACTTGCGGACTGTTATGATCTGATATTATGTTGTTTGAGCTGTTACTGCCATGGAGTTGGTGCCATTTATTGCAGGCCCATTCTCCGCCAACAACAGCTAATAGAAACGTCACATAGGAACCGCGTGGCCTTTGCTTCGTTGGGCCGACAAGATGACGACATTTTCATCATTAGTTTAAACTGTGATTACACTTGCCTAGGAAGTGCCGTCTGAAGGTGCCTGATCAGCGCTATTTGTGTTGTATAGTGGGCATATGAGTACTGTAACGCAAATGATGAAATTTAGTATCATTCCATCTTTCGGGTCAGAGAAATGATGATACGTTTTTTCTGATTCTTTTTGCATGAAAAAGCAGGTGCCTAGTTTTTTGTACAAGTGCGCCCCGTTGTACATGCGTATATTATTTGAGGGTTAAGTTTGGCGCTTCCTTCTTGTGGTAGTGGCCTCGTTCCCCCCTCGAACATCTATTTTCAAAACCAACAAGTGCCTTGCATATTTCGTTGGCACTTCTCCGACTACGCTAACAACTTACAATTTTGAAGAACGTGATGATTAACAAACCTGGTCCGTGTTTCTGACATTGATGAAACCACTCAGGCTTTCTGATAAAAAAGTAAGTAAATTATTATTTTAGCGTTGGTGGGTGATTAATGATGATTAAAAAACTTTCGTTCTTCCGAGTTTTTAATGCGGAAAAACCTGGAGACCTGATCTGAGCGATTGCCTCACCATTCGCCTCTCATCAAAAAAAGCAAAGTATCAACTAGCAGTGCAGCGGATGCGAAGACTGTTCCTATGATAGCTTTCTGTACAAGAGTTCAAGTCTACACTTCTACGTGAAGGCATACCTTCAGGTTGTCTTTTACGCCCAGTGCGCCTGCAATTGAGTATCCACCGATGAACGTCAATACGACACCAAATATGGCATTGGCTCCTCCGCTGCACTGGCGTCAATACAGGAACAGATGGAACTCACATGATTGGTGGTTTGAATTTTCCCACTTTTACATCTGAGGTTCTGAACTTCTCGTTAACATCGGCGACTAAGCGCTGGTAGCGCTTTTCATCAGCTGCTCTAAGAACCGATTTCGAATCCATGGCTTCTGTGTGTTTTGGTACCTTGCGATCTGAATATTGTTTTAAAAGACCTTCGTTTAATATATACCACTTATTTTTGCGTTTTTCATTATTTCGTGCAGCTCGAACCTTCTGGGTTGGACAACATCGCAGGCCTTGTTGTCTAACGCATCTACCACTTCGTTGTGAGCGACGACCTGGCGTGATTTAATGTAGTTTGATATTAACTAACCAGTCTTATAAATGCGTCGAGATGTATAGAATCTCCATTTGCCATTTCTTTTGCGGCATCCAACATGCTGTCGTTCAGAGTTTCACCATTATGATCGCTGTTTGGCCCATTTTTCGGCGGTTGTCGACGGTAAGGGAGTTCATAATCTCCATTTCGTTTCCTCCGTTCGACATTATACACATTTGTGATATACCACGAGCGCACGCGTGCGAATTCACTGAGGAATTCATCGACCTCAGTCGTGCGCAAGAAGTAAGCAGCTGATAATGGCGGACGGCCCATGTAGTCTTATTAATAGTATTAGGATGTGGCTTCAATAGCCAATATAGGTTTATGCCCTCCCGTTTGTTGCAGGGCTCAGTTTGAGAGGTCGATAGGATAGCCTTTGCAACCTGTGAAGTTGACCTTTTGTTTTCTGTGGATTACAAAGCAGATTTATGACATTTAATTACCGGATGTGGGAGATGTGTGGTAGTTGGCACATTGGTGTGCTTACATTGGGCATAGGGTTTCGATACGGGGTGTGTAAGCTGCGCGTCTTCGTTGTCTTCCGGAGTTATGTCGATATCTGTCGATGGACGCCGAGTATATTTGGTATTTCTGGCCTTCGTGGTCAGGTTTAGGTTGCCGCGATGATACTTGAGCCGACAGGCTGGTACTTTTATGATGAGTTTGCCCAGGTGTTCGCGCGCCTGCGTGACCCGGAGGAGTATCCTTTTATCGCAACAAAGATCGCATTGTGGAAGGCTCGAGCGAAGGTACCGGCAGCGGTTACGGCTACGGAATCACTTGTAAACGCCATCATTGCAGATAACCAGCAGTCATTGTCTGAACCGGCGTTACAGAGTTTATATACGGTAGCGGTGATACGGTGAGTAATTTGGCTAATGTATCATACTGATAGTACTCATAGTGCCGTAAATCTACTCTTGGACCATGAGCAGGATCGTGAATATGCGCGTAGTTTGCGCATTATCGCAAAGGAATGTGACATGCCAGAATACATCATCACTGTGAGACATGAGTGTTCTCACCGTGAGATTCCTGAGTTACATACACTTCGTTCTGCTGCCTTTGATGCGCTGAACTACGTATATAACAAGTATTGGTGGGTTTTTTGTATCATGTTGCGTTAGTCATTAACCGTAGGTGCGCTCAGTACAAGACCATACAATTTAAGATGAACAATCTCCAATACGACGCATTGGCGTTGTGTTCGTTGTTGATTTGGTCTTACAGTACGGTGCTTACCCTGTTGCCTGCATGTTCCATAGATCCTTTTCGGTTGCGCACTAGGTACCCTGGTGGTAGAGGTGATTCACCGTTATATCTTTCTTTGCATAACCCACCATTAAAGTCTGCAATCGCCAATTCTAAGCGCTTGCTGTTGTTAGCACGTCGTATATTTGGAATATCGCATAGACGTTCACACTCCTCAAAACCTTCGGTGGGTGTGATAGTGATTATATTTGACAGCCTTATTCAGGGTTACGTCAAGGTACCTACAGGTTATGATGAGAAGTCATTTTTACGGCTGATTCTGCGTGTATCAGCGTTAGCTCGTCGTCTGATGGAGGGTTGTTTGCACATGAGATTTTTTGTTTCTGTATTTGTGGAATTTGTGTTCGCGCACTTTGATCCGTCTACTGAAACTCTGTTTCTTGTACTTCTTTTGGATATAATGAATCAGCTACCTTTTAACTTCGTTGCAGAGTGAGTGAGGGTTGTTTTGAACAAAATGTTTTTGTCAGATTAGCAGCGTCGATGTTGTGCGTTGTCTTCGATCTTCCGGACGTGCTGGCTGATGGAAATTCCAGTCAGCAACCTCCGAGGTATAGTGATCGTATTTCACAATACACGTCATTTCTATCCACCAAACCAGCAGAATATATCCGGAGCGTTCTGGGTGTCGACGGCGCCTTTCAACGTGCATCTTCCCATGGCGTTCCGGTACGTCACCGTATAAACGGCTGGTTATTATTACTTTTGGACTTGGCTATGCGTTTTGAGATGCGAAATGAACTTTATAATTTGCCGCTGCACCTACGTTTGTTAGTCTGTGCTGGTACGGATGAGTCGTATAGTTTCTGGATAGCCTCAGGAAATGCATTAGGACGTTTTGCGGCTGCTGTACACTGCCTGTTACCACAATTAGCGATACAAGCATATGCTCGAGGGTCTATTGGAGTGTGGGAACCTAATCATAAGCGATTTCCATGGGAATGTGACCCATTATCTCATGCATTAGGGCTATATTGGTGGTTATCAAAATATCTTGATACTGGCATTGCTACAGGCTATATTTTCTCATGTTTAAGTGTTTCTAAGGTGGAAGAGCATGTACGGGAGTTACGAAAGGAACGTCAGGGTAAAGTGTCACCTTTAGACAAGCTTCTTTCCCCCGGTACATTTTGGGATCCCGGGAGCTGGAAGGTACAATACACTGTGACACGGCCGGAAACATCACGTACTGGACATTCTCGAATATGTGCTGCTCTAGCATCGATTTTTAATCAATGTCCAGTGCACCTACCTAGGGTCCGAGGTCGCCATGCGCAACGTCAGACCCGGCGTAATTCGCAACCATCAAGGCATCCACAAGACTTACGTGCATTTTTGAGACTATACTCACAATTGAGTGTTTCTCTGAGTCTTTTGAGCCGCCGCGAGCGATATTCTTAGAGCTGCTAAGGGTGATGAGGTGGCGTCAGGAAGCCCCGCAACCCATACGACAATATGACACGCATGAGGGCTTTTACACGTATAATATCATGATATATTTACGTTACGGTGCCTGCAATTCTATTTGAGGCTCGTAATTGGGGGTGCGTTATTGAGATGTCGGCGCAGAATCATTACGGCGGTGTGAAAGTGCCTATTAATGTATCATGCGTCTATTAACATTTACCATCTATTGAGTCAGAGTGGTGTATTTTTTATTTTGGGTCGTTTAGTTGGTTAAAAGGCTTGTTCTCTGGCACACGCGCAAAGTACGCCCGTGATTCTATAGGTTTTTGCGGGCTAAAACTTGCAGATGCATTAGATTCACCATATGACACATATTTTTAGGTAAGTTTGTAATATTTAAGGGATTTGCCACCCCGGTTTCCTTTTGGTTGACCCCTCAAATATTGTCTGAGACCTCTGCATGTCCGGCTAAAGGATCTTTTGCAGGCACCAAATCGTTGTGTGCTGGTCAGTTTGTTAAAAAATTATGAAATTGTTCCTAGGTTTGTTACAAAGGTCAAAACACACGCCCAGTCTTGTATATAAATTTTGTTTATTTTGGACTCATTTGGAGTCCGTGTTATTTTGCTGAGGTTCTGAATCATACCCAGCAGAATCTCTCGTTGAAAAAGTCAACTGGGAAGTTTGTCTAGAAAATTTTGGGCATGCTTACTTCCCAGGGAGTGCCAGCGGTGTTGCAACTCCGTTGCGTGTTCGTGTATAGGCGTGGCGGGGTGAATTGCTGTAAGGTGTAAGATGGAAGACAACACAGGGTGTACTGTGGGCGATTATTTCGACAATTATGACAGTGATTCGACACCCATCGGATTACCGGTTACCTTGACTGACCTTTTGGATGACTTGTCGATAGCAGGCTCTTTGTCTTCCTTCTGTGATTCTGGCCGCAATGGGAACCGTATAACTTCCAAGCAGCCTAACCCTGTTGCTGTTGCGGATGAAGTGACTGAAACTTTCAATGAGTTGTTGAAGAACATGAGTTTGGGTGGGGCCGGTAACGAATCTTTATCAACCCAAACTTACGAATCTGCATTTCCAAAAGGGAACCCTTTGGACGCGTTCAATCCGTACCCACAGTGGGCGACTCCGATTGCTCATTTTCAAGTTAATAGCAAGCAGTCTAGTTCGTCTAAGGAAACATGTGATGCCATCTCTGAAATGTTCACCACTAATCTTTCGGGTGATGCATCAGCGCTAATTTTGTCTCCTTACAACTGTGATAGAAGTCAATCGGATTGTGACAAATCTATTGGTCAGAGCACTACCTATGGTCCTGAATGGGACCTTGTTGCACCTGGTCTTTCTACTAGTGTCTCTACTCTTTCGGGTATTCCTGACCTTTACAACAACCATTGTTACTCTTTGGAGGAGTCCCTTCGTAACATGCAGCTTGATTTTGCTAAGGTGGATGATGTATTGGCTAGCAAGCTTAACGAGACTTTACTAAAGTCCGAAGCGTTTGATATTCTTCGACCTAAGGTTGATCACAGCGCCGAATCTACCCAAGTGGAGGAACCGCCTCAAGAATCGTTTGAGCATAGATTGTTAAGAAGCGTGAAATTGAACGGTGCCAATGAGTTCCGTCGCACATCAATTTGCAAGTACTGGCAACGTGGAATTTGTCAAAATTCCGACTGTAACTTTGCCCACGGCAAAAAAGAATTAAAAGGAACTGTAGGGGTTTGGAAAACCACCCTTTGTCATCATTGGAAAAATGGGACTTGTCGTATAGGTGCCGATTGTCGTCATGCGCACGGTGAGGAGGAGTTGCAGCCAAAGAACATTCCGCTGCACATACTGAAGAACAGGCTTTTGAACACGATAAGGCGTGAGAAGCCTCCTCAGCGTAAAAAAAAGACTAGTAAAGCAAACGGTATGGAAGAGTCTCCTGATGTGCCGCCTGAACCCAAAGGTGCTGCTTCTCCACGCCCTTCTAGGCGTCGGAAGCGTAAAGGTAACGGCAACAATAATAATGCCACTGAGGTACAAGCCGAAGTACAGTGAGCCTCAATATACTTCTGTCGCCCCTTTTACACGTGGATTGCCTCACTGTTCAAATTAATTACCACAAAAAAGGTTATTTTGAGGCATCTTGTAGTTGCGTTGTATGTTTTCGGGATATGCGATCAGAAGGCTTTACGTCCTTGTAGCTTAATCCTTTGAATGTTATAGCAACAAAATTTTTTTAGGGAAATATGGTGGTTGTACCACTTCACGATGCAAAAGATAATTTTAAGAGTTGAAAACGCTTCCATCTTGGTACTGCAACTTTGATTGATTTTATTCCTTTGCATACCTTACTTTCGAGGAGTATCATCCTGTATATTGTTGCCTGGATAGGTCGCGTTATATTTGAAGTTGCGATACTGGATTTTAAATGGCCAACGGAATTTTGTAGAATGCCGTCATGTATCTATTCATGAGCATATACTGTTATTGTTTTCTCTTATGAGTGCGAATTCCACGGTTATAAACCCATGTTGATCGAACTTCATTTCACTCTCTTTGTATTCACTTGTTTCTTTATTGTCGTTCGAGTCATTATAATGTTTAAGTTTCAAGTGCAGCACGTTTTAGCGTTTGTTTTGCAATTGACATGCAAAAAAATGCGTGTTCAAATACCGTCTGAGCATTTCCTTAAAAATGAGTGTTTCCCATGTCGCCAGAGCAATGCTGTGGATCGTTCAGAATGGAGGCTATTGATTACGTATTAAACGTTTCATTCTGGGATAACTCACATACAACCTGAGATGTTGTGCAAGTAGTATCGTCAAAGCGCGATTATACATATCCAGATGACATGCCCGTCCTTTTGCCATAAATGTCACCCTTCACGCAAAAACCGCGATACGTTTATATAGGACGCATTCTACAGTCACAGGAAAAACCTCATTGTGGCTCAAGCAAGTTATTCTGGTTGTCCGTGTTTCTTACGAGAACCATCATGGCAAGAACATCTACCTGGATTCAAGGACTTCTAAAGACACTGCGTATTACCATTCTCTTAGCGCAGTTCGCTGTTAATACACGAACCTTCATTATAATTTCTTCTAGTACCCATATATTTTATTTATCACTCCAAGTCTTAGTTGCTCATTGTACACCGTCGGCTGAGCTTCCGCTGGGGCCGAGGGTGTGCCCATCCTGCGATGTCTAATGACAAAATTATTGTCAAAATGGTATCCCGTAAGCCTTTGAGTTATGGGCTTTATTCAGCCGCTGAAGTTCGCGAATTTGCGAACGACTGGTCGGAGTTCGATAGTGCGATCGCGGTTGAAGGTCCCAGACCAACTTCTTTTAAACCTTCTGCGGCTAGTGAGAGTTATTTCCATTCTTACAGCTATATCGGTATACATGAGGAGATGTTGAAGGATGCAGTTCGTACAGGTGTGTATTATGTGTGTCCACGTTGATATGTTTTAGGGACCTATCACCGGGCAATAACGCAGAACCGGCACTTATTTGAGGACAAGGTGGTACTTGATCTTGGCTGTGGTACTGGGATCTTATCACTTTTTTGTGTTGCTGCCGGTGCTCGTCATGTTTATGCCATAGAGTGTAGTACTATAATCCACTTAGCAAAAAGGCTTGCGGAACAGAACGGAGCAAGTGACAAGGTTACTTTTTTACACGGTAAATGTGAGGATCTGGAACTCCCCGTGCCCAGTGTCGACATCATCGTTAGCGAATGGATGGGTTATTTTTTACTTTACGAGAACATGCTGGAATCCGTATTGTTTTGCCGTGACAAGGTAGGTATCCTACGTTTGTGTTTTTCACGCTGTGCAGTGGTTGAAGCCAGGTGGTTTGATTTTTCCAGACAGAGCACGGTTGTACATGTGCGCTATAGAGGACGCTGAGTACAAGGTATTTACCCATGAATACTTATATATACACTTGCAGTGTGATAAGCTGGACAGTTGGCGTGACGTTTATGGTTTTGACTTTTCACCTATCCGACCCTATCTTCTTGAAGAGCCTTTGGTGGATGTGGTGGACAATAAGACGATGAATACCACCGATTGTTGTGTGTTAGACCTTGATTTGCATACCTGTACGCTTGCTGATTTGGATTTTCATAGCGAATTTATGATAATAGTTCAACGAAAGGACTATATACATGCTCTGTGTTTCTGGTTCGACGTCACTTTCTCAGCTTGCCACATGCCACTGACCCTTACGACAAGTCCCCGAGAGCAGTATACTCACTGGAAACAGACGGTATTTTATCTTCCAGATGATCTGATTGTTGATTGCGGTGACAAGATTAAGGGCATGATAGCGGTGCGGCGTAACGCTGATAATCCGCGTGATCTCGATGTGAAGCTTCACTATCACCACATGGGTGAGTGTATCTATGTGGTACCCATTTTGATAACCTTCACTAGGTATGAACCACAGTGTGGAGAACAGTCACTTCTATCGCATTCGCTAATGGTGTCTCAATTTTTCAATATCTTGTCAAATCCATTAGGACAACACGATTGTAGACATATCACATGGAGTACAAAATTAACGTGTGTCCGGTGATACAGCAATCAGTACCTTTCAACGAAATGCACTGGTTCCATGGCTATGACGGCCTCTGGTGCAGCCTTAACAATGTAGCCTGGTGCTACCGGGGCTGGCTGTCTCTTGACCTGTATCTTTTTGTTTTCTAACTTGGCCTTGCGCTTAAGCTCGTCGTTAATAGCAACACGTTTCAAGAAATCCTCACGGCAACGGCTCTTACGAACGTGTCCGATGTGGACGTGAATACGCTTGAGCAGCTGCTTTCCACGTACTACTTTTTTGATGATGACACCCAAAGCCCTTGGGGTGATGTTGTATACCATTCCTGTTTTGCCATGGTAGTATGAGTATGGCATACCCTTGTGTACGGATGGGTCACACAGAATGTCGACATAGTCTCCTACGTGGAACTGTTGTAGGTAACGTCCAACCGAGGGCATTCCACTGCGTCTGAACGCCTTGGAGAACTTGTCTCTTGTACGAGCTCTTTTACCGAACGAGTGCGGCATTGTGATATCCGATTCCCAGATGGGGCCTGAGCGACGTTGAGTGATTCCACTTTAATGGTCTCCGGGTTTGGTAGCGAGCGGTATACTGTAAGGCCACACCAATGGAGTAATGTCACGAAAGTTTTGGGTAGGCCTCAGTGTGTTACGTCGCGTGTTACCCCTGGAGCCTCACTGGTATATTGAACTTACCTTGTCTGTAGGTTCTCCCGATCCTTTTGCAACCGGTCGTATATTCTGTGATATTTAATATACGCAGGTTCGGTTGCTAACAGTAGTGGTGTGATTAATCAGGGCTGGATCGACAGCGGCATGGGGAGGGCCTGGCCTCCTCCCCATGAGGTGAGGGGTGTCGACCGGCTCTACCCATTACGTCCACGTTAACCACTTTTGCTATCTAATAATCGATTTCTAACCAAATAACCTGCCTTATTGGGCCATTTACCGGTTGACTGAGGTAATTGCCGTCAGATGTGCGCAGCGCCTGGATTGACCGTGCTACCAACATATATACTATGCCTTTCTGAACTCAAATCGAGAATTTGCTATTATAGGGACTTATGTGTTAGCTATTACACCGCTTAGGATGACTAATTAGATAACGATGATTATTTCGAAGTAGCTTATTCCGCTTCGACTATCTTAGCCTCAGCCCTGTTGTCCGCGCGAGTTGCGTCATCGAAAACTTCTACGAGCTGTGGGATGTCACATTCGTGTTCCTCTGAGTTAGGTGGGTGAGGTAGGTTAATTCCCGCGGCTGAGAGCTGCTGTATGATCTCTGGTAGTGAGATTTCACGTTCCTCCTCGATACCCGATATGACGTATGTGTTAGCGTTAGGCGCGGCCTGCACTTTAGGGTTGTTGAAAATGAGTACGTGGCCGGTGTTTTTGATCATCTGTACCTCTTCAATTCCCGGAATGTTCGCAGCTCCAATAGACCTAAGTCCAAACTGTAGTCGTTTTTCATCTCCTACAACTTTGCTAGTTTTTTTCATCTTCCTCCTTGCGGTTCCCTTGCCACCAGTCTGGGTACCGGATACACCCATACGTGCTCTGAGGCGTTCGCGCGCCGCGAGCATGTCCGGTGTTAGATCCTCTACAACTGCAGCTGTCATCTTGATTTAGATGAATTGGTAACCGATGCTTCCAAGTTCTTCAAAAAATGTTAGCTTGCCACAACGTTAACCTTGATAACGTCTTCCTTTATAGAAGATTCCCAAGGTTTTAATGATTGGTGTCAAGCACAACGCTGAAAATTGATTAATTCAGCGTAATTAAGATATTTTCCGCGTCGAAAAAATTCGTTTAACGCTTGTTTCCATGTGGAAAACTGTGCAGCTCGCCCTTCACAAATGACCCCGCTAGTTTCCAGCGCCTGTCCCCTGCAAAAAGCATGTGCCTAGTCTTGCAAGTAAAAATTTACGAGGATCCGTTTGACACTGCTGTTGTGTCTGCCGATTCGATGCTGGTACTCGGCCGATGCCTCAGCCGTGATGGGGCATAGGCTTTTTACGGATGTTTCAGAATACCGTCAACCAGCTGGAGGCTAGAAGCGTTACCATAAGATGTAAGAACGGTGTATTAGCATACAATACGGGGGTGTCTTTGGACCATTGCGCCCCGAGGATTCGAATTCTATATATCTAGGAAGGTTTACTTCTATAAATAACGCTATTCAATCCGTAATGACCTCCAGGCGATATAGATAGTTCACTTGCGTCAAACTGGCGCGTTTGTAATTGGTGGCACTAATTTAGGAGCATCTATACATGGTATGGTATCCCTGTCTGATATAGCGAATCCAGTACTTCCTCCCTGGAAGGAGTTGATCGATCCGTCCACTGGCTCTGTCTACTATTGGAACACTGTGACCTCTGAGACGAGCTGGGAGCGCCCTGTGTGCGCCGAGCTCTCGGCTGATGCTCCGCAATGCGACAAGGGCGCTTCACCGCAAAACTCCAGCAACGTTGCCGAAAAATGGCTGTCTACCTATCTCAGTGCTACTAGCACGTCAGATCGCATTGTTTTATTTTTTAGCGGTCTAGAATTAATACGAGCTGGTATTGAGGCGGATGACGCTGCCCACCATGAAAATGCCCAGCACGAAGCTGCGCGGGTTAGTTACACACACTCTGCTGCCTATGTTGCTTGCAGCTGCTAGAATTGATAGATTCTGCGCTTGCCTCTTTATCTGAGATCCTCGAAACAGCATCTGCTGGTACGCGGAGCTACGTGAAGTTGGCAGGATACAAGGCTCAGCTAGAGCGGCAACGCAAGATTGCTATAAGCTCTAACTCATCCAATCGTACAATCTACCCAGAAAATATAGGCGAAATATGCGATGAGGTCGCAAAACTATCCAGCAACCTCCGTGAGCTTACGCAATCCAGAGCCTCGGGCACACCCAACCACTTCTCGGCCCTTTGTGACGACTACAGTATCTACATGAAGCGTAAGCGCCAGAGTGCTCTCCGCGAGCGTTGGGCGCAGTTTAAGGAATCGCGTCGCCAGAAGGAAGAGTGTGCCGACAGTCAGCATGACCCTGGTCCTGAGGCGGAGATTGACGACAATGCACCTACCACTGTAGAATCAGTAGCCCGCCGAGCTAAAGCGTTTGATAAGGCGCGTCAGTTACAAAAGCGTTGGGCTCAAGCGGCGTCTATGCTATACGACGACACTGGCTGGCACGAAAAGATCGGCCAGAGGGAATCGGCTGGCCCAGCCTCGTAGACAGTAAACTATACGCGTGCCAGTTGACAAAAACTGGGATATGTGACATTCGTTTCTCCTTTATTAACCACATATAGTCGACTATTACCAGACATTGTTAACTATAGCCACAAGTATTAACAGTTGTTTATGGCGAGACGATCTGTGGGTCCAATGGCACGTGAACGTCTGCCAATTGGGGGAAGACCTTGCTGAGAGGTCCGTGAGATGAGATCCACTTGACATGGACACCCTTGTTTTCTAGTCTGCCCTCAGACTGATATTTCAAATAGTCCTCTCTAGTGAATTGGGTGAAACCCCAGTTGTTTGAGATGAAAATTTTTTGTCTTCCGGGGAATTTGTACTTGGCTCTACGGAGTGCTTCTACGGCCTTGGGTACCAATGCCTCCCTGGTCCTGACGGATATGAGGATCTGTCCGATGTTAACCCTGGCGACAACACCATTGGGTTTTCCAAAGGCACGTCTCATACCGGTTTGTAGTCTATCAGCACCAGCGCACGAAAGCATTTTGTTAATACGCAGCACATGGAAGGGGTGAACTCTAACCCTGATGTGGAAGGATTCTTTTCCTCCCGATTTGACCATGAACTTGTTAGCGCAAATACGAGCAGCCTCCAGAGCTTCTGAGGAGATCTGTTCGTACTCACCAGAGATGAGGTGTACAGCGTATGGGAAGTCATCGACATCTGCGCCCTTAAGTCCCATATCGTAGATTCTGATTTTGGCGTCGGGTACACCCCTGCAGAACCTAGATTTGGGGTATGGCTTGTTTTTGCAGTAGCGGTAACACCTGGCAGGTCTGCGTCCCATCTTGTCGGATTGATGGTGTTACTGTTATAAACCTGAGGATATATGAAGTAGTGGTTTCCACTCGAAACTCAAATATATTGAACACAGTTTATCACGCTTTTACTAACCCCGGGTTACATATAAATAGACCGGGTCCGTTAGCCACTTTTCAAGGATATCTAGGCCCAGTGGGGAAACTCGGCCCAGCACCTTTGTAACGACAGGATACAACCAAAATCCACACAACAAGGATACCTACCTGTAGCCTTCCGATTTGTAGGGCTGTGAAAATAATAGCTGTTAAGGTGTGTTTACCTTAGCTTCAGACGCGAATCTCTGAGAATGGGGTATGTGGTCTGGCCGTCAGCGTCGTCATCCGTTAAGGCCATTCACACTTTCCTTCACAACTTTTGTCGCCATCGCTTTCCTAATAGTACATTACGAGGCATATTAGTTAATTTGGGGGTCGTTAGCCACTCCTTACAACTATCACAAAACCGTCCCCTTACCTACGCTATTTGACGCTAAGTTTCTATGCCGTCGCCTTTTTGCCGATCTATATTACATGTTTAGTTGATCGCGAATTTTTTGTGTCATTTATTGTGTTGTTTTAGCGCCAATAATCTGGGTAAGGTACGATCGTCGCGTGCTTTCGACGCTTCAAATCCCGGTCGTGAAGTATATTGCTTAACAGGAACGCGTTTTAATGTTAGTTTTATATATAGGTTGTCTATGTTGAAGGTATAACGTTTGTATCCTATTTCACAAGCAGGTCTGGGTATTTAAGAAGAGTGTAGCGGAACGTCCATGCTTTGACGCGCAGCACGCTACACTTGATACTGGTACCCTACATCAATAGCGAACGTATTTATTGGTCAGTGTCACATAACTGTCTCAATATGCCGCCCGCGACACCATTTTTTACGGCCACCCATCACTGTACTATACAAATCAATAGTGATAACTTCAAGTCACGCATAAGCCTATTACGACCGTTATTGTGCGTTGGTAGCTCTTTGGCTCACGACTTGTTGTTTGCGATGCTTTCTGCCCAGGGCTGACGCTGTCAGTTCACTCCAGCAGGTTGGGGTCCTCTGTGCGATTTTGAGTTGTCGATATGCGATCGGCAAGTAGTTTGGCAATCTTCCTATCCTTGATTTCTCTTGCCACGTTCACCAGTAAATTGAAATTATCGAAATCCTTATGTGAATAGTCGTCCTGCAGCCGTTGAGGTATTGACATTTAAACCTAACCTTAACCGGTGTTGTACGTTTTGGTGGTCTCTTGTATAACGTTTGAGCTACCTCCACCGGCTTGGGTAGCGCGCATCCTGATAATTATATATTGAGTTCAAACGGAACTTACCAGACATTTTGCAAATACGTACACATTCACCGTTCATCATGTACCTCCTTTTCACAATTGTTGGCTTCCTGAGATATATCATACATCACTATAGTTACTACTTACTTGGTAACAGGGTCTACTAAAGCCACGTTAGAGACATGTATAGGCATCTCCTGTGTCAAGAGGCTGGGTTGTCCTTTTTTGAAATTGGGATTCCAAAAGGTCTCTCTCTATCACACATAGCTTATAATTACAGTTAGAACATACCATGTTACAGTTTTCAACGATAAGTTGGTTCTTGCGATGGAAGATTTTCAAAATCACGCCCTGCCTATTCTGATCCTGACCGTGTAGTACCTGGACAAGATCTCCAACCTGCATATTAAGGCAGGCAGCAAGGTCAACACGTCTAGGTTGCCTTCGTTCGCGAAGCGGTTTCGGTATAGAGTTATATTTGGAGAAATGAAGGAAATATGACCGTTCTGGGATGTGCCGATTTTTGGTCAATCGCATCGCCTGGAACTGCGCTTTTACTAATTTCGCCATTATTATTTGTAATATGTGTGATATTGTTACGCGCAGATGGCGCGTCCGATCGGCTGTAGTGGTATAGTGTAAACCCTAGACCATCTCATTGATCTCTTTAAGACGGCATTTAAGAGCTACCTCAACACACCGGTCCATTCTAAAAGCTTTAAATATCCGATATTTAATTCGAGGAACATCCATGTACTTCTCACTCGTCACCTTAATCTTAAAGATGAACTCTGAAAGACGTGCTTCCTCAAACACATTCATCAAATTCTTCCCATCAGCGTTCACGATGTTACTCTCGGATAACGTTATCAGCTCCTCTGCTGACATCTTGCCCATTATATCCTCGCCCACGTAACCGGTAGCGGTAGCCCATAAATGGCCAGTGTCATCTGCTAATTTCAGAGATAGGACATACGTATGCCTAGGATTGCGCGTTGAGTTGCAGCGTGGGCAGATCCATTTTCCTGTGTCGTTAGACATCTTCCGCAGACACTCCACACAGGCCGGCCATGAAAATGTAGACTCTTTAATTACCTCGATCATTGCACGGGTGGTATATACCACGCCGTTGTCTCCAAGCGATTTGAATTGTAAAGCGTTGTTAGCGGCTTGAGTTACTTCACGGATCGACATAATATCCTCGATACTTGACTCAGGTATAGGCCTCTCCACATCGAAGCACATTTGACAACCAGTCTATTCCATAATTATTATATCGCCCAAATCACTCACCGTAGACCACCATTGCTTGATACCTTCAGTTTCTGCAACTTGAGGGTGAATTGTAACCTTGGTAGAAGCCTGAGTATCCAACCGTTTGCCCTGCCAGTCGCCAACCTTGACACCTGAGCCATGTGTAACTACTTATTACAAAACACACCCTTGAAAGCGATAACAGGATGACCTTCAAGCTCATTCAGTTGCACACTGCTGACCTTGGTACCCCAAAGGGTAACCCATATCGTAGCACAAGTGGCGTCACATATCATTAGACCACGCTTCTCCACGCTAGTACCACCGCTCTGATGAATCTGGGACATCAAAGTATCACAAATACCTTATTCTGCACCGTCTTAACGTCCTCATGACGAACTACAACGCCAATCACGTCGATTATAGTCCCTACACTGATGCTTTCGATTTGGTTGATGGGAGTAAAGCTACACCGCAAAAGCGGTATTGATTCGTCATTTTGGTCCAGCAGTATCTGCGCATTTTCGTCCAGAGACATCTCGCATGAATGCTCAAGGGTGTTGAACTTCTTGTTAGCCGGTTTAAGCTGTCCATTGCTAATAGAGTAAACCTGTATATGATGCTAGTCAAAACTACCCATCGTACCTGGCCATCCTCGATAAAGTTGTACCATTTAGTGACGGCTTCACCAAAAAACGCCGCACGTATATCTCCCTAGACTCAAATGTTCAGTTGTGCCAATGTAGACTCACACTAGCATCACAAAGATCGATAGAAAAAAGTTGCCCTTCACCCCATTGGTTGTTGAACTTTCGAACTGGAGACTTGTTCGTCACCCTAGCGCGTATGGTCCACTTCGGTGTGTATATGTTGAGATCCGAGATGTTTATAAGGTTTGAAGCTACAGGATCAGTAGTTTTAACCACTGGTTTCCATGTATTCGGCGCATAAGGGGAACTTTGGAGCTTCTGCGTCGAACCAGGCCCATATTGTCGTCTTATAGGACCGTAGCCTCCACCAGTAGCAGTATTTGTATGTCTATAACACGATAGATTCACCTATAAGTGTAACCTACGGGCTAGGTACAGCAGGTGATCCACCTTCTTGTTGCCTGTTTGTTACGGTAAGACCCTATGTATCGTAAGATAAACATATATAGTCTCGTACCGGGTGATACACCAGTGCCGGTGCTAGTCTAGAAGTTACATTAGCGAAATCTCCTGGAAGTATGGCTAATTTTGTCAGAAGGATAAGGTAGCGCGACCTGAGAAGACAGTGCCATTAATATGGCCATATGAGCTTACTTAGTGGGCGTAACTTTATACTGGCTGAAGCTTATAATCTTTCCTATCAAATTAGCATCCCCGTCGGCGTTAGGAGGAACCAATGCGAGACACGTGTGTTTGTGTTTTACTGGCACAGAGCCATCGACCACCTCTATCCTGTAATCACATGAATGTCGTTTTAATCACGGAATATACGCATTTTAATATAGAAATTAACTTACAGGTACTTGTTATCGGCGACATGTGACTGTTGTAGACAGAGAACCTTCACCGCGTTGCCGCAGTCATATAGCTCCTGAAAAAAGCTACTATTCGCTTTGGATATGGAATCCGCAAGTTGAGAAAAAAAGTCCGGCGTAAGGATACGCGGAAGCGACATTTTATTAACTGGTTACTAGATATGGGTAGACTATGCTGTATGGAGCCACTATGTGTATGCATATTAGTCATTATAGTTCCGCTAATGTTTGGTTGCGCCAACCACGCGCTTCCACCAACGACATCCGTCGTCGTCACGTCCGCCATCCTTTGAACTTCCTGTAGATTTCGTGCTAGACGAACTCTCCTTATCGAACTCCTCTACTAGCTCCTTCTGCCTTGCTGTTAGCTCGTTTGGAAGTTTTAGTTCCAAATGCACAACCAGGTTCCCGTTATTACGACTGTCTACCTTCGGCGGTCCTTTGTTTTTAAGCGTTTTAATGAAAAACGGCTGACAGTTGGGAGCGATAGTAAGTTCGGTCTGTCCGTCCAAAGTTGGGACCATAACGTTGCCACCGAGTAGACACTGTTTGAGCGATATTGGAATGTGAACGTGGATATCATCATCGATCCATTTGAATATTTGGTGCGGCTGGATGTTGATATTAACAAAAAGATGACCACTCTTTCCACCGCGTACACCGACGTGCCCCTGATTGGGTATGCGCATCTGCATACCCTGACGAACACCTGCAGGTATATTCACATTGACAGATTTTGTTTGGGCACGATCTCCTGAACCACCGCAAGCACGACATGGATGAGCTATCACTTGGCCGCTGCCACCGCAGCTCCTACAAGGCACGCCAATAATGATCGGACCACGTTCCATTCGTTGGACACCTGAGCATCGTAAGTATTCCACCACTTTCGGTCACGTATACCTGTTCCATTGCATATTTTGCACACTTCAATGCTAGTGCCAGGTTGCCTTCCGAGACCTTTGCAGTCGCCGCAGGCGACCCTTGCTGGTATATTGATATTCTATAGTAACAGCTGAAAAAATGTAATAATACTGGCATACCTTAGAGCAACCTTTTACAGCCTCCATAAATGATATGGTTATTTCCGTCTACAATTTGTCAACGTAACTGTTACTAGTACCAACCTGGATATCATCACCACGAGAACTTCCAGTAAAGGAGCTACCCATTCCATGCCCGCCAGCCATACGTGAAAACATTTCAGCGAAGTCCGTGAACATAAATGATGAGTCGCCAAATCCACTGAAACCGGCTGAACATCATATTAGTTGATATAATAATAATATGTTACCTGAAGGGTCATAACCACCATCAGTAGCATTCATTCCTGTTTGGTCGTACACTTGACGTTTTTTAGGATCAGAAAGCAGCTCGTATGCGCTGAAGAATAGTGGATCCAATACACATTACATTCTCACCTTGATATTTCAGCCATCTTTTGCTTAGCGTCTGGAGATGGATTTAAATCTGGGTGGTATTTCTTGGCTAATTCCCTGAATTTGCGCTTAATCTCATCGGTAGTTGCATTCCTGCTAACTCCAAGAACAGCATAGGGGTCCTTATTGCGTCTAGCTCTTGAGGTATGCAAGCCTCTTGAGTGACAGCCAGAAGGCGATGTCGCTCGTAATTCTAGCAATCCAGAGCGTCTTCCTCCACCTTGCAACAGTTTATTGACATGGTTAGCGCGCAGTGCCGCTAGAGGTTGTCCGGGCGCTAGGCAACTGCAGAATCCGCGCGCCCATCGCTGCCGCTGCGATGCCAGCGCTTGGAGTACTGCCTCACGCGCTGTAACCAACCAGAGCATATTGTTCTACTAATTGGTCTACATTATGCACCTAACTTCTGCCAGTGAGGCAGCTACTACGTAGATGACGCTATGCTGTGAGCACTATACATCAGGTTACACACAATATATTATATACGTAGCACAGCACGTTAAAAATTAACGGATTTAAGTTCAATAACAGTGCTTTCATTGATGGAGAAGTTCCAACGTCATCTCGAGCTGTTGTTCTTTGCTTGAATGTGATATCTGTTCCTTTAGCTCTTGCCTTCCATGGTTCTTACGGACTCCGTTGGTATCGGAGTGCTGTTCTCACTGGGGCGGTTCAAAACCATCTCTTAGTGGATATGGAAGCTCCGGTGGGTACGGCAAGTAAGTGATGTCGTCATCGTCATCGCTGATACTGCCGTAATACACTAACACTGCAACAAAACTGACAATAAGTGCTAAGATGATGCAGGATCCAACAATCCAGTATACGTTCGAAGGCTTCTCTTCCTCCTCCATTTTGGTGTACCTCGATAGCCTTGTAACTGGACGTCTTGTAATTTTACGCTTTCTTTTAGAGCCAAGGGACTTTCTAAACGGTTTCGTGCGGGTAAGCTTAGATTCCATGCTATGAAGAAGTTATATTTTCTGACCATACTATAGTAGATTGGGAGATGCGTTGGGCACATCGATGAAGGTCACCAGTGATTCAAGTTATGCATGTAAAAGATTCTATTTTGACCATTTTCTCGGTGATTATTGAGCTTTGAGAGTCCGTAGAACACAAAACCACTCGTAAAGTTCTAATTTATAATGGTACATTTTTTTAGTGTCCTCCGTTGTGTCTAAGACGACAAATGGGACCCGTTATATAATTTCACGCATTTGGCCCCTAGGCGTTTGCGTTGCCGATCTACGTAGTTTGCGTTTCTAAGCCGTGCCACGTTGAGTCCTTCAACCGGAGGAGACGCAACCTGCCACTTCAGGTACTTACTTCTCCCACCCTACGTTGAATTAATTATCTCGAAATTTACTATTCAAGTAGCAGTTATGATGATGTTGTTACTAGTAAAAAAAATTATAGAAATTGTGTGAAATTTTTAAAAAAAATTATACTACGAATCTGTGGGTCAGTGTCCTTCGTTGGCGCACCTGCCTCAAAAACACACTAAGGTAAACATTATAATCTACAATACATTGTAAACGCAACACATATCATATAATAACTCATAGCATTATTAATATCGAGTTCGATTCATTGACTTGCTCAAGAATGTTTTGTGGCGCATTGGGCTTTGAACACGGATCCACATATTAAAACAAAACTGAAACATTAAAGTTAAAAGCCAAAGGGGTTTCTTTGGGATTCTAACGGCCGTATTGATCTTGAACACAGTTAGGAAGATTGCTTGATCACATGACCAATGTGAGTGGTTGATAAAACAGGGCGTTTGCCACGCTAGAGTGGAGACACGTTTACCGGCAAGAAATATATGACTATTCCATTATTTTCCTGGGATCGGAACCCCGAATGGTATCACATTAAAAGTTGTCAGTCCATAATCTAGAAAAAAATAGCCCGTATGCCACTGTATATCATAATAACCAACATGGATAGTCGAGATTTTATGTATTTCTAACATGGAAAAAATGCTAAACTGGAATCAAGATCGTATACCATTTAATCGGTTCGCTACCTCTCTTTCCGCCTCTTTGAACAAATTTTTGTGGTACTCATCGCTGACGACGTCCGGCTTTATAAGCTTGTCAGTTATATCCGTGATTTGTTCAGTAATTTTGCCGAACTCTGGCAGCTTCAGGCTACTATTCGGATCTCTAGAAGTCTTCCAAGTGAGCATCCTGTCCACGCCTTCGTAAGAGAAGTTATCAACACGTGGATTTGTTGGATCAACAATGGGTTCTATCCCCTTACCCGGAAATTCTTCTGCCATCCACTCCTCGGGTTTGGCATTGTCACTGCTCTCAGAGAGAGTGAAGGTCACGGTCAGCACAACAGCGGCGATTGTCAGAGTTACCAAAAAGAACAACACCAAAATCTTTTGACATTTCCATATAGGACTAGGTGACTGTCCACCGTTGGTGTCGACCCAAGCGAAGGGTGAGTTATTTTGGTTTCTCGTTTGTTCGTCATTTTGCATGACCAATATAGTCTGTGGAGTGCTGGTCGCTCCTGAACCCTGGTTCAAATTCATATTGAATTAGAACGACAAAGGAAAAAATAGTATCGCAGATCCTTAATAAAGGAAAGCTCCTATCTCAGAAAGATGATAGGCGTTTAGTTTGCTATCCCTAGAAACCTCGTTGCTGTATGTTGTCTTTCACCTGTGTAACAATGCCGTGTGTAATCTGCCTTAATGAATTGTCACAGAGTTATCTCTGGCAGATAATGAATGCGTGTAACAACGTATAGAATGCTTGGTTCAAATAAAAAGTGTACCTCAACGCTGTCTAATCGTCCCTAGGACCAAAATAACAGTTTGGCGTGCAGAGGTGTCACGGTGTGTGATTTTATACAAGACAATCTAAGAAACGCTAAATCACTAAATGTAATGTACAGTTATATTCCACAAATGTCTAAATTAAAATTTACACATTAACGATATTCAGGTGCCGTGCCCCTACACACATGATCTGGGCGGCACCCGGGCGCGCTGCAATCTCGGAGTCTTCGTCATTAATATTACTATGATATAAACCACATATCATCGATAACTACATTTTGTCATGAGTTGAAATAACCGAAAATGTCAGTAGATGCGTCAACGTCAGGATGCATTGACGGATAAACCAGTCACCAGGTTCTACAGCTTTATTATCACGTTAGCAAGTGATATCTCACTTTCACTGGACAGATACATTTCTAAAGGACATTTAGACATAACACAGTGTAATACGGCCTTAGAGGCAATGCGCCACATCGGGGGTGAGTTCAAGCGCCCTCCTAGCCACTAAATCCATCACATAATTTAAGAACTGAGTTTTTTTCCACGATGGAGTTGGTATCATGGCGCACAAAGGGTAAGTTTTAGCGCTGGATTGAAAGTGCTATTATGCCACCGTGTCAATGATGTGTAGCGCTCGTTTCCTTCATGTCGGTATTTGGAGTTCTGGCATTGGCGACGGCGTACCCATGGGACAGGATTTGGTAAGTCATTGATATTTTATCATGGATACATTACAGGTTCTTGTTGCTTGGAATTTTTGGAGTGATGGTTGTTATCGACATGCTATTCATAACACCAACTGACTTCAATCTGGACCCATTCTATAGGTTTGTCGTAGCAGCATCATTCACAAAACTATTTCTAGTAATTGGGAAGCACGACAACAGAGGACAACAACATATTAGGTGGCTAACACAGATCGTCCGAGGCGGTTGTGCATCAAACCTTGCAGTGTCAAATTTGTATCTTGCGGGCTGCAGATTTTGTACGAAGTTTAACACTTAATAACACCGCTAGATAAATATGTGCGAACAAAACAATTGTCAATGAAATCGATATTGATGTACAATGTTGCAGCTAATGTCATTAACCTATGTAGCATAGGCAATCTGGTTACACGGGACAAACAACTTGTAAGACTTGTACTGCATTTTCAGAGTCATGTGCTCTAATTTAGTACGCTTCTGTTTCTCGGCTTGAACTATGTGTTTCTTGTAACTGTTGCTGAGGAACCTGAAACCACTAGGCGCCTTGCTCATGCCATAGCCATTACGTAGGGCCAAATTCTGCTTATACACATAAGATACATCCCTATGAATAGCCTCACGGCCATTAGGTAACGTAAGGTTACCATAACCATTGATTCGAGCCCGAGATAAACCATAACACGCTAGGCTCTGAAGGGCATCCTTGCAGTCTGTTTTTGTAGTGATAACGTCCTCCCACTCGTCGTCATCCGATGTGATGGCACTGTCGTTATCCGCGATCGCTGCTGTTGGAATTAATTCGGCATATGAACTGGTGAAGTCATAAAATTGACCAAGCTCCTCAAGGTCATCGTCGTTTACCTTACGGTGTTGTTTCTGCTCCATATGATGCAAAACTGCATAAGTGCTACGAAACTGCCTTTGACAGTATATACATATATTTTGATTATATATTTTATCGTGTAGGTAGCACAGCAGTCCTTCCACAGAGATGACGTACTCCTTCTCTGGGATGAAAAAGGAATAGGCCTTGGCCATACATTTCAGGTTCTCCTCGACACTAGAAGCCCTCCTACCACTGAAAAGGCAACACACGGGGTCGTACGGCACAGCTGTAACGCCATTTTGCGCCGCGTGGGCGTCACAGTGCTCATCGAGATGACTCGATGGCACACTGACACGTATTGTAACGTCATGTGACGTATCTCTAGGTTTGCGATATTTGTGCATTTTCATTTTAGATTCCAATGCGCTGTTCTTTATGGTCATCATCTGCGCGAGACCTTCCTTCAACTTCATATAGTCGTCGTGACCAACAGGTGGGATGCCATTACCCTTACGCTTCACGTTATAAAGATGCCATTCAGATTTAAAGTGCGATTTTTGAGACGTGACATCGGAAAATAAAGCATTACAGGTAACACATTTCTTAGTGTCATCCACAGGAGGCGCGACGGCCTTAACACTGTTTTTAAGGAAGCACAGCCCCTGAGTAGGTTTAACCGCTATTGCCATTTTTTTTATAATTGACAAAGTTACGGCTAGTGAAATCAACGAGCTTTTTAGTGGGCAACAGCAAGGTGTGGTGCTGAAGGACGGCTGTCACTGTCAGACCATATATGTTATTTCGCTTGATCACCCTGGCGCTGTGTGTATTACGCTGCCGAAGCTATCGTATAGCTGTTGGAGCAGGAAAAAACCTGCGCATTTCATTTTATAGGGGATTGTCGGCCGTACCAGGCCTCTTTGGCACCACGGAAAAGCTTTCGTGTAACGTATCAGCCTCCGAGCTGAAACCCGCCGAGTTCAAGGGCAGAATCGTAATAATTGACGATGGAAACGCAGATAAATATGTAGAATCACCGGCTGAACTATTAAGCACGCGTACGTTCTGAACAAATTTGTAACACATCAATTATTCAGGCTGTGTCGGTTTCGACCTTGAATATGTACCAGACTATTACAGTTCGGTGCATAGACACACAGCTGAACGCACGAGACCGGCTGTTGTCCAAATCGCCGGTAGAGATGTGTGCTTGGTCTACCTAATTTACAAAATAGGGCATCTGCCCGAACCCGTTTCGTCGTTACTACGTGATCCCAACGTACTGAAGGTTGCTCATGGAGCACCCTCGGATATGCGTTTGCTATTTAGGCACTTTGGCGTATGTAGCCGCAATTTTGTAGATTTGCAAAATGTATGCGAAGAAATGCATATACGACCATGCAGCTTGAAGGGTGTAGCGGAACAGGTGTTAGGACTGAAACTCAGCAAAACACAGCAGTGCTCAAATTGGGAAGCATCAGCACTTTCCGAAGCACAGATCCGCTACGCTGCAACCGACGCATGGGTGACTTTAGAAGCTTTCTTGAAATTGAAACCACCCTCCTTTCGAAAGCTAATAGTCAACGAAACGGGTGACGTAAAGATTGACAATGTGAAGGCCGATGGCTCCGAGTCTACTGGGAACTCTTGAACTTAAGCAATCTTACCATTCTACGTTCATGATCTTTTGATAATACATCGAATGCCCTCCTAGAATCTCATATTAGCAGTAACAATAGTAATCTCACCTTCTCTTACGAGGTGATGAAATAAAACACTCGCTAACTCTACGCCGGAGTCGTCTAATGCCCGGCAGTTCACCAGATTCATGGACCATAGGGTGACGAAGCAGGTCGTAGCTATCGACAACAAAACCTCTTCTAGTTAGAGTTATACCACTGTAGTTAGTTATTCCACAGTCTGACAGATATTGCTCCACATCGCGCCGTGTTTTGAACTTTTTGAAACCGGGGTCATGTAACAAGTACTGCTTCTTGCTGTGTGCATGTTTACGGTAAACGAAATACAAAAGTGCACCAAGCATCCTGTATATAGTGAAATTAGGATATAAACAAGACATACTGGTTATCCGGTAGGTCACGGCCTCCGAAATCCACTCTCACCGGCAGTGAGGGCATGCTCTCTAACGTAGCACCAAAGTTATCTAGAAAAGCCTCAGATTGTTGTGTTTTGGATGGTAGTTTCCATTTTTTCACAAGCGAGTTTAGTGAATTCTGTAGATGTGCGAGTAATACGCGTTCGTGACCCAGGTAAAAGAATATATTCATGTGTTGTTGACGCTGCCTCTTACGAAACGCCTCGGAACCTTTAGGCAGATCGTAATGAACAACTACATCCGATGAAGGCAACTTGCCAACATCATTATCGATCAGTAATATTGCAAATTGCCCTTTTCTGTAATACATATGAGCATCACGGCATTTATACATACCGGAATCGCCGAAGCATGAGAGCCTGTTCTGTCCGTTTTTCGGGAAACCTTTGTAGACTGCATTATTGTAAAAACAAAATTATCTATATGATACCTAGTGCTAGACTGTAACACCTGTTTCGTGTTACGGTTAGAGGCATATACGCAAATCTTGCTACCCGGACGATCAATAAGCAACTTCGCTACAGTTTGAGCAAGGTCCTCGACTTTCTCACGGGGATTAGCAACGAGATGTGCATAGTTCTGGCATACTGTTGTACGTTAGAAGGCTTTCAAGGTACTCTATTTTACCTGGCGATGGTTTCAACCTCGTGCTCGGAGCATCGACCGCCAACTTAGCCAGAGGGTACTGCTTGTATTTTGGGTTGCAGAATCCATCTTGTGTACGAAATTTAGGGTTATATAGTTTATATCTACGTGTTGTTGACGATAAGAATCTGCACATCGCGTGCGTTGTCTCTCATATATCTGTTGGCAACGACGCTGCCGGTATGCGTGTGTCGTGCTGTATCATTACTGTGAGGCACAAACTAGACAGTGACAGTATAAGATGAGCGCTCAATTTTTGCAGGCAGGATTTGGGCTCGCGAACTACTTACAGTCCGCGCTTTCGCCCGGACCTGTGCGTGGCGGCGATGTGCTAGGCGAGTTCGAACAACCATTGGATCGCCAAGCACAGCCGCCCGCAATGATTAGATCGCTAATCGATTCTGCCCGTGTATACTTTCGGTTGTCTCACCAAAATGCTATTAACAACCTTATATGTGTGCTTATGCCAGTAGGCAAGGTACGACATTTAGTGCCAGACTTATACATCCCTGCGGTCTCACTCTACACTTTCCTACTATTGAGGTCGTTATATGTCATACCTTTGAGGGAAATACGCCCGCACTTGAATGATGTGCTCGCAAGGACACTAACACGAATCAGTCTGGTATTCACAGCGGAGTTCATACTGCTTACGGCATTGGTATATCTGACTTCACCGTCTTCACCATCACTAGATGGAGCTTCAACAGGGAGTCCAAGACCTTCGAGCTATTTACAGGGTAGTTCGTCAATGACTGCTGGGACCAAGCAGTTTGGCAATGGCTTGGGTGAGCAGACCAACGATGCCATGAACCCGTTCTCCAAGAGCCTAACTGGATCTACAACAGCACCAACTGGACAGATGTCTGCTACGTACCTTGGTGGTTCAAGTTCTTTCGTAAAACTTGATACTACACAATCGCAATATGGTGTTATGTCTCAACCTGCGACAAACCCATTTGGAACACCAAGTCCGGTTATAGACAGCGTCGCAAACTCAGATGCTGCTATATTCAAAGGTGCAACGAAATACTTCGGAGAACATATGACCATGCCTCTTACTGGAAGGTCACCACTAAGGTTGGCACAGAAGATTTTTATCATAGGTTACAAATATGTGCTATTGAACTGCTACATTCTGACAGTTATGATCGCTCCCATACGCAGCGTAACACTGTTTATGGCGTTTTATGTGAGCGTGTGTTCTCTACTCTTCTCCCTGCGGATGATAGTATCTCTGAATTCGGGAGAAGATGGCAAGCCTAACCCTCTTATGTTCGTCTTCCCTGTGCTTCAACCTGTTTTTTGCTACATTCTACTGCCTCATGCATGAGGTATGCGCGCCAACAGCCATCATACTAGATGGTGAAAAAAATGTCAAGCGCAAATTAACACGCGGGACACAGCCCGCTAAACCCATAATGCCTCTGCAAATCATGCAGAAGGTACATGGGATAGAAGGATCAAAGCATCACCACGAACAAATAACATGCCACAGTCTCGGGAAGTAACCTGTATGGCATGTTACACAACAATGTTTAATATCTGACCTTTGTCACTTCTTGGTTTGTCGCAGAATCTACCTCCACAGCAGTGAGCGTCTCAGTTGCCTCAGATAACACAATGTTACAGTGTTCGTCATATGCCTATAGTAAATCTGTGAAAATAGGAAGTCAAAAAATTACATGGAGCCTGCCGACGATCTCACGGCCACCTTTGCATTTCAGGTAGACCCTCTCATCAAGATTTATACGAATCACATCCATAGGTTCCTTATTCATCTTGGCACATGTGACAATTTTGAGAGATACGACAATCTCCAAGGCAACATATGGTGCTTGTCATGGATCGTGGGATGGTACAGCCGGCGCACACGAGGGCTTGTTAGTTTAAATATATATGGGTATTGACTTCAATCCATTTATTTTATTTGTAGGCACACTTTGTTGCCTCGATACGAACATTTAATACCTTGGGTGTTTTCAATTGATGCGTTGTTGCGTCAATAAACAAGACCATCACACACCTAGGCAAGTATTCTAACTTTGTCATTTTCAGGGCGGACACGGGCACATTTTGTTGTAACTAGCTAAATTATTCTGACGTTCGAAATGGCGACGGATTTGTTTCTAGGCCTAGTGGAGCTCAGCGCCTTTGATGCCGAGGCCAACAAACCACTCGCCAACCTGCAATACTCACGCGTTCTCTTCAAAAGCTCTAAAAGGGGTGGGTAAACAAACCAAAATAATACATCGGAAACAGATGAAAGTGACATATATTGCGGTCTCAACGGGAACGGTGAATGCACATACTATGCTGCACCGTTCCCTGAAAAGTTTCAGACAAGGTTTGTTACGAGTGCAAAACGATATAATAGACCAACAGCTTTGATTTACTCAAAGAACTTGCGGAAACGTATCCTAACAATGACCATCTTGGTGTACGTGAGAAACAAGTAGCCCCCAATGGAGAAGTTAAGCTAGGAGATTACAAGTGGACTTCATTGAGCTTCGTAAGTTACAACTCTCATCAATTAAGTGATGTTACAGAGTATCACCACTGCTATGATTATTGGAAGCGCTCTATTGAGCGAACCCGGGCTCTTGGTCGAAACTGTCCTTGACGACGATATTTTGAAACGCGCCAAATTCCTGGGTATATGGGCACGCAATTGTCCATACTGGTTATTGACGGACTACGCATCTATTGCGTACGGAATTGTAACTGTACCGTTGTACGAAACTATGGGCGACGAAGCGCTTCTGAAAATATTCGAAGAAACACAAATCCAAACGCTTTGTATAGATGCCTCCAAAATGCAGTCACTATTGCGTTTACGTGAAAAGTTGCCAAATGTAAAGAATTTGGTTGTATTCGATTCGCTAAGTGCCGAGGAAATGGAGCAGGCGAAAAACGCTGGTATGACAGCTGTTACGATGGACGAACTTATTAACCGTTACCGTAATAAAACGCTACCCCTGCCCAAAGCAAAACGCAGCGACATTGCAACTGTAATTTATACTTCAGGTACCAGTGGGATACCAAAGGGTGCAGTGCACACAAATCTCTCTCTAATGGAACTTGCACGCAGGGTATACAGCACAGGAAACCGGTTGCACACGACGTCACATTTCACAACATTGAGCTACCTACCAATGTCACATGTATACGAACGTTTCGTGGAACACTTTGCGCCCCTGAATTTGGGGCGCATTGGTTACTACGGTGGAAACATCAAAGATCTTATGGATGATATACAAACATTGCAGCCAGACCTTATGGTGGGAGTGCCGCGTGTATTTACCAAGATCCTCGAAAGAATCAGATCAACAATTGATGGGAAGCCAGCGTGTTTGAAGGCCTTAATTAATTGGGCAGTTAACAAGAAACGTGAGTTGCTTGTTAAAAGCTCCGAAATTCCGTCACATTGGCTATACGATATCATACTTAAAAAAATTAAAAAGTCATTCGGTGGGAAATTGCAAACCATGGTGTTGGGATCTGCAGCTATGGCGGAAAAGGATATAATTGACCTCCAAAATTATCTTACCTGTCCTCTATCTGAAGGATGGGGAACGACCGAAATAGGTGTTGCTTTTGTCCAAGATTTCAGAGACAAGAAGAAAGGCACCATTGGAGGACCCATGGGTGATGTAATTTTCAAGTTGGTCTCGATTCCGGAGATGGAATACGATGCACGTGCAAACCCACCACGTGGAGAATTGCTCGTTAAGGGTAGCGGATTTATGTTAGGCTATCTGCAACGCCCCAAAGAGACTGCCGAAGTATTGGATGAAGAAGGATGGTACCATACCGGTGATGTTGTTGAGCTGCTGCCAAATATGGGACTAAAAATTTTAGACCGGGCACGCAACTTCTTCAAACTTAGCCAGGGTGAATACATTGCACCCGATAAATTGGAAAACCTATACATAGGTTGCCCATATGTAGAACAGATATTTATTCACGGTGAAGCCAGCCGAGACTACATCGTAGGTATAGTAGTAGTAAACAAGGACGCCGTAACGGCATGGGCAGCAAGCAGAGGCAAGGCTAATATGCCAATGGCTGAGCTGCTGAAAGATAGTGCGTTAATTGGAGAAATTCAGGCATGTTTCACTAAAATCACTGAACAAAACAAACTTAACGGTCTGGAAAGGTTGCATAAGTTCACGCTCATTGACGAGCCATTCAGCGTAGAGAATGAACTGTTAACTCCTACCTTCAAGACCGTACGCAAGAAAGTACGCGTTCGCTATGAAAACGAAATTAAAGCAATGTATGAACAGTGATAATACTTATCCTGGGACCTCACATATTCGCTTTAATGTTTGAACATTGTAAGCTGCTTATAAGTGTATAGCCCATCTATAAGATCTTCTAGCTGCTTGACAACTTCATCAGTGACCTCGAGGTCGCGCAGGAAACGTTGTATCAACGGTCGGCAGTCCCACATTAGCTCGATAGGAATGAGACCATTGCTAGTGTCACATCCAGCTTCCGCGTATGCCAAAAAGTAAAGCAATGTTGCCACCCTCGCTTTCGCGGGGTGTTTGGTGTCTATTAACGAAAACATTTCATTCCAGAACGTTGTTACTTGACTGTCAAAGGCGATCTCGACAAAATTATCTAATGACATCTCTGCAATCCGCCAATGGATTGGGTCGTCGTCTCGAGTGAACATTGTATTGGTGTGCACCAACTCATTCCGGTATGTCAAGTGTCTCACCAACCTGTTAAAATGATATAGTTTTCCTCCACGAACCAATGTGGCAAGCGCCGTGGCAAATATATGTGGAGACCGTAGATTACGCCGTAACTCAAGTGTAGAATGGCTGACTGCTACCTGCAAACATGCGAATTCAGAATCGCATACGTAAAGCATCACAAAATCAGAAGTACTGACTATCGTTCTTGGACAAGTACGAATCTTGAGAGTTGGTGTAATCACAAGGTTGATTTGAGTGCCTTCTGAATCGAGAACAACGACACGTGCAATGTCTCCCCCCCGCATGAAGAATGGCTCCGTATGGTAGGCCACCAACGGGTAACTTCCACATTCATGGGTTACATATAGGCCAGTGGCTATATTGTAAAAGAGAATTGAGTTGTGTACGAGTGATATCAGCAACGGTATCTCAACATCACCAGAATGGAAGGTGCGCACACGTAACATTTCGATCGCGTTTGGTAATTCTAGCACAATTTTCCATTCTCCCAGTTTAGCAGTAACTTCACCAGTCTTGTCTACATCGATTTTTATCTCAATCTTCCGAATACGCCCGTCGCAACTGGAGACATAAATGTCATAGACCAGCAGATCCTCACTGGCAAACCGTAGCAATGTGTCCATAGAACTGACATGACCTGAGTCGATTAATGCTATCGATTTATATTTCATTCCGTGTTCCGGCGTCTCTACGGTGGGGAGAGGAAACAGCTCACCTATACGCTCTATGTCAAACTCATTGAGACGTTCCAATGGTTGATTCACCTGAATGGCACGAGCGACTAAGTTCTCAAATTCAGTACGGCATCCAGGGGGAAATCCTCCAGTAGAGTACCATACTAACGGCCGCGAGGCCTTCTCCTCCTCCACTTTGGTTGGAGGCTTGCAGTTCCCATCACAACAGTTAACGCCACATCGATCGGACATCCATAACGCTATTAAACGTTCTTTAGACGCCAAAATACCAACGAAACCGCCTGTTGGCCCATCTTCAGGGACCTGTGCGAAGTGGCACAAGCTAATCCCCGGGTGTGAAGATTCGACATTCTCACTGTTAACACTCATGTTGCTATCACTGTCTTCGGACGATGAAATAATTATGTGACTGACATCGGGCGTCTCTAATGAGGCGGCAGCTGTGAGGTCGCATATTTTCTGCGCGTGTTCGCGCCACGTATGTCCACTTGCACCCACCTCCACTTCATAGATGACTTCACCGTGACTCCGCTTTGGGAGCCACATTTCTATTCTATTCTCCACGTTAATGGTACACAGAGCGGAGGTTAGGACACCCTCTCTACGGATAGCAGGGGGTGTCCAGGTAGCTGACACAATTCTGACCCATAGTAAATTAGACATAGGAAAAGGCCCACCTTGGCCATGAGTTTAGCAATGCCATGCTGGCAATTCGTGCCTATAGTTCAATACTAAGTGAATTCCGGTCATCGCACCTGCTCGTCGAGGAGCGTTTCGGGCGTTGCGGAGTTCAACGACAAAGTGCTCCTGTAACTGTCAACAGGTAAGTCGGGGAACTCGCCAACGCCTTCGCTGTGGATCTTGCAGACCACCTCGACGTAAGAGATATGTGTACGGAGAATGTAGACCTGGTCGAACACCACGAGGGCGACCTGGTTGTCTTCAGACGCTGCACCGAGGCAACGCCTTGCAAGACCATGGTACCCTGCGTTGACCCGTGTATCTTCGATATGGCATAGCACAGACATCCTAAGACAATGGGAGAATTGCGATTGTGAGTTACGGTCAATGGGTTAAGGCTTTGCAAAACCCATTTGCGCGATATGTTCACACCGCTAGGAGCTCCTCATCAGCCATTGGGCCGATGCGGCAACGTCAGTACGAACTGACGAGTGTGTATAGCTTATCAAGTATAACGGATAATAATCGTATTGCATGCGTGCCCTTTTCAGATGAATTGGGGCGCCCAGTGCCAATATCGCCGAACGACAACGGACATGCCCGGCAACGATCTCATTTATCTATATCGATATAGGAGATACCCATACCATTTTATATGCAATGTTGTTGGTCTTTATACAGCATTGCAGGTAAGGCTGGGTTCAATAATCGAGCTCTAACAACAACGGTCATGTCAGCGAAGGATTGCAAATAGGCCTCCTTAGTTGCCTTCCAGCACCCGGTGCTGATGGTCATTCACGCGCTATTGAGATGGCTCTATATGGAAGCCAATGACCTATGATAGATCACTAAACGCATGCTTAGTTTGGAGGCGCGTTTGGCGTGCTATGCCGGGTCCCCTCCCTTATAACCAATTCCCAACATTGCGGGGATAATTCACATATTGACTAAAGCTACATACTATTTCACGCTAATATAAACCAACTGCTTTAATATGTGTACCCTATAAACTACGTTTCCGGTATTCCTCTAACAGGAATCCATCGAACGGACTACTATTGTTTGTCCTTCGGGGTAGCGTAAACAACACCTCTAGGTGCTGGCTAGCCAGGGGAGGGTATGTAAAATGTACTCGGTAGTGGACGGTGTCTTCTATAACTGATGCATCAGGCCTGCTAGATGAACAGACACACTTAGCATAATCATGCCTACTGTTCAGGAATAAGATCCTGAAACACCCCCCAATAGTAACCCGTAAGACATGTAGATGCTTGTATTGTTGCTATGTGACACCCAAATTAGCCATCTGTGATGTCGTTACACGCATGTGAATACCTCTGACATAAGGTTACTTGGCACTATATTCAACCTTCTATCAGATATTTCGCATAAAACATCTTTGCATTGGGCACCCCGCTATGAAGTGGTTACGGAAACTAGGGGTATATGTTTGGTGAGTTAATAATGCTATTTTTAAAAAATTATTTGAGTAGCATGATGTAATGCCTTTTTTATGAGTAGTGTCAGAATTTTACAACGGTTAAGGTACCTAGACAGAAACTATTGATAGATGTTAAAACCTAGGACCTAGAATTATTACCACCATGATCATTGAGTGACACTTTTCACCCGGGGCTTCTTGGCTTCGGGCTCAGCATCTTGCACCGTCTTCACCTTTATCTCCCGGCCCTTTTTACTCACAATTTGGGGTACCGACTCTTTTGGTACTGCCCCAGGAGTGGAAGGCGGCTTGTCTTTCTTGGTCTTCCTAAGATGTACTTTGCCATGAGATGCCGCTATGTAGGAGTTGTTAAAGAACACTAAAGGTTCCTTGTTCTCCCTCTCACAAAGATCATGGACAGAGGAAGTCTCATGTATGTACATGACAATGATTCTTGAGACATCCGGAGTGATCAGTACCTTCACACCACTAATATCCTGTATGACGCTAGAAAACAGGTCTGCAAGACTCATATAGGCCTTGTCGAAGATGTATGGAACTGAAACTGCTTTCTCCACCAAATTCTTGAAGTCAGTACCTGCGATTGTGAGCAACGTAGCAGTGGCAATGTTGATCATCTGTACCCATGTGAGAATGTCACCCGCTATATACTTGTAAATGGTAACCATGTTGCTCACACGCCTCCACATAGACCAATTACGGATCATAGACGCGAAAGAACAGCCTTCCGGTTCTGCATTGCTATCAACATCATCAGTAGTAGCTGCAGGCACATCATAATCCGACTGGCTGGTGTTTAGGTCTTCCAACGTTAAAACGCCGCCTTCTCCATTATCAAACTGTTGTATACACATTATCTCGCTATCTGACGCGAAGCCTTGGGTAGGGGATGCCGTGAACGGGTCATCCATCTCCGGTGCCTCGAAGGTCATTGAGTCACTGGACCTTCCCGCACTATTGACAGCCGCACTGCCAGGAGACATCACAGACCCATTGTAAACGATATCTGCCTTTGAGTTCAGATCCTCCGCGGGAGGCCCCGCCAATCTTTTAGGTGTGCTGGGTTCGGTAAGTGCATGTGGCTTGTCCTTAATCCTTTTCCCATTCTCGCCGTTATTGGATTTGCGGTCCCCGGCTTTTGAAAGACCGTATTCCTCAGCTATGGCCACTTCATAATCACGCATAAGACGTCGAACAGACCCAACACTTTTCGACAAGTTCCTTAGGTTATCAGCCAGCTTGTTGAATAGCTTTTCCCCTTTTTTATCTTTCAACTGCTGAACTTTGGGTATTAGCCGTTGGGCTAACCGATCACGCATAGCGTTTATTGTTTGTTCGTTATACTCTAAAACGAGCTTCAACCATTCCTCATGTATGTCGTGGCAGGACACAGCATTGGTCACCTCCGAGATAGCTGCAACTACCCAACGTAAAAACCGACCATTTACCCCTAGAATCTTTCCTATTCCAACACAATTGAGACCCTGACGCTCGAATATCTGCAGCTGTTCGTCTAAAGGGTCCTTAGTATCCGTGGAAACAGGATCACCGTTTGTGGGTGTCTTCTTCGGCCGTGGTGCCTGAATTTTGATGAGCTTCGCTAAAATTGCATTCAGAAGATGCAGCACGAGTTTCCGCAGGTCTTCATTGTATAAGCACCCTTCGTAGGACTTGTAAGTAGCTTCCATCTCGTGGAAAATGGGATGGAATTGCTTCGGTATACGGGCCATGTAACGTCGCCACCCAACGGGGTCAAAATACAAATCCACTTCTTTATTCTGTTCCGAATTGTTTTCAATCTCAGATTTTAACTTAGATGCATACTGGGACACAAAATTTGTTGGCTGTACAATGGTGTTCTCCTGGTCATCTTCATCTTCACTCCAAATGGAAAAGTCCCTCTCCATTTGTTTCTTGCGCACAAGCTCATCACGCGATAAACTTAGCTCGTTGAACATCTGATCGTCGTCTATAAACGGATCGTCAATGTCGTAGTGCATATCGTCACCGCCAGCCTTGAGGTATGATACGGGATCTCCAACAATACCTTGTATGTTAAGTCGATCCGTAATTGACTGTATACACCTCAACAAAGGATCGTTAGGGCGATTCTTCAACCACATAACATCATCTAGTGAGACTTCAGCGTTCAACGCACTCAGCCTTGAGTTTTCGGAAACCACACCGTTATGTTCCTGCCCTGGGCCCTTTTCCGGTTTACTGTCATTGTTACCCTGGGATCCATTTGATTTAGCGCGGTCTTTAGCGGCATTATCATTAGACACATCACGCTTCTGACCGAGGTAACCGTCCTCGAAGATAAAGAGGCGTTCTTCACGGTATACCTTTAGACACTCGGCATAGAAGTCGATTATCATCGGCACTTGCTTAACTCCATTCACAGTCTCCTTGTGAATTGTTTTCAGCTTCACCTCAACGGATACACCTACGCAAATCAATGTGTTGGAAGCGTTGTTGAACACCTACCAGGTCTATACCTCTGCACAAATGGCTCGTAGAGAACGTCCTCCTCCTCCGAGAGGTCCTGCTCTATGAGCTCTTCGTCATCTACTACACCCTTAGATACCTTAGGCGCCTTTTCGGCGACCTTCGGTGCCGTATCGCCGTCCGGCTTGGGAGAGACGGATGTCAAGGCAACGTCGCATACTTCCTCAACAGTTCCCTGTCGTATCTCCCCGGGATGTGACGATAACTCACATGCGCTCGACATGAGAGCTGCACCTGGTGCGGTGATAAAAAAAATAAAATGCAGGTGGTTGGCTTCTATTCCACCAACTCTAGTCCGGCTTTTACCGGCAATTTACTTCAAAGTGTGTATGGTATTTAGTACTCAACACTTCATTGAGGAGGCCATAGACTCCCATGTAGTCTAGGTGGTTAGGATATTCGGCTTTCACCCGAACGACCGGGGTTCGAGTCCCCGCGTGGGAATTTTTTTTCCCCTCTACCACAGCCACTTTTGTCACAACAAAAAAAAATACGTTAACACAATGCATTCAATATGTGGTTACTTCATTCCACTCCCTGATTTTTCAGGGTACCGCACTCCTTAGTGATCCCCGCAGTGTTACTGGCCTAGTATTACATTTGCCGTGTAACCTGTGAGTTAGAGACGCATAATTGACGTCATACGGTAAAAGAGAATGTAGCTATCGGGATTTCCGTAGGTGTATTCGTCACCAAGTTCAGCGCTGACGTTACAAACCATCGTAGCTGTGTCATCGTCGCAACGGTACCAATGACCATCGACCTCCGTTGTTGCAACATAGTGGCCATAGTTTGGTGATGTACCCACATGTGACACTACAGCAAAGAGGTCGTAGGCGACTGCAGAATCCTGTGCCTTGCTCTTCAGCTCTATGCTTCGATCGGATATCACTAAGTATTGCACCCTACAGAAGTTGTCGAAGTATTTGTTAATTTCGCAGGTCTCCCGTGAATCAAGATACGTAAAGCGCTTGAGGTGCACGACGAAGATTGGAGGAAGCTGATCAAACACTGTTCTGCGTGTAGCATTAGTGTGATGGCCACAATTCTCGCAAAAGTACTGATTGCTTCCACTAAGAATTTCCCGTTCGCAGTACCGCTCTAAGCATTCAGCTACGTGACATCCGTCAAATATATCAACAGATATTGTAAGGAACGGCTCAACAACGTTATTTTCGCGATCACACTCGTGGCAAGTTGTTTCAAAGCTGAGTCTACCTTCCACTAAGCGGCTCAACCAAGTACGGCCGGGTTTCTTTAATTTTCGGGGAACATATTTTTCCCAGGCCTCATCTGCCTTCTTTATTCTTTCCCGTTCTTCCTGGAGAATCCTGTCATGGTCCTCCCACTCCTTACTTAGAGCTTTCAATTCGTTATCCATTGCATCTATCAAGAACGTGAAGAATTCGTGGGCATCCTGTTGGGTGCCCAGTTGGAAATCTTCTATATGATAATGAATAACAAACACGTGTGAAAACTACCGTTAACATCAGAAACTCTTCGCAGAACTTCCTCCGGTGATAGTACCACTGCAAAAACGTTATCAGTATTAATCGCTATCTACCTGATGGCGAATGGCAAGCTGCATACAATCTACCTAACGCACTGGATATCCTAGCCTACACAATATGATATCAAATGATGCTATATCTTACCTCGGAGCCCCTCATAGCAATCAGCCGTTCTCTGAAGAGCGATATCGGATAAAGTGCTTGAAGGATTGCATTGCAGTAGCAGTTGTTGAAAAAATTTTCAAGACCACTAGGATAAATCCGAGTTTTTCTTAGGTTGCGCCCTGGTGAATCGCCGTGGCAATCTGGCAAATGTGCATTGGCACACATATTATTTTTCTTGGCTAACAGGGTTGACTTAGGATAGCTGTTCTGTGCCTGCACATCTTGCGGTGGTAGACACGAGAAGTTGCGAAAAATTTTGTTCGCGATGAATTTTTTTACCAACTGATATAATTGGAACATTATTAAAGTCTAATGAATGAGACGTTTTACCGCACAATTGCAGCAGCTACTCACTTTGCCCCCCTTTTTCTTTGCTGCAGCAGAGAAAATTCTATGCAACTATCTTGGGCGAGACGTAATTTGAAGCTAACAGAAGCGGCGAAGCTGCGCTCCCTGCTGCGCGAAAACGGTGGCGATGACCCTGCGACGTTTGGGATTCTATTAAAAAAATATCAGTCGCAACTTTCTCCAGCGGAATGCGTACACGCCGCAGCTGTTCTAAATGGGATCTGTACTAGGGAACGCAACACACTCGAATTACCAATAAATTTTGCCGATGTGCAAGCTATGCTCTCTTCGAACATCCGAGGGAAGCTGTACGCGCTTACAGAGCCTTCGGAACTATGCGAAGTTACCATTGGGGCATTCAACCATGCTGTTGCTTCAAAAGGACTAGTTACTGACTTTGTAGGTCGACTTGAACCATTATTCCCGCGGGTTCGTGGACAGGCTCTCTCGCAGGTCTGCGATACCCTGGTGTATCTCCACCTAGCGGGTACGTAACACAGCAATGACACGTTATAAGATAGATTAGGGTATCGCACAGTTCCAGTATGCTCCAAGTTGTTCGCGCATATAGCGGCCCGTGGTTCACATAGTGATCTAACGCCATCTAACTATGTTGCACTGGTACGTTGCATGGCCAAAACAGGAGTACGCAACGACTCTTTGTGTGCCCGTGTAGGTATGTTATGCCATGATTGGTGCTTTCAACGGAATTATGAGTCTAGAAAAATGTGATAACTTTGCAGGTCACGGACTACGTTCCGTCCTGACTCTTCCTGGCAGAATATCGCCAGAGGATGCGGGAGAACTTTTGCAGTGGTATTCGAGCGATATGTTCGACAGCATCTTCATACGTCACCGACTCATTGACGCGGTACTTTCTGTGAGTAGTACATTTGCTTATTTAATGGGCCCAGGCAGGCGATGTGACCATGGAAGCCCTTGCACGTTGCACGCTGGCAGGGGTTTTTCCTACCCGTAATATAGACCGTATAGATGCGTTGGTTATAGAGGGTTGTGCAAATCTCGAAACTAAAACCACGCTACGCCTACTTAGTGGCTACGCGGCGTTGCGCTACAAGCCTCCGGAGGTCATAGAAAGGTTATTGGAGACATTGAAAGCTGACGTCAAGAAAATGCGAAACTTCAGTGATGTAGCCAGTTGTATCTATAGCATATACCTACTGGATACTAAAGAACGCACTCTAATTGATTTCTCCATGAGCTTTCTTAAGAACGACCAAGGTAGCGGTTCACAGGGCCCCTTTACACTGATGTTGCAGCACCTTTATCAGCCAAAGATCTCAGCGACATAGTCAAAGTACTAGGCGCATTACTGCACTTCAGAACAAAAGATGTCGAAGCGTATAACCGACTGTTACGCGAGACCATGAGATTGGACTGCTCATTGACACATGGCGAACTTAACAGACTACAACTAGTCAGCATCGGCTTGTGGAAACTCATGCCGGAACTGTTTAACTCCTTCGACGTTGGAGCACAGGAGTACCTCGTGGAGATTGCACACAGGACCTCTCCCGAGCCTCTGGAGATGCGTGACTGCGACTTCCAGAAGGAAGTATCAAAAACCGTCACGTTTGTCTCATATACGCTCTACAAGGAGGTATAAAATGTATATAATGCATTGCAACTTGTTATAGGTTCAAGTTGGTCCGATGCTTGTGGATTTTGTGCGTCCTGTAGGCGAAGAGGAAGTTGCCGATCTTCGCAATCGCGACATCCGACGGCCTCGAATTAGAGAACTACATGAGGAACGTATGTTAGGTGGGTTACAGGTTATAGGTGTGACATATGAGTAGCGGGACAGTTGATAAACTGCGCCACCATACTTATTGCTGACGGGCGTGACCAGTTCTATCGTAACTCCCGTGAGCGTACTGCGGACTCCAAAATGAAACTTGACGTTTTGCGGGGTCTTGGGTTCCGCTACCTATGCGTGCCGTACTGGGAGTGGGAACCGCTACCTGGGTGGAATGATAAACGCAGATACATGGAGAACCTGCTCTCCTTGCCTAAGGGGTGAACGCTATCGTACCTTTAGCCTAAAGTGGTTATTTATAACTAGCTTATTACATTCAATAAACGTTGCCAGTTTCAACAAAGCGATTACCATTCGGCGAAATGCACAAAAAAGAAGTGCTAGGTGTACATTCTAAGAGTGAACCCCGCAGCCTTCATTAAGATGAAACCTCCCCTTCCGTCTCTTGAGCGTCTTCCACGTCGAATACTTCCACGGTTGTATCGCGCTTCCAAATATGTGCAGATGAGTAATAATTGGGGTGAACGCGTAACCTGAAAACGTTAGGAATGTCATCCTTGCGGCGACGAGCCAATAGCTTCTTGTCGACATATACGAGGCGATGCACCACTCTCTGCAACCGTAGGTTCCATGCATCAGCATCCTCGGGTGTACGTGGAACGACAATGTTCTGGACGTACCACTCGACCAACTCGTTTGATGCAACCTCTTCTTCAAGCAACTCGTGCTCGCTCACACGATCAATTAACACCGCTGAAATAGCTTGGTACTCATTCATACCAATACGCATAAAGTCGTCATTAGCGGACTCTTTAGTTTCATCCAAGCCCAGACGCTCCTTCCACTGTTCCATATCCTCCTGTGTCATACCGCCATTAGCAGTGGTTGTGTTCGGGTCTAGCACCACTAGCTCTTTGTTGGAAAGACGTAGCAGAGATGAATTGAAGATTTCGTATGCCTCATCGACGTGCGATTCCTCAACAAGATCCGAGAATTTAAGACGTGCCACGGCCTCACTAAGCCGTACCAGCGATTCCAGCTGACGTACAGTTATACGCACAGAACGCTTGGAAGCCTGAGCATCACCATTGCGGAGAGCCACATAATAATGAGCTAGCTTGTGTTTTGCATCGTCATGCATAAGCGGTTTAATACGTTTAGCAAGCTCGATGTACAGCTTCAGTTCGTCTAGTGTAAGGGGTGGTGAAAATTCCTGTTCAAATGGTTCCTCTTCCATATCGTGCTTCTCTGGATCTTCCAACAGCTCGCTACTCTTGTATGCCCCTGGACCATGAAGCCCAGTAATGTGCCATGCGATTTTTGAGTCAATGCCCTCCTCAGCTTCGTCCAGTAGAGTGTACAACAGATCAAAACGTGACAGAAGGGGTGGTGGAAGGTTCACATTGCTGGCAAAAGATTTGCTTGGGTCGTATCTACCGTAACGTGGGTTACAAACGGCCAATACCGATGCACGAGCGTTAAGCGTCGCCTGGATACCAGCCTTGGCGATAGAAATGGTCTGTTGTTCCATGGCCTCGTGGATGGCTACACGATCACGATCGTTCATCTTGTCAAACTCATCGATACAACAAATACCCTGATCCGCGTACATGAGAGCACCGGCCTCAAGTACGAACTCGCCACTATCTGGATCTCGATGAACAGCAGCTGTAAGACCGGCAGCGGTAGAACCTTTACCAGAAGTGTATATGGCACGCGGTGCAAAGTTCTCAACAAATTTGAGGAACTGACTCTTGGCAGTGGAAGGGTCACCCACCAAGCATACATTAATGTCACCACGCAACTTTGAGTTGCTAGAGGACTTGTGTACACCACCCACCATCATGAGCAAGACACCCTTTTTAACCTCTGCATGGCCCCAAATATTGGGAGCAATCGAGGCTGCCAAACGATCAATAGTGTTTGGAGACTCTGCTATACGACGTACCCATTCGAAATTAGGCAGCCTGAGAATATCTTCACCACGCACTTGGTGGTCATCGTTGGAGCTGGGCACTTCGTTGCTGGGAGCTTTGAAATCATTGATCCGGCGTACTTGTGTAGCCAAAAATGACAACTTGTGATTCAAGTCTTTGACACCCACACCCTTAATGCCAGTAAGACCTTGAGAAATTAGATGTGACTCGAAACGACGCATTGCCTGTTTGTTCACCTTGCGTGGCATCTCACCAGGTTTGAGGAGAGTTGGTACGTCGGGTAGTACTATAAGTGCTCCGGAAACAACCACACGGTCGCCTGCATTTAATCGGTCGACTGTACGGTGTCGTAGCACTACGTCGATCGAACGTGGCATGGAACCTGCTCCTGACTCCTGGGCCATCTCCTGTATACGTACCTTCTGCCAGTCACAAAACTGTGACTGTTCCATCACTAGTTCCCATTCATGTAGATTCAAGCAATTGTTCGTTGTGCACTTGGTTGGTAGAGTATACCTGAAGTTTTGTCGTATGTCATTGATTAACCCTCCGCAAGATTTGCACTTGAACGTGGCCCTTATCAGCTCGGGCCGTACATCGGATGTACGAGTCACCTGGCCACGGATAGAAATAAGTTCACCTAGCATGTGACACCTAACATCCTTTAGTCGATAAATAACGCTAGGTGTATGCAGGAACTGCAAATAGACTTTTTTCGATTCTCGGTTTATCGAATAGGCCAATGCGTCTACTATCAACTGCAGCCTGTCCTCCAGAACATCGTGAACCCTGAGGAAATACTTGACCAAATAATGATACAGCTGTACGTTGAGGTTGAGTGACGGGTCTTGTACCAGTGGACGCCATCTCAAAACGTGGTCAAGGTGAACTACCAGAACTTCAGATAAGTGCGACATCCGTGATACCAATGTAAATATGCGCTTCATGTAGAATAGCGGCTGTCCAGTTTCTGTCCTAGAAATATTGTTGTCTGTAATGTCTTCATCATCAGACAACTCATCGTAGAACTCTTCTAGGTCCTCGTCATATTCTTGCGCACCGTCAGCTACGTATGTTCGTAAGAATAGGTCAAACACTGAGGATATATTTGCGTCTTGGATCTGCAGGGTCTCTTCTTCGCTAGACATATCAAGACCTGGAGAAAGGCCCATGCTCAGCAGCTGCGAACGCCGCTGGGCCGTGCTCCGATCCACTGCGGGATCTACACCTACAGAATCCATTCCTGTAGATTATATTCCAACCAAATATAATATTATGTTTCGTAAGGTGTGGCCAACTAGGCCTTCACGCCGATAATCTGCCCAGACACGCGCCGCGGCCTTCCTTCGATGGAAGCTGCGACCTTCCTCGGTCGAAGGCAAGAATCTGGGCTCTTATAGAAAGTAAAAACAATATATTAGTATACTTTATGTTATTATCGCACGTCGGGCGTTGTTACGTGAACACCATAGACAGATGCATTACACAGCTACCACGCCGATGGACTACCACCGTAGCCTATATATACAACCTAGATATACATTGGGTCATCCGAGCGAAATGTGTGTAAGATTTACACACCAGCGGTTTCCGCATGCCATTTCAAAGGCTCGGTATGGTTCCTTATCGATCATCTCGTATGATTGCTGATCTGCGAAGCTGTGTCTATCTGTGTGTTGACCGCTAACCTGCAAATAGAAACACTAGCATACGGCTAACATAAGTGGTGCTTCCTTTAGCTTCACCGGGGCGACTGACGGTGATCACAGGGTTCCCATTATCCGTGGCACCGTGCCAGCGCACGCAAGATACGTCATTGCCCAGCACTGGGTCGTCAGATCTAGCACAATCCTTGGCGATACCGGCTGGACGATGTTACACTTGTGAATTACGACGTACCTAAGATAGAGTAACGTTTTGCAGGCGTCTTCCACAATGCCTTGGCGCGCTCATGGACGTATGTATCCCATGCTTTCACTAGATATGCCACTTCCTCCGCACTACGACGGTCACGAGCAGCTTCGTTATCCGATACTGAACAACTGGTTACACTGCCATCCTGAAAACATTACGAGAATTACAGTCGTGGCTCACCATAGATGGCGACAAATCGTCGTCGTAGCTGACTTGGCGGCGTACATGTGGCTTATCATCATCCTCCCCTGTTTCTACAAGACCAAGGAAACTGGCAAAGGGTACTATAGAACACACCCTGCACTTAAACATGTTTTTATGCTGCGATGTGTACGTTCCGTCTCACGGCCAAAGACAGGCCAATGTGGATGCACGTAGCGAATGCAGCATACAGTAATGTGTGCGACTAATGTGTGATGTTAAATGTCATTATAGCAATGTGCAACAGGCACTCAGAATAGGGGTGCGACACCATTCACTGCCTCAATGACCCCATGGGAGAGGAGCTAAAACGCATCTCCGAACAGCTGTAGGCCAGCAAGACCGGCAGAAAGTAAGGTAACGACTTATAGCGCACCTAATTAAACCCACATATACCGACCATAAAGAAATTCCCACGCGGGGACTCGAACCCCGGTCGTGCGGGTGAGAGCCGCATATCCTAACCACCTAGACTACATGGGAGTCCTTTGGCTGGCGTGGGTGTGTGTTGATATGCCAGAAATAACTTGTTGACACCGCATCTACTGTCTATTCTCACTCCCGTTTTACGGGTAAATTGTAGGTCCTATGATTAGGTCATCATTGTATTTGTGCATAGTTATATTATGCGTATATTTGCGCCGTTATGTTGCGGAAGAACGCCATCGCCATTTCGCAGGATTCAGGGTTGTTAAGGATGGTTCGTCTGTTTTCCCGGGCCTGGTGCCGCAGTTAAACGACCATGTCTATCTTGCATATTATAATACCGTGCATGGTATCAACAATGATGAAATAACGACGGAAGAAGAAGGTAACCTGGTACCAGATAATGTGCAACCAGGTCTCTCGATCCTGTCCTTTCCTAAATCAGATGCTGACAAAGTATCCTCCGGCCGTGCCAGCTATGTGGAATCATGTTGCATGGCTCTCACGGCAATTTCCATGTCAGGGAGGCTTCCCGGCAGTGCGAACTCAAAGGGAAGTTCGTGCTCATTAGGCCTGTTCTATCGTCGGTGCCTCGGCCTAAACGGCCAATTGGTGTCAGATGTAGACACCCAGTATGCGTCGTGCCTTTCCCAACTGCCAAAGGGCATTACCATTGGGGACGTATATCTGTTCGAAAAATGGGCACGCCAATGCCCTAAGCCGTTATATGCCGATGATGCTGAACTGCAGCAGAAGGCCAAATCCTGTCATTCGGCTTTCAAGGGGGCACCTTCAGCAAAGGGCATGACGGACGCGCGTCATTGCTTCCTCAACGATGTATTGGGGGTTGAATGGGTTCCGTACGCTGAGGTGCACAGGGAATCAGCTACCTCCAAGATAATCCCGAACCATTCGGAAGCCGATGCTTCAAATCATCCCCGTATGTGGCAATATCAGCATATGCCCAAAGTTGCTGAATTTGCACTTGGTATCCCTGATGCTGTCACGAAGTTTTACAAAGTTGCATTAAAAAAGTCACAGAACGCCAAAGCTAAAGCGATTTCTAAATTCCTAGAATCACATGCTACAGACATACGTCTCAGATATATGACTCTTGCAATAATTAATCGCTCTGGCGAACAAAGAACTGAACTCAGCTTCGGTATATCGTTTTCTTCTCCGGAAGATGCCGCGATGCCGGAGTTCGACTTCGTCGCGCCTGAAAAGGTCCATGGATGTATGAGTGCGTCCGTTCTAGGAACAGTAGAGCCTTTGATTGCAGCAGAGGCTATTAATGCCCAGCTTATGTACTCTCAATTCGCAGGGGAAGGGCAGCATCGTTGGATGACGGTCACAGCGACGATCAACGTGTTGCCGTTGAAGCGTCTGCTTGGATTCCCGGAAAAAATATACCTAAAGGTGGCACACATGTTCGATAGTAATGTTTACCTGGATAACGATGAGCTGAATCAATCGTTCCAGCGCTTGGAGTCCGAGGCTGAGGTAACCGGTCTACATAGCTCGAAGGTGGATGAAGGAACGGACGCAAAAACGGGTCTAGCTGATATACACACTATACGCACACAATTCATCAATGTCGAGGATCCAGAAATGCGATCCTCGCCATTAATCTGGTACGGCTATATTGCGCTTGACACGTGGTCTCTAAGTTACGACCGCGTGCAGGTACGATACCGCCTACCTGTACACCTGCGATATGTGTACATGAATAAGGGAATGACCCGTGAAGTGGCTGACGCAGCTCGGGGAGAGGAGTTGTCTCAATACACCGAAGGTCAATACGCCACGGTAATGCTATCTGAGCCTATGCTGTTCGTGTTAAACACAAAAAATAGCAGATATGGAGCCGACGAGGATATAACTCCGTTGGTGGAGTCGTACATCGCATTCCGCCGACGCGTGTCCTTCCTAAATTTAGTCGCTCCTGGGTCCAAAGAAACTACTAAAGGAAAGCCGGTACAACGCTTGTCATGGCGTAGGGTATACATAACTAAGCGTGATTCAGCGTATATCACTGGAGCCTCCGCTTCCGTATGTAATCCTGACCGCAGTGGCCTGGCGTTCGTCACACGCTCGTTCTCAGTTGAGCGTTGTCCTAAGACTAACAAGAGCGCCCTCACCTATAAGGGTCAACAAGCTTACGTAGTGTTCACGGCGCCCAGGGGAGACTACAGGGACTTCCCCGTCGTGTTCATTGTCACCGTGGTCGTCACCGTGGTCGCTGCCCTGGTGTCACTAACAATGGTAAGAAAAAGTATGGCCGAACTATTTGATAAACGCAAAATGGATTAGGCATACATTAAAGCGCAGTACAAAAAAGCTAAAGAGTGAATCATTGGTAATACAACACCATGACGTCCCCTGGCTTGTAGTACAGCGCGTAGTATTGCATAACAGAACATATGGCAAAGCTGTATAAGATGCTCAAAGCAGTTCCAACTTGCAATGCTCGGTTCGCCCAGTAGTAACGAGGAGAATCCCGTCTTGAATCCTTGCAAAGTGCATATGCGATGCAGCCTGAGACTGTAAGTTTCAACCAGATTTCTACTTACCGACAAAAGGCAAGAAGAAAGCAACAAAGAATGCGATAAGTGGGAATGTCACATCATTGTCTTGTTCCATGATGATAATACGCTACGCGTGGGCGCTAGGAATCTTAAAGACCAACGTACCTCTTCACGTGTCGGGATGATTTCGCATATTTGGCTAAAGGTAACCCTCCGCCCTGACGCGCGAGGCCGACCTGATGGCCTCACACGAGCGTTGGATGGTTGTTCCTATGGAATGTGTTAGTTCGGAACCGTAATATGGAGACTTACTGCACTCATTTTGGACAACGGCTGATTGTCTAAGACAAAAAAATCTATCTAGAAGGTGTATCAACTTTTACCAGTCTCACGACTGTTTTTTGTACTTGTTACTCAGAAATAAGTTCTATATAAACTGAAGGTAGTTCCCTTGGGCGTTCGTCGGAGCTTTTGTGAGGTTGGATGCTTTTAAGTTTCATCGATGTAGGGTATTAGGGGACAAATAAGCGTTTGGCTAGCTATATTGCGGCCTTATTTGCCCCCTCTTAGGTGACACCTGGATGTGTGATGCTACTGCGCGATAAATTTTCGCATTCAATCATACAAGGGAACCAGATAAGTACCGCATTGGACGATTGTAATCACGTATTTCTCGCTGCTGTAAATAAGCAAAGAGCGTGTGTTAGCGTGGCATAATGCCGATAAACCGGGGGAGGTGACATCAACCACGCAAAAAAGTTATTTTAACCTTGTCTGAATTTTTGTGTAGCTTCTAATATGGGTGATGACGTTGTATGATTAGATATATTTCTGCTATGGAATCCAAGGTTTCGTGCCGTTGTTTTCAACAAAACGTGCCACGGTGTGTCAGCGGATGCTCACGCAAACAAACCTTCTACTCCAATAAATAGGACACGCACGCCTATTCACGATACAGACGTAGTATTTGTCGAAATTTCGCTGTGAACTTTTACGACGAATATTAATTACCTAAAATTTTATATGTATATGTGATTATAGCTATTCCTGTCGCTAGGTAAGGCTGTCGCGTATGCGTAAGTACCGGTTTTCGCTGTTTGACGGCATAGAAGCCACGTAAAGAATCTACAAACCTATTATAATATTGGAGACGCGTCGAAGTACCGTTGGTGAAGACTCCGGTGATGAAAGGTATTAGTCTAATGCCGAAGGTCTATAATGTGTAAAGAAAGCTCCTGGAATACACTAAGTCACCCTGGCTCGCTGTCTTAAAATGGATATGTATAGCCAATGACCCATATTCACAAAGTATAACTGAAGTAGTTAACGTTTTAGCCATGACAACCACAGCACGAACGCTGGCTCAGATAACTGCTGAGCCTGCGCGTAGTAGACAGCGTGTTGCAGAACACAAACGTGCTATCGGAGCCGAAATACGTAAATTAGGTGAGCCGGTGCGTCGGTTGATTATCAGCAAGGTCGTATTGCGTAACTTCAAAAGCTACGGAGGAACGACAGTCATAGGACCCTTCCACAAGCGTTTCACATCCATAGTCGGACCAAACGGATCGGGAAAGAGCAACGTCATTGATGCTATGTTGTTTGTGTTCGGATTCAGGGCTAAACAGATGCGATTCGATAAGTTATCAGACCTCATACATAACTCACAGGCATACCTACAGCTGAACGGAGATAAACCTCTAGATTCGATGGAAGTTGCAGTGCATTTCTGTGAAATTATAGATAGAGATCCTGATGTAGATGATTTCGAAGTTGTACCAGGCAGTGAACTAGTCATAGCACGCGAGGTACACCGTGACAACACATCGAAGTATCGTATAAATGGAAGGACGGCAACACAAAAGGACGTTTCAAATTCACTCAAGAGCTTTGGAATGGACCTTTACAACAATAGGTTCCTAATATTGCAAGGGGAAGTCGAACAAATCGCGCAGATGAAGCCTAAAGCCACGAAGCCTGATGAAGAAGGCTTACTAGAATATCTGGAAGACATCATTGGCACTAATCAGTATCTAGAAGCCATACGTGAGGCACAGAAGGAATATGAAGAAATGCAAGAGCAGTGTCAGGAACGATTTAATCGAGCTCGGGTCGCACAAAAAGAAGTAGAAGATCTATTGGAGCCTAAACGTGAGGCAGATGAATACATTGCAAAAGAAAAAGCATTGTTGCAGGCACAACAGGCCTTGGTACGCAAGGAAATGACCGTTATTATGCAGCAACGCGATGACAGCGCCGCTCAGCTAGATAAACTCGAACAGGAGTTTCGGGACTCCACAGCAGAACTGGAAGCCTTACATAACAAACGTAGCGAAGCTGTGCAGTGCATTCAAGAGGTAGAACGTGAATTGCAGGCCACCACCAAAGTCCAAAAACGCCTCAACGACAGCCTACAGAAAATGGTTGCCAAAGATGAAGACCTGAGGAAACAGTTGCTGAGGGAGGTTAAAAAGGTTGAAGAGAAAACGGCAGCAATTAAACGTGCAGGGGGAAACCGACCTAAGTTGGAGCAAGAAGCGCGCGAAAAGTTGAACCGCAGTGAAGAGCTCCTTAATCAATTACCAGTATTGCAGCAAGAACTTGATAAAACAGAAACTGATTTGGAAGTATTAACCGAACAGTTGAAGCCAGAACTTATGGCGGCAAACCGTGAACTTGCGAAGCGTGAATCTGAACTGGCGCCGATGCAAGTTGCATATGACCAGACACAAAAGGACATAAGTGTGACGAAATCGTCTATTGAGCTTTTAGAAAACAGGCGAAAAGAAGGTGAAAATAACCTGAACATACTAAAGGACGCCGAGAAGAAGATGAGCGAGTCCATCAGACAACACCGAACCATCTTAGAACAGGATAAGGCGGAACTGGATCAACAGCGTACTGCGTACGATAATTGTCTTAAAAAAATCAACGAACTGGAGCCAGCTATCCGCCAGAAGACTAAATGGTGTACGCAGAAGCGCGGAGAGTACGAAAGCCTCAAACGAGAACTCGACGAATTTATGGGTTCTAAAGATCAGTACAAATATATTATGGGACTGGTTGCAAGTGGTAAAATTAGGGGTGTTCACGGTCGTCTAGGAGACCTTGGGTCCATACCGCCGGAATACGAACGGGCGTTCATGGCTGCTGCTGGTGGGCAGGTCGATGTGTTGGTTGTAGACAACCCCGATGTAGCATCACAGGTATTTGATGAGTTGAGAAAACGTAATCTGGGAAGGTGTTCAGCTATGGCACTAAGCATTCTGAACAACGACCTTAGGCGGCAGATGGACGCGTTCGAGCGCGTGTCGCTCGACGGCCTGCCGCCCGATGTTCAGCACTTAGTACACCTTGTGCAACCAACCCAACCAATATATAAGGTCTGCTTTTTTTCTGCTATTCGAGACACGCTTTTGGCGCCGGATCTAGACGTTGCGTCCGGAGTAGGTTACACGTTTCGGCGGCGCGTTGTCACGCTGAATGGAGAACTTATAGAACCTGATGGGCGCATGTGTGGAGGTGGTGTAAAAGCGAAGAAGGGCGGGGGTATTCATAGGAGTGGAGGCAGTAGTGTCACCACCCAAGGTGGCACTAAACCCTTTGTGGACGCCGCACACTTGGAAGTGGTGTTTAAAGAACTAGAACGAGAGGCCTCAGAGCTTGCACATATGAAAGAGGATTTTGCCCAATATACATTAAAGGAAAATACCCTTTCGAAGTCTATTTCAGAGCTACAATATAACCTTGATGTTATGCAGCACAATACGGTCAACGAAGAGGTACAATTGGCTGAAATAACGGAAAGACTAAAGAAGCTGGAAACTTCAAAACAATATGTGGAAGACGAAGAACAACTAGAAATTATGCTAGAACGACTGAAGGTCCTGGAGGAGAGCGCCGCGTGCGCCGCCGAGAGGGTAGCAGCACAAGAAAAGGTGGTGGCCAACGCGTATGCCGCCGTCAACAGTGTAGGTAAAGGCAAATTGCGTCATGCAAAAAAGCGTGTCGAGGAAGTAGAGGCCAAACTAGCAGAGGCCAGGGGTGCTATGGAGCAGCTGAGAAGAGACGCTGCGGCGCTGCAGGCCGACGCGGACAAATGCGCGCGCGATGCTGAAAAATTCACAAGGGAGATAGAACAACACAAGGTACGGGAAAAAGATTTGGAACGGCAGCTAAATGACCTTGAGGAAGAAGCTGCTGCAGTGAGTAACGAAATGAACGGTGTTGGAATCAAAGCGGAAGCCCTAAAAACGAAACTCCGTGAGTTGAACGATGATATGGTAGCGAAAAAGAAACTTATCGAAGGTCACGACCTAAGGTCCTTAGATATGCGGCATAATATCGATGAGTTGTCAAAACGTTTGCGTACGTGCGACCTTCGATTGGAGGAACGCCAGACACGTTTGAAAGATCTCGTGGAATCGTTGCGTAAAACGTGCGCACTGATTCAAAGCAGTGAGGAGGCGCAAGCTATGGTAGATAACGCCGTCGATACGACTAGCAGCATCTCTGTTAAGCAGCATGTTATTTCAGAAGCTGGGGGATCGTCTACAAACATTGATGGTGATGTAGACAAGATGGAAGATGAAATGGCGATCACCGCCAGAAGGGAAGGTACAGCGCAAGAAAAGGGAAGCGATGCTAACCGAGCTGATACTGATGAAATAACCCATATTAAGACTGAACCCTGTGGTTCTGGAGTTATTACAGCATCAGGTGGCCTTACGAACGTCTTTGCTGATGATCCTGGGACGACCCGTGATAGTCAATTTGAGAAATTGGATGTTAAGCAACTCAGTGACCTGGTTGAAAGGCTACGAAAAGAGGCGGGCTCGGTGCCTAACCTTGGAGTTATTGATGACTTCAGGATGAAGGCACACGAATATAACCGCAAGCGCCAGGAACTACGTATCGTACAAGAGCGGCGTGATGAATCTAAACATTCATTTGACCAATTATGTTTCAAACGTAAAAACGAATTCATGCAAAACTTCGCGATCATCGCAGCTAAACTCAAGGAGATGTACCAATCTATTACTCTGGGCGGTGATGCCGAGCTAGAACTGGTGGACTCCACGGATCCATTTACTGAAGGGATTTTATTTTCAGTTCGGCCTGCAAGGAAGAGCTGGAAGCAAATACAGAATCTCTCTGGTGGCGAGAAAACATTGAGTTCTCTTGCGCTTGTGTTTGCTTTACATCATTACAAGCCGAATCCGGTTTACTTCATGGACGAGATTGATGCGGCACTTGATTTCCGCAATGTTAGTATCATAGCTCAAAGTATAAGGGAGCGGACTAAGGACGCTCAGTTTATCATCATCTCGCTGAGAAGCCAAATGTTTGAGTTGTGCAACCAAATGGTTGGAATTTACAAGACCTCCGACGTCACGAAGAGTGTGTGTATAAGTCCGGCACTATTTGACATGAGTAAGCGACTCATAGGCACGGAACCCGCCCCTGGGGTCTAAACTATTTAATGTTGTGGTTCGCCGCGCGTCCACGATAGTGGAATTAGCCGGCGAAAACGGCCGCTTGGCTTCCTATCTCTGAGGTCTGTCCGGAGTGGTGATGGAGAATTTGTTCACCGACGATGAATCGCCTCAAGAAAACGCATGTGACCAAACAGGTGTCGCAGGCGATCTAGGAAGATTCTCTGTGGACAGCGTTGTAAATGCTGAAATAGATGAAGGAATAGACATATGTAGCTCGGAAGCGCTGCTTGGTATAGTCGCCAAAGACCCAAAGGCGTTAATACCTACTATTCTACCCGGACCGATTGACTCCAGGGTATGGCTTACGCTTGCAATAAAGAAAATGTGCACAGGTAGTGGAGAGCAGCATTGTGGAGTTCTTTAGCACCCCGTAAGTCACACCTTGTTGTATAACAAAGCTGCAGAGGTACTCATTTCATGCACATTCAGATGCCAAATGTAATGCCGTGTCTCGATAAAGATCGCACACTTCGCGAAACTAAGCCAGGTCCCAGGGAACGATTCTCATCGAAGCGTATAGTTCAACACGCCATATCTGACGACCCAGAGGGCTCATTCACCTATCGTACCTCAAGAATAGGTTCACTTCCATCTGGTAGAATGGGTAGACTGCGTATACATCGCAGTGGAAGGATAAGGCTGCATATCGGAGGTCATGTCTTCAATTTTGCCCGTGGTAACCGTTTGACCTGCAAGCATCAGGTCGGATGCTTTCTAGATGAAAATGACGAATTTCTTTTTTTGGGAAACTATCGCAAGAAGTTCGTCGTTTCGCCAGATTTCCAAACTATGTGGAGAAAGTAGCCGCTAATTATACACACGAAAATAAAACAGACGCATACACCATGGTCAGGTGATTCTTAAGGTTGCGCTATTTTGCAACGATAAAAAACTAATGTTCGGTCTTCTGCAGTGCGGAAGTACCGCTTTGTAAAACATGATAATAATGATATTTGATTTTTACCTGGATTCTATAGAACTTTTTTCAGTGTGTATTCATGTGCAGTCGTAATGTCTGTTTTGGGGAGTGTGTACGCTTGCAACCAGGTGTAGAGGGCTAACGTTCATTGCTGCGGTCACATTACGTGTCAGTAGCGCCAATCCTACCCTTTTGTAGCTTTTGTGTCGACGGGAACGCAACGCACCGTTGTCATGCAGCGACGCGAATGTAGCCGATGGGGGCGCTAGGTGCATCTTCCAACCGACTAACTAGCTACATCGCTCAACCCAGCCGAGAGGGAATCAAACGGTCACTGGTTATATATAGAGCTCATAATGAGGATGTCTTTTGATAATCTGGCAGTTTTTGACCACTAAAAATGTTAGGAAACAAATTTTACTTAAGCAAGCTATGCTGCAACAACGTAAAATCGACGCATGCTCGAAAATTCTGTTTGCATTGGGCACTAACGTTTTAACTATGAAATAATTAACGCTGTAATATATCAAGGGTGTTTAACATTTAACCGGATTTATAGCCCTGTCTAAACACAAATATCGTCGTTAATACATGTGTCACTCAAATCTTTTATAACTTGGCCATGCGAATCAGTGCTGTAATGTGTGCAGATCTGTGTCCAGTGGGTCTGCCACGCAATGTGTACAACCGGTTTAAGTGTCACCACCCGCGTTGTGCTCACCGTTTTGTGTGGTTACACTTGCACCGCTAACTGACGCATTGCATTAATATTTGTATTGGTGGCAGACAAAGTCGTGCCTTTAAATTATAAAAAATCGCACTGTGCAGATTCTTTGGGTTCCGGGTTGGGCTTTCTGGCGCAAGATTGCCAGATAGCCAACAAGCGGTTAGTGTTATTGACGAATCTACGATGTCGAGCCATACGAGATACACCTGAGCTTGCGTTGGATCAACATCATCAAAATAATAACCTGGATCGCCCCGCTGTGTAATCTAAACAGAGTTTTTGTCCGGTTTGAAGAGTATGCAAAATGGACCATAGAGATGCCGGAGCAGCTGATGGGGAGCCAAGAGCCAGTAGCAGACCAACACTATTTAATCTACTAGAAGTCCTGGCCAGCGATGCTTACACAACGCCACAGCAGAGACTTAGCATTAGAGGGGTTGTTGCCGAGTTCCTTTGCAATAAATTTGAACATTCAAAAGTATACTCATACATAGGTGCTATTGTGGGACACGATGTCCTATATTCAGTCATCAGACAACTGGAATCTGATCCAGATCGTGTACCACTACCTGATCATAATGGACTTATGCGAATCGAAACAGCTTTCAGACTCAGCAGGGTGTTCAACTCTGGCACACCAGTTGATGCCGCCTTGCCGGTATCATCCAACGCACACTCGCCATCAGCGTCGATGATGCGATCAACAACCGCATCAAACACACACTTTGGAGCACCTTCGAGGGAAGAAATACTACGATCCATACGCCGAAACCTAGGAATACGCAAAGGCACGACAAGCGCAGGTGGCTCGAGGGACAATTTAACCGGGGTACGTGCCGCTTCAGCAGGGGTATTGTTGCAGAAGGCATGCTGGATGCCAATAAGAAGGTCTTTAAGCGCAGGGGCACTATACGGACACTCGCTAATATGTATCGGAAGCCGCGCGTACCTTATTGGCGGCAGCAACGGAAACCCGCAAAGTGTAAACTTTGCTAAAGCACACGTAGTAAGCCTTGTCAATTTCAGCTCGAAACAAACCAACTTCACAGGGGACATACCACCACCGAGAGAAGGAAACTCAGCTAACGTAGCATTCATACGGCAGACACATTCAATCATCATATTCGGTGGATATAATGGAGAGAGGTTCTTCAACGATATACACATATTGGACCTTGAAAAACGCAAGTGGTTCCACAGGCGACACGCCGCTGGGAGACTGCCACTACCAAGAGACGAACATTGCGCACTGGTCTATCCAGCACGTTGCGAAGCCAGCCAAAAACCAAAAGCCGGTGCTGAATTCCTTTTCATATTCGGTGGGAAAACCGGACTAAGGACGCAATTAGAATGCCTAAACGATATGTGGGCATATCACATTGACTCTGCAACGTGGGCACAAGTAGAATACCCAGCAGAAGGAAAACAACCAATGGCAAGATTCGGACTATGCGCATTATGGGCAGACGATGATACAATGTGCATTTTCGGTGGAGAGACACACGGACCTGAGGGGTACATTGACAGGTCGGAACGTACACTCATCGATGACCTTTGGATGTTCAAGTTCACAAGCCCTACCACAGGATCATGGCAACAGGAAATATATGAGGGAAATATAGGTCCTAGATCACACTATAGCTCTTTGTTCATTGCACAGAGATGCAAAGAGCTGCACACCGGTGTACCGAGGACCATAGAACGTCTCATGCTACTTACAGGTGGACTCACATATGCACCAGGCAGTAGAAAAACCGTTGTAGCATCTGATAAACTATACTTCTACTTCTTCTCCCAACGAAGGTGGTATATTCTCAACCCAAACTATCCGCGCAATTATCTGGGTGATCCATTCGAACCCAGACAGTTGCATGTAGCATGCTTCTTCGAAAAGAGGAACATCCTATTCCCTACCAGCAAACCGTCCGTACCTTGCATATTCTTCCACGGTGGGTTCCACCGTAAACGCGTTTTGAGCGATGCTTGGGTCCTCAGTCTTACGGGAGAAGATCTGTTCATCACCAACTCGATAATATCACCCAACGATAATAGCCAACTTAGGGCTTTCCATTTCAAGGACAACGTATATCCACCGTGGTACTATCGTGAAAGCCACTCTCCAGATATGTTTTGGGCTATGTGCACCATGCAACGATGGGTATTTGGTGCCATAGGACATCTCGTTGCCAACTGCCTCAAGGAAGCTACTAATAGCACCAAAATTGCTATCAAGTGGGAACCTGCACCGCAAGATGATGGCGCATTGCTCACCATACAAGACGATGGAAGCGGATTAGATTATACCGCAATGAACAAACTGCTCAAATTGTTTGGCCAACCGAAAACGGGAGAACGAGGACCCGCGCATGAGTACGGTGTCGGCTTCAAAATGGCCTTTGCGCGCATGGCATTCGCATGCGCTGTTATGTCCCGAACCAGTGATAGCATTGGTGTCGGTATGTTAAGTATGGAACTGATGTCACAGTGTGAGTCACGTGAAATGTCGGTCCCATTGTGTATGTGGCGACTACCAAGCAAAGAACTGATACACAAGGAAGGGTCACGGATGGTAGACCAGCGCCACCACCAAAGACTACTTATGGGCTACAGCCCCTTCAACACCGCAACGCTACTGGCTGAACAGATCAATCTGCTTGGTACAACTTCTGGCACAAGGATTGTCTTCTGGCAGCTGAGAGATGATATGGATTCACTTGCTTACTCACGCAAGGACCATACTCTGATGCTGAAGAGCCATTTGTATGATCACACAGACAGTAGCGAGGACGACGTTAGGCTAGGTCCGCCAGAAGTTAAGCCTCCATGGGTCGATGTCTTCCCCTTGTGGACGTCATCCCAATATGCCATGGACTACTGTCTACCCGTTTACGTGTATTGGTTGCACCTCAGGTCTTCCTGTGCAGCAAGTGTTCAGGGCATAGACTTGGTGCCCTATGACGTACGTGAAAAGCTGGCACAGCAAAAACAAATTAATGCAATGATTGAGGAAAGCATGGTAGAAGATGCTCTCATGACAAGCTTGCAACAATATCAGGGACAACAACAACAACAAATGCAACAACTCCAGCAGATACGAAGGCAACATGAGCTCCAAAGACAGATGGAACAACAGTTGCAACCGATCCAACAGCCGTCTAACACGGCCCAAGGGGACGCTTACAATTGCCGAAGTACGGGTTGTAGCTATTGTGGCGTTGCTCCTGTGGATCGTGGACTCTGTGAGGACCGAAGCCTATGGTCGTTCTTGTGCCGTAGGTTATTCTACAAAGTACAGTTGCCATATCTGTTCAACCCTTCAGACCACAAACACGGATGTTACGCGATGATAGGTTTCCTGAATCGTCCAGAATTTTGCACAGATGAGGATGCTGCAGAGGTAACCTGTGAAGACTTAGGGGAACGCGTATGTGAGACTGGTGTTCTTCTATACTTCAAGGGTCGTCTGATTAATAGGCTTGAAGGACACTTCCCTGCACCTCCCACCGAAATTGACAGTGCACGCGATGTTCCGAAACAGTCCTTGTTTAATGGGGAACTATACCGATTCGCTTTAACTGCAGTAGTCAATGTGCCCGAGTGGCTCATACCATCTGCAACAAAGCAAGAATTTGTGCAGGAAAACAACAGGGCATTCTTCGACTTCAAGGCCAAATTAATGGCGCTGCTCTCGGAATACAGCAAAGTCTGTCGTGACCGCAGCGCGAGAAAGGAATGGGAGTCACAACGCTTGCAACAACTCGTGGCTTACGACCAACGAGAGGAACAATTAAGAATTGAACGTACGACAAGCGACCCCCATGAGGAGACTCTTCCTACCTGGCGCAGCGACACGGAACGCGATGCAGCTGTAGGCGAAGCTATAGAGGTCGAATCTAACCCTGGGCAGGATGCACCTAACCCTTTCGAACAGTTGCGATAGATCACAAATGTAAGAATACGGTCTCACTATAGATTTCATGGTGTGTGAATTCGTGGCAACACTATGCAATATTGTACTCCTGCGGGGACACCGCCACGGGGCCCCGAGGAAATATGTCGCCCCTACAAGGGAGGTAGCACACATCTACAATGCTGTTCATAGACAATGCCATGTGTATGGATTTAGCAAAGATTGTGTATTCTTAAGAAATGTGATCTCAAACCGTGAACAGTTTTATGGCCCCCAATACCAGAGCGAAACGGTAACTTTTTCCGGAGCAAAAGGTATCTGTCTGTGCCACCGACCATTTAGAGTTAGAGAGCATTTCATTCTGTGCGTAAGATAGCAACGTCCCTAGGTGTGAACTGTGTGTTAGAATGTGACGTATTTTCGCGGCACCTTTGTACACAGACTCACCCGCCAAAAAAGAAAACGTGAAACACTGCATCTAAAACGCCGTACAGCACTCCGCAGTGATGTGCCTATCTAACGTTGATTGAAAAATTTTCTTCTGTGCCGCATGAGGAGGCATAAATGAGTAACTTACAAAAAAAGGGGGGCAGCGAACAGCTCGAAGCCGTTCGAAACCGGCATCTTTGGAAACACATCGGCGAAAAAGTAGTAGGTGTGTCCAACTATTATCCCCAATACGTGATCCGTGACAACGTAGCCCGCAAAGTACGATAGTATCAGCATGGCCCTGTGTGTGATTGCCTTAGTACAGCATAGACCTACCATGGTAAATAGACAGCCGGAACAGATAGAAAGAGTATGCCCACTCTACTATAAGGATTCTTACGACCCCAAATGTACGTCAGAATGTTGATCATGCTGCCACCGTAAAATATGTTTTGACGGAAAAACTGCGATAAGCCCTGAAAAACCATTAGTAATACATCAAAAAAGATAGCCTACCAGAACCATGACTGCCGCACATATAAGCATCCATAAGAAGTCCGCAGGTCGATTGTGCATGGTAACGCTTTCCAAAGAACTGCAATAATGGACCAAGACGTAAACGTTCCAAAAGAAGTTCATTCCAAAGGATCCAAAATAGACAAAACACGTGAACAGGCGCCAAATTTCACCATTTAATATCATTGTCCAACTCATGTACAAGTTAAGCGGGCTTATTATATCCAACGAACACATAACCATGAGGCAGAGCGACGTGGATATGTACATCCTGGTCATATAGGGGATAGAAGGAGCGATGGTATCCATCCTTACGATTCCCGCATATGTCTGATGTCCCTGCGATAGCGGCTGCCACTGGCAGAGTGCACGTCCGCACCCGTTGTCTGTGGCCTACCTTCTGCCTGTTTCAAACGTTCGGTTCTAACCAAAAGTTATGTCGTCATCGTGATTAGTTCTCCATAATTCAGATATATTGGTGGAATGTGTTGGCTCATTTGTAGCAGTTGTCACTGCAGCTGTCCGTGAGTGTCTTGGGCAGCGTGTTGCCACACGCGTGTCGCGATAAGTGCCCAAATGGGTAACGTGAAGTATAGCTACGCCCGTAATGGCAAGAAATATAACAATAATCGTGATGGTAGGTGATAAGATGGTTTCGGCGGCGTACCCTGCCTCTCCAATGAGCACTTTACCCTTCGGCTCCCATGCAGAGATACACACGACTAAAAGCTTAGATCGGGGCACCAGTCACTTGGGTGTGGCCCATTAGATTTTTTTATGGGCAACAAATACATTTAATAACGATTCAGCCGTCAATTTTGTCACTGTAAGCAATACTGAGTACGTAAAGAGATATTAAAGCTGTTTATTCTTTGGGTTTTGTTAGCCTCCTGAACTCCCTTGGTTTCTTCTCAGCTTTTTCATTTTTTTCAATTGCTTCTTTCGTCTCAACTGGTGTTTTTTCTTCAGATGGCGCTTTTGCTTCAACATGTAGTTTCGTAGGGAGTACTTCATCTAAGTCTATTATTTTTTTCCTCTCAACTGATTTCCTGGGTATGCGTATTGGCAGTTGGCGCTCTCGGGGTGTCCTCTTTTTAGCTGGTTGTGATGTTTCACTGTCCCCGGGTTCCCCCTGGGCCTTACGCTTCCGAGGAACGTCAATTTTTTCTCCTTCTTGTGCTTCCATCTTGAATCGTGGTGTAACGAATGCTGAGTGTTATTGCGTCCTAAAAATATGTTGTAAGGCGTACTTGTCCGTGTGGAATCCCGATGGTCTGGTTGCGTGACTGCATCATATTAGACTAGCCAAATTTTCACAAACCCTCCAGCCGGTAGTGTTGTATAGTTCGATATAAATAAGTCGTATATTGTTCAATTGAACTTATAAAACTTGAAGAATGTTCACGGGTTTCGGTTGCAGATGCCCGTACTTCTGCCGGGGGGCTTGGGTACTTGTCGATATTTTATATCGGAAGCTTGTATGTCGTAAAAATGTTACGATACAACAACTGCTTACTGCAATATATTTTGTTGTGTCACTGTGGAGCGTTATCACAGAAATAAGGTGCATGGCCGGGACACCGATGAGTCTGTGGCACCTACGCATGTGTAACTCGAACTTTTTAAAAATTGACCTAATAATTCATTTTAAAACGACAAATGGGTCCTATGTTGCCTATATTTAAAATAGAATATTTTCATCACCTTCAAAAATTTTTTGGTCAACAGAGTTATCGTCGTCTAGCGCATTCGAATAGCAAAATCGTTCAATACAACTAAAGAACGTCTAACACAATGATTCTTAGTTTGCACGACTCATTGGCGCAGACTCTGCAGCGCACAAGTTAAAATGCGCAATCAGCCCTAATCGTCATCTCATGGCACATTGAAATATGTGGAATATAACATTTATTTTAGATTTTATCCAATATGTTGATATGGCTATAGATAGAACTGACCATTATTGCCAGTTCGGCTTTATCTGTTCATAGTTTTATATGTACGGCGACTTCAGAATTATCGAACGTAATCTCAATATGCCTCGTGAAGAGATGTACACCTGAACCTACCCTGACTCGTTCCCGCTCGATCCTCATACTCGCAATGTATGTTGTTTTCAATTTTTAATCCATTAATTATAATTTATAAGTGCTTTGAAGCGTTATGTTTTTGCTGTCATTTTAGGAAAATAAATATTTTGTGCGATAATACATTCTCAAAATGAGCGAACGAATTATAAGATCGAAGATTAATTTCTTGATTTTCACATTGCCAATCGTTCTGGGACGTATGTTTTGAAATTTGCACATATTTCTGCTTATCTTTGCAATGACATAAAATAATGATTTTGCAGTTGCGGTGCCAAGAGATACTGCGTATTTCTACCGAGAAAGTCCCATCAAATGTAGGTTCAATAAAAGATTTCTGCATAGAATTATGTTGTTGAGTTATTGACATATCATGCAGATCAAGTGGTGGATAATAGGAGCGAAACCATCAAATGTGAAAATGCAAGATTGAACATACTCAGTGCTGTGGAAGATTGTGAGAGGATTATGCGGAGCCAGACACTCGATTTGAGGAAAGCTTGCAATCATAAGAGCGAGTGTGTTCCAATATTCTCTTGTGCGTCTGAGACGCGAAGGATCTATATAAAATATACATGTGTAGGTACGTTACGTGAAGGTGAAAATATTTTTTTTTAATGCTGTTGAAATTATGTCGCAGATACCTCTCCCTATGATATCGACGATGAAGAAGGTAAGATATAACTGCTCGTAGAATTCTTTGAAGGGTATACATTCTATGCTGTTTGTAGCAGTAAACATAGGAATGCAAACTCGTTCATACGGCAGCCCTTCAAGTGTATGCATTTATTGCTTGAACGATGTGTGTCAACCAAAAATGCCGGCTGCTGCACGTGTTAAGTATGTGTGAGAGCATGTTTATCGGTTGTAAGAGCCCTTTTTCATGTTTTCTGTCGTGGGGATTCAACGTTATCAGAATAACATAGTTGAGAATTGTAATGAATGTGCTTTCCCCTAATATAGTCGCAGATTACGTGACAACACAAAACAAATACAAGAACACGGTTATTAAGTGCGCAGAAAATCGTTATATTGATGTAAGAACTGCAGTTTATGGTTATGGGTGGAATAAGGTTAAAGAGGTCCGGCCGATCAATGTAGTCAATGAGGTCAGAAAACTCTGTCAACATCAAGATATATGTACGTTCAACTCACTTATTCTAAAATTGAACAAATTTCCGGGGGATGCGAATTACTTTGTTGTTACGTTCAGTTGTAAAGCAGGTGAGTTGCCTTGCATACAAGATAATTTTTTCAGTGACAGATAAATGCTATAAGGTAGAATGTGGTTTGAATTCTCATTGTATCGCCGAAAAAGACTCAAGAAGATGTGAGTGTGATGAAGGATCCATTCTGCAAAACAACCAGTGCATTGACATGACAGATTACGAAGACCCAAGACATAAATCTATCATACTTTATGGATTCGACATATCGATGCGTGACGACGAAAATGATGATCATGTAGGTGTATTTTCCGGCAATGCATCCCATTCTGGCGAAGCTATGACGAGGGGTAAAATTAATGCGGAGTCAGGATCGGTAATACTGGATGACTATGATATGCATTTTACAACAGGTGGCACCCCTGTGTATGATGCGAGTAAACACTCTGATGGGCCAGATACATCTACAGAGTCTTTACCTAAACTTTCTAATCATGACTTGGGTGGAACAACAGAGGGCAGTGATCTTTCCACCCCAGCGAGAAATTCAACATCTTCCCAATACAGCAAAGATGCGATGGCGAACAAGACGGATGATTCCCCTGAGATCCATGGTGCAACTTTGTCGTTTGATGCAGAAAAACTTCCATCATCATTGGAAAATGATAGCGGTGATACGACATGCAACAGTGGGAACGGAGGTGAAGATATTCAACGTCACAAAACAGCCATATCAACCGATCGTGTTACGCTGAAGGAAACTTCTGTTACCAAGCAAGGGGAAGTTACATCTGAAAATGGAACAGAGCCCGATAAGTGTGCTCCAGATACTGTCATTAAACCTGGAGTACCTCCATCCGAGGTTCCACTCTACGGGGTACATGCAGACTATACTCCAACAAATTCCGCTTCGAGCTTCAAAAACGATGTAGCATCAGGTTCACGTAGATCTGATGGCGAGACAACGGCTATTCTCTATTCCGAAGAAAATCCCACAGATCCACACAATGTACCAGACAAGAGAGGTAAACCAGCCACTGAAAAAAGGGATGGAAATCTAGGGAAAGAAGATGAATTAATTGACGTCGATCTTAACGCTGACTACTTGAAGTCAAATGGAAATAATGGATCTGATGTGAGCCTTCAAGGTGGACGAAGTGATTACGGGAACCAACTTGGGTGTAAAATGGCACCCGGATATGATTCAGCATCTGCAGATAAAATGGAGGAAGACAACGGTAAAAATCGTTGTGTGTTGGAGCAAAATAACTCACATCGCTCAAAGAATGGTAATGACTCTGAATGCCGGGTTTCAAAGGAAAATGCATTTCATCACGATGACAGACACCTTGGAATGAACGGAGTACGTCTTGATCATATGAGTAATCCAGATAAAACGGGGAATCCCCGCACCACACCCAGTGACACTAACAATACACAGATATATGCATCAGGACAGAATTTTGAAAATGATCGTGAAGCGCATGGAGCTGCCCAAATTACAACCCCACCTGGGTTCGAACCAGAAGAGAAACAGGCATCACGGTTGACACCAGAAATAGCTAACGGGGGATATATACCCTCGGTTGAAGCGCATTCGAAACAGAAGCTTCAAACAATAGAGGATTCAGAGGAAGGTGCAAAATTAGGTGCAAATCATGCTGATCATCGCATGTGTCATTCAAACGGTAAAAGTACGTCTGAAAATGACATATTATCAGTCAGCACAGCTGACAGCGACCCTTACAAAATTAATATGGAGAATGGAGTTTCAACTCCAGGAAGTCATACGTCAGTTGGAAAGGCCCGGGACGAAGGGGGTAGAAATTATTTGTCTAATGTGGGCACAACAACTCCTAGTATAGAGGATTTCCACCAGGGTACGAAAGTGCAGTATGACGATGCACTAGCACTGTCTGAAGGGGGTTTACCGCCATACGACCCCGACGATGGCACGTCACCTGGTGACAATCAATCCGTGATTTCTGGAAATAGCCGTATATGCGATTTCGAGAGAAAGACAGACGAATCCCCGGCACCATTTTGTACGACAACCTACGATGACGTGAGCGACGGTCTTGCTTCTACGTCATCAACAATTGATGAAATGCCACATAGGGGTGTTAGGTCTGATTCCTTCGACCCAGCTGCAGGTACGGGGCATAGTACATTAATTCGCAGTACGCCCAATAATACACCAGAACAATCTGGCAACCACAATGACGATATGTTCATGAACGAATCTGTTCCTTATCAAGTTTCATATGAAAGATTAGATGGCATTGACAGCTGCCATCATGGAGGGGGACAGGGCAGTACACGTGGATGTTATACGACAGAAAACAAAAGGACTAACCTTAACGACGAGTCGATGAATCAACTCTATAAGCAAAAATGGATGAATGAAGCGAAGATATCCAGTAGCCCTGATAATTATCAGAATAGGGCTGCGAACTCCATGGACAAGGAGCCTGTCTGCAAACTTTCGCAGAATAAAGTGCCACAACATTTCACGACACTTGATAATAGTGGAGTTGCTGATACCGAACCCATATACCGGGGCGTAACAACGGAATGCCCTCGTCGGAAAAAATTTCTTCATCCAAAATCATGTAGGCTGCAGATGATCCAAGGCGCAAGAGATCATGCTGACGAGAACCAGTTACAAAAACTTCGCAACGTCCCTGGAGATTCAACCTATAATGCTACAGGTTCCGTGGCATCCTGTTACCGTAGGTTGAATGGGAAATCACAAATGTCCTACATTAATCATCACTCTGCACGAGGTTCCGGCCCTAGCGCACCGCCCACAGTAGTTGGTAACATCCGGGAGGAAGTCACATCTTTCATTTGTTATATACCAAAAGAACTTACGTAAGTCACCAGAAGGCCTTAACCATTTTTTCAGGGAGATCTACCATCCTGCTGCCGACTACATACAGGTTGAAGTGAAAGAGGATTTACGTAACGAAAAAAAATGCCGCTACAGACGCTGCAGTAGCAATAACGAATGACATTATAATCTTTGTTTTCTTAAGATACCACATGCTTTGCATCGTAAAATTAGTGCATACGGGCACGGTTACCCCGCAAAGCCCTTCACCAGGATCAGGAGCAAGTTATAATGCGGTAAACGTTTGGCGATTACATGTATTCCGCAATCTGCACGATATTGGATCTTAGGGAACTAATCTTACCTCTGCAGGCATTTCTTCGATTTGAGTGTTGTAGTAGTTCTCAATGTTCTTCATGCACTCCATGTCCACTGGAATAAGGAAGTTGATGGCTACACCCTTACGTCCGAAACGTCCTGAACGCCCAATTCTGTGGATGTAATTGTCTGGTGACATTGGAAGATCGTAATTAATGACAAGAGAGACCTGCTGCACATCGATACCCCTGGCCAAAAGGTCGGTCGTGATGAGCACACGCGTGGATCCCGATCTAAACTCCCTCATAATGAGATCACGCTCGTTCTGACTCATATCTCCGTGCATGCTGGACACGGTGAAGTCACGCTCCTGCATCTTGCTGGTCAGCATATCCACTTTCCTTCGTGTGTTGCAGTAGATAATGGCCTGTGTGATCGTGACAGACTCGTAAAGGTCACACAGCGTGTCGAACTTGTACTCTTCCTTGTCAATCATGACGTAGAACTGTTTAATACCTTCAAGGGTCAATTCATCTTTCTTGACGAGGATGCGCTTTGGCGACCTCATGAATTTGGTTGTGAGCTCGAGAATTTCGTTTGGCATAGTGGCACTAAAGAGCGCAACCTGCACATCCGGAGGCATTTTCCGGAAAACCTCGTGGATTTGCCCCTTAAATCCACGTGACAGCATTTCATCTGCTTCGTCCAGGATAAAAAGCTTGATTTTGTTGGTCAAGAGAGCCTTTTTCTCGATCATATCAAATACACGTCCAGGTGTACCCACGACCATGTGGACACCGGCCTTGAGTTTATGTACATCGTCCCTGACGATTGTGCCTCCAACGCAAGCATGGCACTGTACTTTGAGGTAGTCACCAAGCGCGAGTACGACCTGTTAGTGTATGGGTCACATTTCACAAAACCAGTACCTTTTGAATCTGCTGAGCGAGTTCTCGGGTTGGTGCAAGGATGAGAACTTGACAAGCAACTAGACTGTAGTCGATTAGCTGTAGCGCGGCAATACTGAAGGTAGCGGTCTTTCCGGTTCCTGACTGGGCTTGCCCGATGGTGTCATGATTCTCGATGATTGGTTTGATTCCACGTTGCTGAATTGCGGAGGGCCTTTCAAAACCGTAGGAATAGATTCCACGCAAGAGGTCTTCATTCAACTTGAGGGCCTCGAAAGAATCAACGACCTCGTCGTAGTTGGATTCCATGGCATCTACACCATTGTTTGATGCAGATATATCGTTTGAAGTATCAGGAGTCGCCATTTTGAATTTAATACCGTAAAAGCTCTTAAACTAGATCCAGAGGGTGTTGAGCAGCTTTGTAGCACAGGTTGTCGCGTGGATTCCACCTGCAATAACTATGTGCGAATGTCCCGCGGTTTTCGGTGTTGTTGCCTTGTGATTAGCGCCACGAGGGTTTAATGGTAGTATACGGTTGGCTATTGGCCGCGACGCCCAACTATACGCGTGCCCCCCACTTAGCATCAGATAACGGTAGGTCCTAAAGACAACCGCTAGGCGGCGTTTAAAAGCACTCTATCAACTCTACGTCTGGTCTATTTCAATATTTTCCCTCGTAAGGCGCGTATATTGCGAGCTGTCGGCAACTCACCCTCGGTATTCTTTTTTGTGCAAAAAAGCCCCTTCGAAACCCCGCGTGTCTTCGCTTTGTTACTCACTCGCCAGCATTGCTATTATATTAACATTACACATGTGGTATACTGGGTGTCTGGGCGCCAATGTGCCAATTACTTTTGCCACTATGGCGGCGTTTGCGTTTGCCAGGTATCTGACTTTGCTGCCGTTATTGCATCCAAAGGGAAGCATTGAGTGATGTGCGTTCCAAGCTTATCCCTTTGCACGAAATGTGCTTATAGACGGCGCAGTTTCTTGCTAAAGAACCTTTGTGTGTTGTATCGTAGACCTCCCGCTCTCCCGTGTTCCGTTTCTTGCATTGGGAGTACGCTGCTAGTAATATATCGTACAACTAGAAATAGAGACACTTTGACGTGAAGGGTGGTCCGCTCCTTATCTTTAGCGACCCTCCAGGGGGCTCGCCTGTTGCTTCACTCGTCTAGTTAGAATTATATGAACTGTTTATCAACCTGCTGAACAATGCTCGAAGTAATAGTTTTTAGTGACTGTGTTGAGGGCCGTTTGGCTCGTCTACTGTGGAGTTACGGGAAATTCAAGAACGTTTCGTTATCGCTTTCCCCGTCGAGGACGGTAATTGAACTCGCTTTCCATGAGCATCATTTCCCGTAGGAGACCATTGTTAAGGAAGATGGAGAAGTATCTCTGAAGCAGTGGCCAAGTGTCCTTGAGGATGCTATAAAGGGTGCTCCCACTGAGGAGGTGCTTGTGCCTTCTACACAGATTCAGAAGGTAAAAGGGTTATGCTATTACATATGTAATCATTCCAACAGGATACAATGTATTCGTGGATAGATTTTGCTTTTCAGCGTGATTTTAGCATCAACCAGAGAGCAAGTATAGAGGTATGTCTGGCTCATCCTTTGAGCTGTCAGTTATCTAAAACCTATCGCAGACACTAAATGCGTACCTTGTGTCCCACACATTCCTTGTCGGATCTACAATAACTTTGGCCGATCTTGTTATGTACGTCTCGACCCATAGTTGGATGATGAAGTCGGAGGCTCATGACCGCGCTGAATTTACCAACGTTGTCAGGTGGTTCGATCACGTGCAGCATCTTCCGGGTATCGTGAACAATTTCAAAGATCTACCGTTGGTTACCATTGAGAAAGATATGGATTTGGTTACGGCTGTAATGGAGAATATGAGCGTAGCCACAGCAGCTGCCCCTCCCTCGGGTAGGTTAGGCTCCGAAATAGTATATTACCACCACAGTTAAACCGACAAAAGGCGCTGCTGATTCAGGATCGAAGAAGCAGAAATCACCGAAGCCGGTTGCTGATGACAGGCCTATCGCTGATGTCAGCCGTTTGCACATCAAGGTCGGTCAAGTAATGTCAGTGGAGCGCCATCCCGAGGCTGATCGGTAAGGGACGTTTAGTATTCATGGCCATCCTTTGCAGCCTTTACTGCCTAAAAATAGACTTGGGGGAACCTGATTTACGGGAAATATGTTCAGGACTGGTTGATTACCTTAAACCGGAGCAGATAATGTCACAGTACGTATGCGTACTTTCGAACATGAAACCCAAAAGTTTGCGTGGAAAGACTTCCAACGGGATGGTTTTGTGCGTTTCCAACGCCGATCACACTGTTGTGGAGCTCCTCCACCCAGCGGAGGGCACCGCGGTACGTGCGACGGCTAATCAACAATATATTGATACAGGTGGGTGAGCGCGTTGTGGTCGAAGGCTGCGAAGGAGAGCCTGACGCGGTTTTAAGCACGAAGACTGGCAAGGACCCATTTGTTGCGGTACAACCGGTTGGTTTATATTATCATGAGATAATGTTTTAAAGGAATTCAACTGTAAAGATACTTTCGCATATTACAAGGTACTGTTTCTTATGTCATCTATTAGATCCTTTACAGGATCAGCGGTTTATGACCAAATGTGGCCCGTGTCGTTGCATATCATTGAAAGAGGGCACAATATCGTGAGAACATATATTTAATAAATGTTGCATTTGGCTTCTCACCATTCCGTCACCAGACGGGTCGCTGCACTCATACTGAGCCTTGAAGAGTTCATTGCTAGCGGGAAAAGGACATTAGTGGACCACTCACATGTAACGTGTTCCATTACAGACTCAAAAAGTTTAGAGCGTTCAGCAGATTTGCCTTTCTTAGGGCAATCCATGGAGGGCTCTACTGAACACTCAGGTACCTCGTTGAGCAAAAAATCAGTCAACTTGCTGTATCCACCTGCTGCAAAATCGATTTCTTGGTTAAATCTTTTTTTGTAAATTATAGGTAGCTTGCAGAGCGCAATGGCATTGTCACTCCCGCTCAGTTTGAGGGTAAGCCGCCCTTTGGAATGGTTCAATGACGACACTGGCGATTCATTGGACTTCGGCGGCGTTTCTTTTAATAATCTGATGATGTTGTTTTTCATTGTCCGAATTTGCGTCTCTCTACGCATGGTAGAACTTGGTTTGTCCACGTCGAGCTGGGCCAGCATTTTTTTCGCCGTTGTTGTAGAGGAGACAGAAGGAACTACATTGTTACCGTCATACGACAGAATGTTCAGATCTATAGCGTCTTGAACTATGCGCACAACTTTACCCAAAGGTAGCCTACGGAAGCGACTGGGCCCTACCTTTCTGAGATACTCGGCAAACAGATACCTTCCCCCAATTTGCGTCAAATTCGGATACCTTAGGCCATGGTCACAAAATTCATTCGGTTCCTCTCGTTCCAGCTTCTGTGTTGAGGCTATGAAAACGGCGTAACGAAAGACAACAGCCAGATCTCTAGGGTCTGCGGGTTCCGTCTCGTGCTGCACGAACGGTTTACCTGCCAACATAATCGCCCAAGTATGTTGTATTCCATCGTCATTTTGCGAATTGGTTGCCTCTGCGAGGTTTACTACCTGAAATCTGCGATAAGAGTCGTCATTGCAAATACGAAGTAACCAAGTCCCATCAACAAGATGTGCGTTGTTACGTCGCAGTTTTCGTCGTATTTCGTGCAAAGTTGGTAATATATCCTCGTTATACAGGTCACATATCGCATCATAAACGTTGCTTAGAACCTTTTCAACGCCAAAGTCCACGTGTCTCTGCCATGTAGTGTATGTTGTATCAGGGCTGTGGCAGTAACTGGACACGCACCCCGCCGACGTCAACCCTGTACTACACTTGAACTTGTCCGATCCACATGAACTGTAGAAGTCGTCCCCATCGTTTGTGCTGGTAGATGACTGGGAGCGCAGAATTCGAGCCATAAGCTTAGATGAGGATGTGTAACTAGATTTGATCAACACATTTAGACGCAATTACTAACATCGGATAATTCATACATTACAACGCGCAATGTGGCATGTATCTTTCTATTTGAAGATCGTTTACAATACTTGTCCCCTGTCCGTCTCCCCACGACGTACGAAAATTCTTGCCAGTCTGTTTTTGTGTGGCCAACGTAGAATCCAGCAGCATTGTAGTCGATCCAAGCTTCTAGTATTTTAATGTGACCCTTACTAATTAGATGTGTACGCTGATTCGCACGTCTGCTACACTTATATTACGCGATCGGACGGTCGCGAGATTCTATGATCTTTTGAAGCTTATGTTGTTATCTAAAACTTCTAGATGTAGCCTATAAACGGTACGATCATTATTTGATTATTTAACGTCGAGTGAAGTGAACTGTATCCTCGGTTGAGTGTGATTCTTTTGGCGGACGAAGCGCGCATCAGAAAAAATTCTATCATCTTGTTAGTAACATTTAATATATGGCACATATAATAATGATAGAAGAATCTTGTGTGGTCTTATGAACTAGCGCTACATTTTTTTTGACGGCAACCGGTACCTTCTTTTCACCCGAGCCTAGCTTACACACCTTAACGTCCGGAAAACATACTTCTACGCATTAATTCCGACTATCCTGCCAATTAGCTTTGAATCAAGTCAACTGATAGTAATTCACTCTTTTCTGTATCTACCATACCTAGATTCAGATCTGTGCAGGCAACCATTGGTTGCCGCGTGGTGGTTTCCCCCTAAGTGACTGATGTACCGTGCACTTTAATGAGAGTTTCATCGTCCTATCGCAAAAATTAAGCGTGAATAACCAACTAAGGTGCAGCCTTCTGAAAATGGAGTGGGTGTCAAGTGTTGGTTTAGGCGTTGCCGTATTGGCAGCAGTGTACACTTCGCTCTATATCTATATGCAGAGGTGGAATAGGAAGGTAACTACATTTCAAACAACCAACGGTGTGGTATTTGAGGTGCCACATTTCACGATACGCTCGTTACAAAGGAACACGATCCTTTTTTATTCGGCTGCCAAACGCCTTGTTTTCGATAGACCTAATCGTGGTATATCGCAGGGCATGAAGGAACAAATGGAGTTGTCTAAGATCGTAGAGAACGTAAACACTCAAAGTAGGACCATTTACTTCATCCGGCATGGGTATGTTTCTAGGCACATATACTGATTTTTTGCAGGCAGTCTATGTGGAACAAAACCTTCGACCGTCGGTCAAGTTTATTGAGCATTCTATGGCGAATTATTCGTTTGTTAGTCACCGAACTATCTTTCGCTCCGACGAATGACAGCTTCTTTTACGACTCGCCACTATCAATGAACGGTATCAACCAGGCCCTGGAGTTGTCCAAGGAGCTTAGCAACTCCGAGAGTCCCAAGTGTGCCGATGTAAATATTTTTAGGGCCGAATCAGGCCAGCGTTGTGCTTTATTCACATCTAACCTGCGGTGGGTTCTGCCTATGTACTATTGCACTGTTATACAGCCGGGCTCAGTCGACTCTCATGCTGGCTCTCCAGAGCCGACTAAACCACACTGGAGAGGTAATAGAGGTTTGCAATGAGCTTGAGGTAAGTGGAACACGCATGCCGTTAAACAAATGTAGGAATTGGTCCCTCATCCCGACTGTGTCTCTCTGTCTACCACCTTGAATTCCTCTACTATCCCCTTTCTCGAGGCTATGATGCTCCCGGACAGCGCAATGCAGTATTCCCACTTCCTGCACCGGGCTGCTGGCCCTGGATTGTCGCATCTCTCGGCATACAAAAAGATGTTAATTTTCAACGATCGCATTTTTAATCAACCGGAAGAATGCATTATAGTTTGCGGTCATAGCGCATGGCTCATGAACTATTTAACATGTTTCTTACCGCAATACTCGCACGAGATAGAGTACCGCTACAAGAAGATTGGAAATTTGGACACTCTTCGTTTCGAACTGGTGCGTCGCGAACTCGGTAATGGAGAAATATCATACATTGTGGACCCGAATAGCGTAAAACTTGTATACAAAAATACTGTATAAACGGCACAACGCCTTAATTTCGAGTTGAATGCACGAAGCAACACTTTGTTAATAGTCAATTAGGTTGCGTGTATCAATATCCACACCACGGATAACACATACGTCGTGGGATACGGCCAAATAGCCAGTTTAACATTAAATATTTGTTCAGTAAGCATGTCGACACCTTGCCAACACCTGTGGGTGTTTTATTCCATGTCTAAGCGCGACTCTTTGCAACCGGTCGCGTAGCCGCTGATGAACGACGGTACGTTTATCGGCTAAAACGCTTATCGCCCAAGCCAGAGTTTGTGAGTCTGCCCCAATGTCAGCGCTGAGGATCATAATTGACAAATGAGATGGATATACCTTTCATGGAGCTCCAAGACGGCAATAGCTGTGTCGGCACTGCGTGGCAGGAGTGCCTGGTTGGCATCCAATAGCTGCAACAACTTGTTTGCGAGATGTCTGTGTCTGGAAAAAATTTTATAACACAACGTTGCCACGTGTTACCTTGAACAGAACTCTATGAGGCCCACCACAGTTTGTGCTGATAGATTATTGATTTCCAAGGTCAAGCGTCTATAAGCCTCTTCCAGGGGTTCTGGACCCACCAGCGAGGCGACGTCCAATTCACCGTGGCACTGAAAAAAGATGATCCACCAATTGACATCTATTACCATGAGGCGAGATATCTCTTCGACGTTAAGAGAAGATAACAAGCTCCAAGCATGTTTCGTTAATTTCTCAACACCCAGAACCACATCGTCCTATGCCCCGTAACATGCGCCTTTCGCAAACTTACGGGAATCACAGCCCTAGCAACTGCTTCATACAGCCGAAGAACGTCCCCTTTCTGCAACTGCTCCGAGTTACTCAGTATAAAGGTAAGGAGGTTCAGCTAGATGCTTCATGTGTGGTGTGCATATCTGAAGCTCACCTCGGCATCTTCCCAAGGTTTTGATGAGCGCAAACAGCCTACCAGAACCTTTACCGCAAGTGTATACTCCTCCATGAGCTTATCTATTGCCTTCATAGCCTCTGTGATGGATTGTGCTACTGTAAGTGGTACACTGACCCTTTCTGACAGCGGTCAAAGACAACCTAGGATGTACCGTTGCGCTGGGAAGGCATCTATCAGCTTTTGCCGCTAGGTACATATATCGCGCCAGTTCGACAATATTAGCTGTGTGGACGTTGTCACGCAGCCTGCAAAGGTGTCAAGATCGGCTGAAGGGCAACGGACCTGTCCTGGATGAGTTCTATTGCGAAGGGTCTGTGGTATTGAAAAGTGGCCATTGCTTTCAATATCGCTATGTTTCTAGAATGATCACATTTGGAGTCATCTTCAAGCCGGGCACAGAGTTCGTCGAATAATTTGCTAACGCACAATCTGTCAACACGGTTGGCTAGATTGCATGTCGCATCTAGAGCGTCTATCAACAGGACCTCTTCTACTGTAGATATATCGGAAACCTCCACTATTTCCCCTGAACACCTTGGCTCGTTATGTTGCTTCACTAACCTAACGCAATGAGTATGTTACCTACTTCTGGCGATGTACCGCGCATCACGGCGAGAAGCTTCAAAGCGTCTTCAACCTGTATTGACCGAGCATCGGCGAGACAGAGCGCTTCAGCATGTCTAATTACAAGTTCGTTTGTCCTGCGCGAACCTTTGCCAATGTCATTGTCTCTCAACTCACCGTTCGTGCATGAACTTTTCGTTTTCCATCGCCATCAGTACGTTAGCACACTCCAGTATTTTGAACTGGCTCAAGGTTGCTAGTATCCTCCCAGTAAATGTAGCGACAAACCTGTAGTCATACCAGTTACTTCTTGAGAAGTATAGGAATAGTAGTGAGACTAGATATTGGTCCAGTGACATGGCAAGTTTTAGAGCCTGGAGAGTAAGACTGCGCCATACTCCGACATCCTTCACCCCCTTTTCTATAGACCTATAAACGACCTGCGTGACAGTGGATATTGTTTGGACATTACGAACCATGCACAAAGTGTGTCCGTCCATGAGGTGGGCGTATAGCGCTCCACCTCTCTTTTCGATATGAGCTACATCGGGAAATCCCATGTATGTTTGAGGGCTCAAACCCTTACGTGGTAACTTCCACCACTCCTTTTCTGGATGCATCCGGCCGAGGTTATACGGCTCGACCAGAGGTCGGCGTGTACGGAAGTCGGGATGTTGCTTGCTCCATGACTTCCTAGCTACGGTAAGTTAGGTTTGACATCTATTGTCACCTACTAGGAGGATTGTAGAACCTCTTTGAGATGAGTAAGGCGCGAGCATTCATCCGCGGCAGCCCATAGCGCATGACCATTGACTTGAATAACACCTGGATTCTGTTCCAGATAAGTCGTCTAACCCATATAATTGTTGTTTTCAGGCTGCCATTTCCGATTTGCCGAGTGTTTATCTCCTGGGAGCCACTTTAATCGAAGGTGAACCGGTAGATCACATTTGATGCAAAGGCTGGCTACAAGATGCCACATCTACCCGGATTCGTGACATTAGTTCGTGTTCGGTACAAAAAAGCGGTACTATTATGAGTGACGAACGACCATCGTCGTGTTTATGGTGAGTGTACAGCGGCGCCTCGACTCCGATGCCAACAATACATATTAGCAGTTTATACTGGTTATTACACAATGCCATCGACTTTTGACTGATTATAACAAAGGTGTGTTGCAATATCTGTGCCCTGGATAACTGCATCCTGAGGGAACTCTGGAATTTCCTTCACACACCTATCTGATGGTGATGACCTGTGAGCCAGATCACCCGACCTGATGATACTGATCACTCCCGTATCAGTAGATGAAGACTTTGGCATCATTAATCCTCACTCTTACGGTTGTCGGATTCGCAACTATGTGTGTAGCGCTTATGTAATGGGGTCTATGTTCCTGGTAATGTAATACACCTGGCGGCATATTCATCATCGTGTCATTATATTCTGATTTTAAAAACGTTAAAAGCGCTCTGTGCACCTGACGACAGGGCCTGATAGCCTTTTCAACTTTGAAGACGCCCCGCGTGCGCGTCCATCAGTTTTCAGTGACGCACATCTGTAATGGACTCGCTCAAGATGGACGCCGAGGCTATGGGTTACGGTTATACCGAGGCGCCCAATCGTGCGCCTTATGACGTGGAGAATAGCAACACGCAGCGCTCACTGATGCCGTTGAGCGACCAGATGGACATGGGTGCTGCAAGACTCGAGCAGACCCTCGAGATGTTGAACGTCCGCTACCAATCATTGTTTTTTGCTTCTGCGGCATCTATAGTGGCGAATGCAATCATGACTTTCATCGGCAGCTTCGGCATAACACAGATCCCCTCATTGATAATGTCTACGTTTTTGATCATTAACGGAATGATGATCATGATACTTGACGTTCCAGGTACTCCTCGCTGGGCGGGAAAACACCGCCGCAACATACGCAAGAATATGCGTTTCCTAACCAGACTAACTGGTAAATCGCTCTGGCTCGCTCTTCTGGGTTCGATGTCTCTGATGACTACCAAGGTTTCGCGTTCGTTGAACGTTTTCCGCGTATGCTTCAGCACTCTGAGCACATTCTTTGTGTTCGCTGCGGCTGGTACAGGCATGCTTATCGTAGGTTATTTGTTCTGTTACACTGACCGTTTGCAGGCCATCAGGAAGAGCTTACGCCTAGAAAGAGTAAAAAACATCATTAAGGAAAATTCAAAGGGGGCATACATTGACTGCTACCGCAAGTACGCACTAGGTGATCCCGACTATGGTATGCAATTTCGTAAGTTTTGCTGAAACCTACTTACATCGATGGCAGAGGAGTTTAACCGTATGTGCGCGGACCACACATCAGGCATGCATCAGTTCGACATTGTCGACCTCTATATTATATTTAACGTACTGGATGAGTTTCAGAAGTCCGCTATTAACGAACGCGAATTTTACGAGTGGATGGCTGGCTCGCTCGTATTTCTTTGAGCGCACCGTGGCGCTGAGCTGGCTTGGTCAATCGTAATGATCGCCGAGATGCAAGATTTCGGGTGCCTCGACGTCACCGCTTGTCCGTACCTACAGCCCCGTAGCTTCCCCTCGCATCATTCGCAGATTCTCACATAGCCTGCCCTGACATGGTCATCGGGTGTACAAAAACTCACATTTTAACACTTTTTCATGAGGAATTCTTTGTCAACTTTGTGGTGCCTATCTTTTGTGGATGTGGATACTTCCTGTGATGCGGTCTGACTGGATAGTGTCGTACTGTCTTGCTGGTCCTCTTTTGTGGATGTGGATACTTCCTGTGATGCGGTCTGACTGGATCGTGTCGTACTGTCTTGCTGGCCCTGGTTTCTGGATGCGACATTTCTTCTTGAAGATGCACTTAACCCTTTCTTTGCGGGCAACGTGGGACGCTTTCTTAAAAGTAGTTCTATCACAGCACCCACTAGGGTTCCGTCATACAACTCTCGTTGGTCAAGGAAACGGATTCGCTCAGGTCCCAAGTGCAGTCTATTTTCCCGCAGGTTGATTGTGCAACGGCATCTCCGCATAATGTCGAGTCCGAATACGAAATCCACACTCAATCTATCTACGACAACACATGAGAATGGTATATACGTATGGCCTATTTTCATGCCTGCAAGGTGGATACGTCCCACGATCCGTTCCGCCTTCTCATCAAATACAGTTCCTTTAACCCTCCGGTCAACTAAGGAAAACAACTTGCAACTCTTCGCGACATCCGACCGTATAACACTGTGCTGTGCAGAAGTATCTACTAAAGCACGCAGCTTGACGCCACGAATTATCACATAGATGAATAGCAACCTGGAAGGACCAAGTAGAGATAAGTCGGGAAACATCTTCCTTGCCGCCTCCATATTTGGACCAAAATCTTTGCCTGCCTTATAAGCATCATAGAGACGTTGTGTATCTGGTGATAGCGGACGGTTGTATGTATTTAACATATACTGTCCCCGTATTAGCCGATCCTTTATATCCTGCGCTTGGATCTCCCTTAATACAAGAATCACCTTGTCGACGTTGTAGCTATCAACAGCTGCGTATAAATCAGGTAACGTCTTTTTAATTTTTTGCATTTCCCCAGGATGCCGTGATGCTATGCCCATGATTTCTTCGGCCATCCGACAAAGTTGAATCTCTGCAGGTTGTAATTTGCTGGTTACTTGAAATTACCTGTCACAGCGGCGATCCCTTCAACTTGCGTTCCCACATCCTGTGAGCCGGAATTGGATGACACTACCGGGGAAGATGCAACAATAGAATCACCCATAGTAAGGCCAGCTTCTCGGATGGTCCGGTCATCGTTATCTAGTTCCCGTCCGTTGAGATACAGAATCAGTTGTTTTCCCGTTATTTTTAACTGCTTGTTTATCTTTAGGCGTAAAAAAGATATTGTCCAGTCCTCGTCAACGCAAAAAGCATGAGACTGGTCGTCTGAACCTTTTTTTTAAACGAAAGATGACCGAGGACCTACCCGCAGTTTTAACGTTGATGGATATCATTTTGCCTAGGTAAGTCAAAAAATATCGTATGTAATGAAGAAAAAATAGCGCGCCAAGAGAGCTCTGTCTATGATATGTAGGTGTGCTTCTACTGCTTTCCAACGAACAAATTTTGTTGCCAGTGTGTAATCAACAAATAGTTTGTGAACACTTGTACCTCTCAGGTTTCGCAATACCCTGTGGCACATGCCATCCACATCAGGGCACTTGACACTTGTTAACGACTGATCCAGTAAACAGGAGTTGGGAGGTGATATATAATCCTGTAGAATCCCTACAAGCTTCACTATGCGAAAATGCCGTATTGAGTCGTCCCCAGAAAGTTCGTAGAGAAAACTTTTTCTGATTGTAGAGCCATCTACGAGCAGCAATTGGCTGACGCAGGGGGATCGCATGTATGACGCAAGTGGCAAACAATGTGCCCCGATGAATCTAGGCACCACACTGGGAACGCCTAAATGAGGGCTTGAAAGAGATATTAGCGCATGGAGCTTGCAGTGGTACTGAGTCAGGTGGCGAAGAGCCGCACGGACAACCACCCCTCCAAGTGAATGCGCAATAAATGAGAGCTTACCGACTCTATTGGCACCAACCTTGCGCCTCAGATGTACGTCCACCTCTTGAGCCAGGAGCCCCCCTTGGTGGTCGATTGAGGCTGCAAATTTGTGTGCATTTTCCAAACTCAGGACTAACTGTTAGAGTCCTCGGCAAGGGACTGCGCCACCAACACATAAGTGTTATTAGTAAACGCCACTATAGTATTTCTCACAAATCTCATCGTTACCGGCGATCCGTTGTACCCATGCACTAGTACTATGACATGTATGTTGGAATCCCTCGGTGTGTCCCTTGGCGCCTCAAAGCGGCTCGACCCTGTCGGCCTCTGGCGCACGAATGGAAAGCAGTTGGCAACAAAGCTGTGCAAATAACTAATGGCAACTCATAGCTATAAACTCACAAATGATGCTCGTCCGTTATTTTGATAGACCTCAAGATAGCGATCATTTCCGACTCATCAACTTCCGGGTCGGCCACTTTGTTGAATAATGCCATCTGCTCTTCACAGTATCTCTCAACGTGCATATGATCCGCAACTTCCTTGCATATCGCAATTGGGGCCACGTGGTCCCATTTCAAACACAACCATGCGTATAATCCCGACAATAGCTACAAGGGATGATACACTTATACGCTGGGTTGCACGTACCTTGCTCGTTACAGTTTCTATGGAGGTATCCAGTTGTGTATAACTTATATCGCTCATGTAGATTTCATCAAATACTATTTGTATGCCGCGACGGACGGCTATCAAGACCTTTCGCTGCTTGCATTTTTGTATACCAATTGACCGGTTAATGCGGTTGAGGCGTCTACACAATTCAACCTGCATTCGGTCGTTGGTTACCGGCCGAAAAAGAGATTCACAAGAATTTAAATCTTCGATTTCCACAACTTTCGGTTCACCAGTGTGGAATGAGAGTGTCGCACAATCTAAAATCACTTGGTACGAACTGGCGCATATACCCACCATCAAAGATCGCTTGACTTGCTTCCTGGGAGTATTTTTCACTGCATTGCGTACAAAAGTCCCCTATATTCTCTGCATTGCCGCCGCAGGCGATGCCCTTAGAATCTCCACATGTACTTACATGGTCTCGGCTGCCAATTGATATTGCAGTTTCTGCTATAACTTTTGCACATATGTATATGAGTGTACAAGCTGCCATCGATAGCGTATGGTGATCATGCATCACCATGTCTACCAGGTGGTCCGATCCATTGGGGTGTCGTAGTGGAGGATCCGGATCCCAGTCAATCCCGAACAGTGCACCACAACTGTGGTCACCATCCAAAACCTGAGCAATGAATGTTCGCAAGAGAATTCCAGCCAATTGCAGTGTTGGTGTTTCCTCGCTATGCTCCTCGGAATGCATTCTTTGCGGCAATGGTGTCCTAACACTGGTAGTTGCCGATACGTTTCCTTCGTAGTAAGCATTTTCCTGATAGTTCGACTCCATAAACCACTTTCGCACCTGTTTGTTACTCGAACTTCGTATAATCCGCCTCCATTCGCGATATCTTGTGCATGGTTTGCGGACCAGTCTTTGTTCTACTGGCGCCGCAACACCAAATTTCACTACGGCAGTATCAACCACGAGATGTAGGACTGCATTAATCTGTGATCCGTCGAAATTGCATGGGTAATACTCATGCGTATCTGCATATCCCTATGAAATCATATGTTATGTAACAAACCCGATGCGAGATTCGCTATTCTGAAAACCTTGGCATCCACCAGTTCTGGCAGTCCACCATTGCAGGACTGCGTATCGGTCAGTACGTATCCTTCACGCTATTATAGACTATCTATCTCTATACATACCATAACTCGTTCCTGGGGAGCGGATTAGCTCTGCCTCTACGAATAATGCAGATGTGGCCAGCACGGAAGGAAGTGCAGGTATTTCAGCACGGAAATACGCAACATCGTCCACTGTTACCTAAAAGATACTTGTTATCCGAGTACAGTTTTGTTTATTCTACCTTGTGATTCTTTTCCCTAACGAAAAACCTCCGAGTAACATAGGTGTCATGATCGACAATGGGGACAACCGTTTTATCACTTTCAAGAACAGTGGCCATACACCTTTCGGCGCAGGCTACATGCGTCTCGGCATTTAGCGGTATAGCCGTGATACACTGAACTCTATGAACGCCACGTCTACAGCTTCTAACCCACCTTAGATTCTAGCTGTTTGTAGACCCTGAACCGGATACAGTACCATGTTGTGTGTTTTAGTACAACACTGTGTAACTCTTTGCAGGCTAGTTTCACCTCCACATAGGCCCACAGAACCATAATGACGTTTGTTAGTTCATTTCATCTCTGTTTGGCCACAGACGAGTCAGATCCGGTCCAACCCTCGGTGCGGGAGCCCCGGAAAGCGTCCCATCCTCTATATGACAGTACACAACAACGAAATTATGAACTATATTATTTTAAAGGTTAAGTTTGAGTCGTTATCGGCTCAATTCGCACAAATTAGCGTTAACGGCCAGGATGGCGCTTCCAAGGACACCTTTAGCTAAACCGTTTTGAGCAACTTATTATCTGTGGATTTTCACATTTTAGCACATTAATATCACATGCGATTACTTCGGCGCGTAGAAGAACCACTGTCTGGCAAACACGGTGAGATTTGGCATTAGCACAAACACCGGTATCGCGAAACACAGTAGCTGTGACGGCTTTGGAAGGAAAAATATGTCCGATCCACGTATCTCCGTAGAGCATAGGTTACCAAAAGCCGTGCTAGGCACCAATGAATGCAGGCTAAGTGTGCTGCTACATCCACCGGTACCACCGAGGTGTCCTGACTGTGAATCGCTCAGTGGTAACGCAGATACCTTGCTAGCAAATGGAACGTGTTTAACGAAGCGATATTGTCCGATAGGTTCACCTCGATGTGGTTCTTCATTATCGTCTTGACCTGGCATTCTATGTCCTGGGTTGTATATAAGGTCCCGTAAAAACGGCGCGGTATACGGGCGCCTCGACCACTCGAATCCCATCTTTTTGTGGGAATATTGACTGCTATCTAGTCGTCTGATTCCTTGTGTATTAGCCTACTACTGCCCCGAACGCGCACAACACACGGATGGGATATTAGCTGAGCTGGTGTGCCATACAGTCAAAGTACAATATATCCAACATCAAAAGTAGATTTAAAAATTGCTTATCTTTCGTGATTTAATACTCTAATCGGCCCCATGGCCTATCCCCGCCTTCCGGGAGTTTATAGATAAGTGCGGCTTACATTGCGGTTTTAAAAATTATCTCACAGACAATATGAGCTAGAGTTACAACTACTTTTGGTCACAATTGGGCACACTACCTTCTTTGGGAATGGGTTCACCTTTGTCTATATCGACGATGTTGCCTACGACGTTTGTAGAACTGAACACACTTAACCTACTCTTCCCATCCATGAGCATTTTACACAGCTCATCGGCAATTTTGTCCGTTTCCGAAGCCGTCTGCCGCCGGCAGCCTCCCTCGATCTCACTCTGTTCAGGTAACTCCAGGTGTTCCTTCAGTACCTGCTCGTTGATCTTTAAGAGGTAGCGACGCTTCCGAATCAGAGCTGTTACAAATTGAGTGCTGTGTAAAGTACACGTCGTACCAGATGAGAATGGACGACTCTGGACCGTAGATGCCGATAACTGCAAAGGAACGGTTGACGAGGCGTACCGGTCTTGGTACTGTTTCCTGGGAACATTTGTGACTACACCGTATCGTACCCACCTCAATAGATCGAGATAAATGATCTTTTGCTTAGCGGATACTGCACATAATAACAGGTCCACCATTTAAACCCACCCAGCTGTGCCCACTCTTGATGTGGAATGTGTATGACATGCCAACCGGCGCTTTCGAGTATCTGCGGGATGTGCATAACTCAATTACGGAGCTACCTCGTGCTTCAGTATCGACTTTGCGGTGCGCATTGTCGTCTCGGAGTAAAAATGGGTAGGGCCATCGTACTCAATTGCCACCTTGCGTGATGAGCTGGTTTCCGGGACTATGTCAACCAGATACGGCCCGAATTGGACTTCATTACGATGACACACTCCGATCTGAATCCTTTTAAACATAGGAAGTGGCATACTCACCAGGTTGAAAAAGTGTGATACCTCTCTGTGTGCTGAGGACGAGGTGAGCATGTACTCCGCCAATGCGAACTTGACAGACGAACACTTTTGCAATGCTTCTACAGCTTTTACCGAAAGCTTAGAATAAATATCGGGTCTCTAATGCGGCATGCAATGCAACATAGAACCACTTACGATATGCTTGAGGTAGAGGTGGACTGTCTGAACCTTGAATATAGTACCCACATCAAGTTTCGTCCCGAGATGTGAAAGCATCGCATCCAGTATACTATCCTTGAAACCGTAACCCGCTAGATTAGTTGCTGGATCGGGCATACGACGGTTATGGGTGCCACCAGCCATCGTTTCCTCATTGGGCGGTAAAAGCTCCAGACGTTGACTGCCATCCGAGTGTTGCATATTATGCTCGCATGTTTCATCGTCTCCTCGATTCACATATCCGGCCATAGCCTGATCTTGCATCATCTGCTGTTGCTTTCGTGCTTCAGCAATAGAATGAGCCATTCTCTGCAGATGCATCTCCCTTTGCAGGTAGTCGAAATGTACCAACACATATATATACCCTACGCTAACATCAGCGAGTTCCAATTCATTGAATTCATGCTGATGGAGCATCAGTCGTGGTAGCAACTGTCGATACACTTCTGCATCCGACGTGCGTAGCATCGAAAGCCTAGAGAAAATGATATGCAGTTGGTGTCTATTGAAATCCTCCATTCGGTGCTTGATACACATGACTAATTTTTCCAAGAAGTTGACATTTCGGAAGCCAAAGTCTGACAACGCTGTTTATGCGCTACTACAAGAGCACTCACCACTTAGAGCCGAGAGTAGGTTTGCGATGTCCTGCGTCGTGAGATGAACTAGATGCATCGAGCATCTCTTGAGCGACTCTTTTACCAACGTCAAGTTATACTTGTTGAGCTTAGCCAGTGCTTTGAGCGCGTTTATGAGCACCGGTATTTGGAATTCGTTGACTCGATCCTTCACTTCCTTCATCATGGATTCCGTGATTTTGCCATGAGCAATCTTTAACTTCCCAAATGCGATGAGTAATCGGCATATCGCCGAAGTGCTGTATGCTGTAGCCTCCCTCGTGCGCACTATTGCGTCCGTAATGAACGGCACGAAAGCGTCTACTTTGTGCGGCGCCATCGATGTCAAAATCGAGGCTATCATATCACCGTTGAGTTCCTCAGCTCCGGCGGTTCTCAGCCGTCGTTTAAGTAGCGTTGTAAGCACGTGGTATACGCGGTGATCACGGAATCCTACCCGGCTGAAGGCCTGCATCAACTGTTCCAGAGACTGGAAGTCAAAATCATATCTCTTGAACTTAAGTGCAACAGTTCCTCGATATATAACCTCGTCAGCTAGCCGTAGGAAAAGAAGAGGGATGTTTTGTCCGGCCTTGGCATAGGACAGTGCCACTACTCCAAGCTGCTGACAGTTCAGAGTGTTCACCCTTTGTAGAAGTATTTGAGCCATACGCATATAAAGGTCCCGGTTATTCACCCCAGCCCTGGAGTATGCGTGACACAGTAGGACTAGGGAGAGTGTAGGTGTTTCTGCGTTAATGTGGTGATTTAACCAGGGTATATATGCGTTTAGCAATTTCAGAGAATGTTCTTCCAGTTTCGTGAAGGCATTAAAGATCATCGCAACATCGATCACATTCAATGGGTGATCTCGAGACAATACGTTTTGCGGCACCTTTTCTTCGTCCTGCGGCACAGTGGCAACCTCCAACATCCTTGAGACACCTGTAGTGCCCTTCGAACCGTTTGTTTCATTTGCATCCATGCGACTAATAACTTCTATGGATGTTGTACCGATGTTTTTCGCTACTTCGACGTGTAATCGTTCAGCAACGGCATTTATCACTGCACGGGAATGGCGTTCGGCTTTAGCAAAGGTGTTAGCAATGAGTGCGACATTTCTGAATGATGCTTCCTTGATCAGCCTTTGCGCATGGGAGTCAACGAAATGTAGCACCTCGTCGTGACTAACACCCTGCCGTGAGAATGCATTCAGAAATACTCCGATATCGTCACCGGTAATACCCTTCAAATGCTTTGGCAGCTGTGCCACGGCACTCTTATAGAATGTCTCAACGTGCTCTTTTAGTGGCACCCTGGATTGAAGTGTTACCCGTAACTTATGTCATGTACCAACCTAAGTGTTGCCAACGCTGACGCAACGTCCCTTAGCTGCCACACTTCTGCTTCGTGAATACCCTACAACGCAGCATTAGTCACATTTATAACAGACAATAACCGCGAACTTACCCTGTTGAACGTCCGCAAAAGCTCGTCTATAGTACCCAGTGAGCGTGAGTTGAGCGAAGAGTACGCTTTTAGTATGATAGCTATTTGTTTTTTGTTGAAGTTACCAGAAAGCCTTCTAACACCCTCATTAAGCTCACTGGTGAAGCCTGATGCTGCCTTTGGCAACGATTTGAGCCGAAGGTATATCCTTGCATAATCCTCTGGAAGGAACGCACGCCTCAGCTCCAACGTCCGTTCTAGCAGCCCCTGAAGATAATCCTGATCCAGGCGACTGCGCACATCTTCCGATTCCAGAGCGCCATATACTGCCATAACACCCTCTCTTGTGGCATTGCGCATCTCCTCTAGTGTAATGAGGTTCTGTTCAAAGAGATGAATGCCATTTAGTACAACCAACCTGGTGAATGGCACGATATTTTGTAGCTTCTACATCCTTCTTCGGTATACGCACGATACGAAATGCGAATCTACGGCGACAAATCGACAAATATCCTATTTGTGCAGCCATTCCGGCGCCGCTCGGCGGAAGGCACATGGTAGTAGCAACCATTGAATCCCACCTTGCGGCACCAATTTACAAATCCTATATGGGAAAACCACACTTTACGCTATTTCACAACGTCATATCCATTCGCAGCACACATATTAGCTGTGTCGCGGCAGGCGGGCCGCCGTATTCAGACACGCTCCACGAAAGGGGCTGAACAATACATATCAAAATTACAGCGCCGTTAAAGATCCTTTTCAAGCTAATAAACGCGTAAATACTGGCATAAATATTGATGTGTAACTTCAGAGGGATTTTAGGCAGCTAAAAGCCAGTTGCGTCCCTGGTGAAGACTCCTACTGCCCGGGCTCATGAATCACCACATACACACTCATTATAGCATATCGACATATGCTTGGTGAGTATACATGGAATGCTGGTGCTCCTGTAATCTTTGTATCCCTCTGTGCTTAAGCATTACTTGCACATAAGGCCCATGGCTGAGGTTGTGCTCTACAAGGAGCTCTATAGCTGGCAGGTAGGATGGTTTGTCATAGTAAGACATCAAGGGTTGCAGAATGATCATGACCAGGCGGTTTTTGTGGATGGAGCCAACGGATTGGTGATATACCAGAATGTCTATGACAAGAGCCTGCGTGTGATCGACTCCTGCAAAAACAACGGGGTATTCAACAGTACGAGGTATATATCGTCTTACAAAGCTAAATACAAAGCTTACAGATTCCCCAAGCCACTATGTGAGTCGATATCATTTTCCTCCGATGGACAATACATCCTCTATTGGCATAACAATCCGTTGGCGATCGTACGTTGCGTGACTGCCTTTGCACAATCTTACAGGGAGTTGTGGATCTATCAAATCCAGCATCATCTGATGCGCTTGTTGATTGTATGCCATATGAAGAAACGATCGTGCTGAGCGTGTTCTGGTCGCAGTGCAACAAGTCTAACGTCGATTTCGTTGTCGTGTGTACAAGCTGCATCGACATCTACAATGTGAGTCATTAAAACAAGATGAATGCTGCATAAACCTTCAGTTGAGCCCCAGTAATAGCACTTTGAGGCGCCTATGCAGTAAGCGGATCAGTTGCACCGATGTCTGGAGCGACATCACCGGGACGAATATCATCGTACTAAAGAACAACCAGGTGCTCCAGCCATATCGCATAGTAACTAAGGTATGGTTATTGTCCACATTGGCATAAAACGGTTTCAGGAGGTACGCCTTGTGACCGACATTGAGTTGAGCGTGCGCAATGGCCACAAGCTCCAGAAATCGGCAATAACCGTAGCTACCATATACAATGATACTTACTGCATTCACAAGGATGCCTCAAACGGCACGTTGTCACTGCGCTCTATGACTAACAACAAGGCGATTGATATCGTCCTTGAACTGCGTTGCCAAGGTGAGAATAACTTTGGTCGTTTCATCTCTTTTAGGGTGGTTGGATATTGCAGTAACGGATAACCTCTTATTGGCGCTCACTGGTGGTAGTGAGACTTATATATTCGACATTGCCATGAAAGACAAACCGCTGGTGGCGAAGGTCCCCCAGAGGAAGCCCTCTATGGCATCGTTATCCAGCGACGTACAAGGTACTCTCTAAACATACGGAGCTCATCATTGTGCAGTATTCATTCCTAACGTAGTTGTAGACTACTACGGAGGATTCGCTTACAATCTTACGATAGACCACAACATGCTCATGCTTCTTTTGTCGCAGTCCTATGCAGAACCTCTGGTGGCGGACTTCTATCAGCGTCGTCACGGCTCCGTTCAACGCGTGATGGAAATAATAAACTCGTCAATTTCGAACAGGTTGGAAGTAGCACATCGATTTTAAAATGACCTGCAGATTGAGGAGTGACCGGCTGCAAGCCCTTTTCAAAACCGTCGTCGCTCCGTATGCACGGACCCTCATGGAGTATGTTTCTGTGACTCTTATTTCCATAAATACGCAGTATGAACAAGTTGGGAACGAAGACTGCAAACAATGTTGCGATACCGTTTAACCTTGTTGAGGAATATATTGGTGATCGGTCGGTGATCACTGAATATCGTTTCGGAAAGGCTATTCTGTACCCATCTGTAGTGAAGGAGTGGAACCTCAAGCCTGGTGAGAATATCTTTGACGCTGCCGTTACGCTTTTATGCCATCACCGCAACTTTAAGTTTGAGACTCTGCTGAAGATTCGCGATGATTTGGAGATCCAGACCGGTTTCATAGACAACTTTATTCTCAGGAGCCGTCTCACATCTGCTTCCAAGGATGATGTATCTTGTGACTTCCGAGATTACCTCGCATCTCCCGAGAGTGATATTCCTGAGCTCTACGACCCATCGACCCACCAGTCACCATATGTTATATCGGTGATTTTGTGTTACTTCAAAGCACTGATCTGCCACAATCTGCAACCTACGCATCTGTTACAGGTCTTGCTTTTTGACATTTGTGTCATGCACAATGAAATCGCCATGGTTTTACAGCTGATAAGGTCCAACATCATCAGGGACTCAACGTATATCTGTTATCGACTATTTTTCCTTTACGTGATTCTACGTGACCCTGTAATGCGTCAGCAGTGTCTGGATATGGCTTTTCGTTTAAAGCTGTATGGCATGTGCGTCACGATTGCTATGTTGGATGAAGATTACTACAATGCTTTGGTTGAGGTCAAGTTGCACTCCGTCAGATCTTTCCCGCTATATCGCATTTTGTACCAAGCAGCTACAGACATAGAAGCTCAGAAACGCAAACCTCATCTATGGCCGGCAATGCTTGCTTTCATCCGGTGCTGGGCAGAGGAGAGCGCAGATAACCCTAAGGCCTGTGCTCCTCCTGACCTGCGAAACTGTGAAATGTGGCTCCCAAACCTTTAAAGATGTAGGAATAAACACATGCTAATCGTCATACGTCACAAATTTACGTTTCTTATAGGTTCTCCTACATCGATGTGGATGAATAGACAGTTGTATTAAGAACGTGTGGGATTTGTCAATCGACCCATAACTTACATCTACATATCACCTATATGGATTTATGTTGTTCAAACTATTCTATTTGTGTACTAGTGACATATATACTTCATTCCGCATCAATTATTAACGTAACTTTATAACGTATTTAGCTCGCAAGCGATCCAGCACCTGCAGAGCCGATGGGTTTAATAGGCTATATAGTTTATTTCCCGAACGAGCAAATAACTGCGCAAGTTTTTCGCAGTGTCGTCTCCCAACTTTGTGTCCCAGCTGCATCAGCTGCTCGGAGACGAATTGATACATACACTCGCTGTTTATTCCGACTCCATACATGATCTCTAACAAACATATGACGTGGTCTACACTGTCTATAGACTGTTCGCGCCTTGTCAGAGTGACGATTAAGGTCATGATAGCCCGGTCATGTCGGTATCCCAACCGCATCAGAGCTGTGTGAAATGCGAGGATATTGGAAACTGAGAATTGTGCCACATCTCTTACAAAACGCTCTGAACAGACTTCTAATACATGTGTGTGCGTATTAAGCCCAGCGTACGCCATGAATGAGATAAGCTCCGTGATTTGTGTGGCAGTGAAAACATTGACGTGAAGCTCCGTCTCAGGTATCACAATTCTCTCCATATATTCTCTGATCTGTTTACCGTGCACATCGTTATACCAGCCATCTCCTATGGCGTTAATGTATGCCCATGCGGCATTGATGAGCACATTGGCAGATGCACAGTCGACCAACGTCATTTGTTTTCGCACTGTGCGGTGCGTACTGACGATAATAGATATGACACTGCCAAGTTCTTCTTTTTGAACTAGTCCTGTGGGCAACATCTTAATATATAGAGCCGCCACCCGCAGATTGGCGTCAACAGTCGCGTCGGCGCTAGAACGCAATACCGATAGGCAACGCCCGACTTCCGTCGGATGTACAAGAACCTGTATTTCAGGCACATTTAATATGAGTAACGCCGCATCATGTAGCTGTCTTTTGTCGTACGAGGCTGTCAAGCGCATCTCTTCGAGCTTCGTTATACAAAGTTGGATTAAGTCGCGATTGGCAAGTCCCAGCGCCACAATAGCCCCAACTAGCGGATTGAAATTGTCTGCGTTAATTGTTGCATGTTCTGCGAGTATCCAGCGCCCCAAATATGCCTTGGCCTTATAGGGTAACACTTTGCCCCTGAACAATGGCGCCAATGCTATTGCCGAACTTATCGCGGTTCCGCCACGAAAAGGGTTGACATTGGGTTCCACAGAAACCCTGTATGCCGACCCACGCATCGCAGTTAGATGTGTGACACCATTTTGCGTCAGCTTGACGCGGCTTTTACGGCCAAGTGTATTGGCACGGTCTCCAAGGTCTTTGCCTCCAATCGAGTTACCGTTATATGGATTTGTAAGACAGTTTGTAGCTTGTTCATTTGAGTTTCCAGCTGTGAGGCAGAACTCTGTGCCGGTAAAATTGCCATAGCCGAGGTCGGCACAGCGACGAACGAGTGGCCCAGCCACTTTTGACACTCTTTGTCTCATCGTTACCCAAGAGGACACACACGAACAGATCATTAATACGAGTGACACCGAATTGTCCTCACTTACTGTCACCCACAATGTTAATCTTTGCCAAGGCAAGGCAAGAGTCCGCTTATGTGTGTCGGTATACGCTCCTCCAGAAGACTTGCCCGTATATCACCTGCAGACTATTCGACAATGCATGCACATTTAGCAGTTCGGCTCGTGTCCTTTCCGTAATGTTGTTAACACGGGCAAAGTGTTGTTCAACAATGTCTGGTCCTTCTTTTGGGTACATTGACGATAGTGCTATGTGACGATTTAGTTTGCCTTGATCGGCTATTAGCTCACACATTTTGCATGCTACCTAGAAAGAATGATAATTTTTAATTTCTTACGTACCTTGCGGCCGACCAGAGTCGCAGTTCTTTCATGCTGATTGAACACGATTTCAGGAATCACGGCGGATGCCCTTGGGGCTCCACAATACGAGCACGGTTCACTGACTCTTCCAAAACGCGCCACGAATTCATTTATTAGTCTTCGTGGAGCCGCACAAGGCACGAGCCTGTATTTCTTGAAGGTTTCTAAGATATGATTCTTGATTACATCACCTGAAGTCTCCGATTCTGCCCGGCGTACTGGTTCTCGATGTTGTTCGGTGTTTTGTTGCTCCCTGTTAGGTACTCGGTTGAGCTCATTATTGTGTTCAACACTTGATACAGAGTTTCCCTCGCCTTCTGTAAATGCTCTGTGCCTTTTAGCCTGCCTTTCGTTGTTTTCGGCAGCCATTTTAACTACGGTCACGGACCTCCGACTGGCGTTGTGTGGCCGCGGTGCTGTCGTGGCCGTGATCGCCTACTGCCTACATGTGGTGTATCATTCATGCAAATCTACCCACACACACACAAAAAGTGTTAGAATGTTAGGAAGGTGGGCTGGGATGTCCTGTTACGGCATGTGGTTCCCCCCAGCGTATAGGCCTCCGCGCGTGCGAGGCTGACTCGGTTACTATAAACGAAATGTGGCCTGTAAAACCAGCTAAATCTGTTTTATCTCTGGTTTAACTTTAATACCATAAAAATGGTACGCGCTTTTGCGAGGATCCCGACAGTCATGCTTGCCCAAGCTGCAGCAGCATTCTGCGCGCTTTTGGTTCTGGCCGGCGGGGACGGAATTCCTTATTCTACCCAGAGATCGTCACGTCACACTTTAACCTTTATTCCTCGTTCTTCAAGGCAGCCGGAACGCCGTTATTCCTACGAGAATACGTCATACCAGCAACGCAACGTACGCCGCAACATCTACGAGGTAAATGCGCCGGCTTCCCAAGAAGATGCCGTTTCTTACTTTGCACACCTTCTCAACGCCACACCTAACCCGGCTTTTGCCCCTATTGAGGTTCCAGAAGGTGACTTTTTATCGTTGACTAAGCAGGTCTCGACTGTCGGACCCGCCACCAACGACACACCTTCGCTGAAATCTATTATGGACGCTGGTACTGATGTGTTCAGGATCAATTTTTCACATGGTACACGTACGTCCAAAGTACATCTTTTCCGTATCATCCGTCAGCTCGAGCTCCAGCCGTCACCTGAGGGCGCTTCATCTTCCGGTAGCTTTGTGCTCAGCCCTAGGGCTATTCTTGGTGACATTCAGGGTCCTAAGTTGCGTATTGGAAAGTTCATGCCTAACGCCGATGTTAAGGGCAAAGGTATGGGTAACTCCGACGCCGACTACGTTGACTTAAAGAAGGGCGATGAGTTCACTTTTGACACTGCCGACGTTAAGGGTACCCTTACCCGTGTACAATTCAACTACCCTGATATTTTGAGGGGTTTGGAAGTTGGTAATGTTGTTTCCTTGGACGATGGTAACATTTCTATGCGTGTCATTGAGGTGAACCAAGAGGCACCCTATGTAAAGGCTGTTGTTCTTAACGACGGTGTCCTATCTAGCCGCAAGGGTCTGGCAGTACCTAATGTCGCCATTCCTGTCGATTTGTTAAGCGAAAAGGACGTGAAAGACACTGTTTTCAGTTACGCTGCTGGAGCAGACTTCCTCGGTGTCAGCTTCGTCCAAAAGACCCAAGACATCCTTTACATCAAGAACGTCTTGATTGACTTCGCTGAAAGTCCTTACTTGCAGCCTCTGCGCAACCGCATGGACGAGCTGGGTGTTTCTTTCGAAAGCAAGGATGAAGAGGACCCAGAGCTTGAAGCTATCCTCGACACGTACTACCATGAGCATTTCTTGCCTAACAAATCTAAATTTATGACTGCGATCCCTAGCAAGGAGAATGTTGGTCTTGGAATCATCCCCAAGATTGAAAAGCAGCCTGCTCTTGACGACATTAACGGCATTCTGGAGGTTTCAGATGGTCTCATGATTGCCCGTGGTGATTTGGGTGTCGAAACTGAACTTACCAACTTACCCGTCACCCAGAAGCGTCTGGTCCAACTCTGCCGTCTTGTCTACCACAAGCCTGTCATTGTTGCTACCCAAATGCTGGAAACCATGCGTAAGAACCCCAAGCCTACTAGGGCAGAAACCACCGACTGTGCCAACGCCGTATACGACGGTGCTGATGCTGTGATGTTGTCTGCCGAGTCTGCTACTGGTTTGTACCCAGCCCACACTGTGTCTGTACAGCGTTTGATTTGCCGCAACGCTGAGCGCGACCCTCACTTCTCTGCTCTTCAGATTATGAAGGAGATGATGCTTCACCAAGACTTGCTCGTTGGTTTGGGCCGCCTTCGTCCTCGTGAGGTGGACAACATCAACAAATTGATGGAGCTTGATTTGAAAACCACCAGAGACTACGAAGCCCGTCACGCGGATTTGGTTGCCTCATCTGACAGACTTTCTGAGACCCTTGCCACCATTGACGTAGATGCTCTTGCTATTCACGCTGATGACGTGGGTGATCTCGTCCAGTGGGTTGCTTCCAAGCGCCACACCATGCCAATAATCTTCCTTACTACCAATGTGGAGCTTGCTAGACGCCTACAGCTTACATGGAGTGTAAAGCCACACATGCTACCTATTGGCGCCAACGCCACGACATTCGCACAAGAAATTGCGCCACTATACGTACAACAAAAAGGTAAAGTACTTATGGTGGAGAGTTCTGAAAACAAGATCAAATCCAGCCTCGTATTCGAGGTTCTCTAAAATTTGATTTAAATATGTAGTCTCGGTTACAATTCCGGTGACGATGGATGAAAAGTGCCATCATTTAGAATCTTGATTTAATTTTTTGGCGAAAACCCAATCTACGCAAATCTTCTACGTGTACGCTAGTTCCAGGACTGTGCGGTGTTCTTTCAATGCACGTGCAAAGTTACGATTGTACGATATTCGTCGGAAGTATACCTAATGACGGTTACTATGTGCGTCTGGTGAACCCACCTCACAGTGCCATGCATTCTGGCAGGACGCGCTAGCAACGGCGCTACCAGTGCAGTTCAGACATATGCGATGTACTGCCTGTAGCTTTACCTCCAGATCGTTCATTGCGTTAATAGTGTTGAGGAGCGTGTGCCTGGGACTGCGTGTGAACTCTTCATATATCCTTGCGTTATGTTTGCCACGCCCAGCGTGGTTTACCGGGGATATGCTTCGATGCAGGGCTTCAGAAGTGTTGTGATCGTTAGATTGTTTGTTGTTTTCACCGTTTGTCGCTTCACGATTCTTCCCCGTTAGCTGCATCTTTTTTGTCGAGCTAATATTGATGCTTCGGTCTGCGGTATCGGAGTACTTCCATATGCTGCCTGCTGCAGCAATGCGATGCTGTATTTCTCGGATACCCCTCTCATGTTTCTGTTTTGTTTCTTCTAATTTCTGAAGGATCTTTTCGGTGATAGCAAATGCCGGGTCGATATCGAGTATCTGCAGCATACGTTGAAGCGGCGGCAATACTTGCCGCTTGATGTAGTACTCTACATCCAAATGGTGAAGCCGTCCCGCTCGTCGTACCTGGTCCAAAATAGACGCTACCGAGTTCTGAGGTAATGTCCGCTGTCCAATCTCCTTTACGTACTCTGTGGGCTTAAATATTCCACTTATTTCATTGGGGAATACGGCACCTCCTTTGACACCACGGTAGACATCACCACGTGACAACGAAAACACGTGTGGTATGAATTCATTTTCTAAAACACGTGTTCCATAGTGTTTCCCCATCTTATATTTTGCCACGATAGCTGCAGCGGGCAGTGTGCCTACTTGTCCTGTCAGATCTTCCCTGTATCTACCTAGTCTAATCTGGCGGTAAACAATAAAATCCTTCAGCGTGCATACCGAATAGACATTACGGAATGCACTGAGAAGTCCTTCATAAGCCTTATCAAGTGTGCGAGTGCTAAATACAGATTCCATGGCCTCCTTCAGCAGCCTCCTGGTGACATCGCATTCACTGGACCTCATAGTTTCAACTCCCTAGCGAACAATAAAGACAGTTTATATCCGACACCACGATTAAATGTTTACAAATGTTGAAAGATATAACGCGGTGACACCTACCTTGTCGTCAAAAGCTACCTTTCCGTTTACGTGTGCCAGACCGAGATATCGCTTCTTGGATACCAATAGACAGGGCGAGTATACTTTTTGTAGAACTATTTTGATCGGTTGTGGTATTGAAGCATTTATCTTTGCGACAATATCCTGAGCCATAGCCTGTGCATCGGCGACAGACCTCCCCGGGAACTTGATAAATATGCTGTCGGTATCTCCGTATATCACCTCTGCATCAAAATTATCATGAACTGTTTCCCTGCAGAATAAAATAAGTGCTCTTGCAATAGTCACAACCGATTCTGCCAGATCAGAGCACGGCATACGTCCCGAGTAGCTGGACGCAGTCAAGCTGCAAGGATATATCCAACACCACGTTGATACACTTACCCAACCGAAAGATTCGAAAGCATTTTGAGCCCATGCTGCTCTCGGTCCAACTTGCGTAGATTCCTTTCATCTACTCCAGGTTTCAACATTGCCGCTTTGATTTTCCGGCGGCTGTAGAGCACCTCCTTCAACATCATCGGCAGCACACCCTCTCGAATGCTTTTGTCAACAAACATTACTCCGTTTGGCATTATATGCAGTCCGATACCATTTGCTGAGTAGTGTTATATCCACATCATTCAGTGAACGAACCATTTGGCACAGGAATGTTGGCATGCGTCGAAAGGATGTCCTGGAATAGACCGTCCTCTGGGTGATATGTGACTACACCCAATTTTACATCTTTACGTCCCGTCTTATGTTCCTGTAGGTTAGTAACCACAACAGTTCTCTCTCAACCTACCCTTAGCAAACCGAGGCACGTGCTATAGCAGATGTTGTACGCGATGGTGATACAGGAGTACAGCGACTGGAAGTCAAGAACAGCCACCGGTGACAGGTGAAACCCGCTTATCGGTTGCATCACAATTGGTATAGCCACCGAAGCCCGTTGCTGGTGGACCTGTCTCTGCGTTGGTGAAGGTAATACGTAGCCGTACGACTTGGTAAAGCGGACTAGTACGCTTTCCACATGGAACTGACTACCACGCACAATTGCGCTCTTGAGGTCGAGACCGTATAGTTTGGAGAACGTCAGATACCTCTGGAAATACATCAATTTATCCATTGTAGCTATCACAGCATAGTTGCGTAACAACATGTAACGTAGTGCCCTGAATGAATGAGGTGTAATAAGTCGCTGATTTTGCATCGATGGTGTATCTTCCGTAGCTGCATAGATTTGGTGCACTTGTGTGATGTCTGGCTCCAATCCATTATTTACGGCGTCATCGTCCATAGCATCCGCAGTGGTGACATTAGCATCTTTACGATTGCCATGTTCCAAAGTGACTTTCGTAGTTAACCATTTGTTGATTGTGTGCATTGTATATGATGGCATGACATAACCGAACTGATCGAAAACAATGTTCTCCAACGATAGATTGGAGAGATTGAGTTCACGTACCGCAACGTCGGCAAGGTCAAATAGAAGTCTACCAGCACAAAACGGCAGTTGCAGGACACTATCTTTGTCTCGATTCTTCTGCAACTTACTCCTTTGATGAGTCATAAGCGTTGACACATCAGTCACTCGCATATTATTCCTATAGGTGTCCGTCCTGGGTGGGACACGTGACACCTGTTCCAAGAATCCCCGTAGCCCTAAGGTTGCAGCACGTTGATTGATGTATCCTATCGAATTACGTGCTATATCAAATCCGTATATGACGTTTGGGTCAAAAGTTAGTATAAGATTCCGTATTGCCTCTATCAGCTGCCTCTCAGAGGCAACATAGGATATATCAGCAAATTTCTCTGAATAGACTATCCGTTCCACATTTTCCATTCTCACGTTGCGGCGCTGTACCAATGCCATGCTGTGAAACTCATCGAATCTCACTCGTTCGAACGGCTGTGTTTCCACAGCATAAGGATCAACGACGATAGCACCCTGAACATCGGCATACGGCAGTTTAAGTTTAGCAAAATGACTAACCAATCGATGATCCCTCAATGTATATACAACTGCATTTATGGCATTGATTTCCGGGTCGGGATGAATGCGGTTCAGTTCGATGTCCGTAATGACGTCTAGAACAATACCAGATTCGAAGTTGTTTGGCGCTCTGACGATATTAGATACCGGCTCCATATCGATCGGCGGGTCTTTATGTTGCAAATATTCATTGGTTGAACGGGTTTGATTTGAGTCTAATGCCGTTTTGCTATTTACCGCCATTTGGCATGAACTCCCTTGTCCTTCGCTTTCCACCGGAGTCTTTGAATGTGATTGAGTGGCCTCATCGTGAAATCCCGTACGACCGTTAGTTACTTTACTTCTTACTGGATTATGATTATGCTGCACCGTCATCGCTTCACCCTGATCCCTGGGTTTATCTTTGAGTTTTGGGCAGTTTAATTTTGGCGGTTTCAATCTAAAGCGATATGCGTAATATCCTCTTTCCGTAGGTGCAGACCTATTGTTATGTCTGGAGTGGAACATGGCAGCACTGACTGTTATTCTTTCTACCTGCGTTGTCTTGGGCGCTTCATTTTTGTTATGTAGATGGAAATCATCGCAACGATAGAGTAGCTGACTGATATTGGACCTGATGGCCTCACCTTTTGTACCTGTTAACCCCTGAGCCTGGTCCATCATGTAATTATAGAACTCTCTTAGGGTATCATTTGATGCATACGTCGGTACCGTATCTTCAGCGCTATCCAAAGGTGATAGCGATGCTGATTGCAGATTGATACACTGGCTGTGCCAATGTTGTAAAAATGTGTCTTTTGGTCCCATATACCTTCCAACTGCATAGTCTCGTTGCGATAATTCCTGGCTTCCACTGGAGTTCGTGTCCCTGCACTCGAAAATATTGAGTATACTTGCTATGTGGGCGTCAATTTCCAGTTCACAGGTGGACACCCTTTTATGCCTCGAAAGGAATACCGACGGCGAATCCCTGAGTATGGGACTCTCAACCATTGCGGAAGTATCATTACGACTGCGTCGTCCCGCAACAACTACTCGATGCCATAATGGGTGGTTTTGCACTGACCATTGTGGATGGAGCGGTAGCGGTCCTCGCATTTTAATGGCCGACGATAGGTATATGTAGTCCATACCTTTGAGACTATAGTCCGACATGAAATGCATGAGATAACTAATATGAACCTCATATGGCTGAAGCTTTTGTTTATCGATACCGGTTGTACAAGCGTATCCTGCCAGGTGTTTTGTGAGCATGGGATTATAGTGGTATACCTTTACGAATTTCTGTGGTTTTGTATGGTATCCATAGAATATAACCTGGTCTATTACGTCTACACGATGTATATATGCTGAACCTTCTGCCTTTTTTCGGCGTAACAATGCAAGCCTCTGGGTACTCTGACTCATAAGCTTGGAACCTGCAGTTCGTGGTCTTACGGATGCAACTGCAGACCGTATTTTTGCATCGTTAACTTGTTTATTAACACGTATTTTGTTTTCTGTATTCACTGGTCGTGTATCATTTGGTCGTCGCGTTGACATCCGTTGTACAGCTGTTGAAGTTCGCTTCATTTCCCTCGTCCCTCTCCTTTCTGATACTACTTTCCTAGCGACATTTTCCAGCACCCTGTGTACCTTCGTGGCGAACTTCGTCGGTGATACGTCTTCCGGTACGGGAAGGTAGAAGTACGGCAGATACCCATGGACATGCAAGCACACTTGTTGGCCCGCTGGGTTTGCTCCAAATACCCTAATAACAGGGACCTCTTGAACAGGTATACCGTTACTGGAGATACGTGGGTCGAATTCTGTTGGCTTTGCCATCACATAATCGTAGTATACTAGTTGTACTGCCATTCGCGCATTAGCGCGTATGAATTCTACAAATTCATCCATTTCCTTAGAACATTACGGGATAGTTCCACCTATGTGATGACACATGGCCTCTATTGAGTACACCTGATCGTCTTATGCCTATGAGATATTCAAGTAGGGCTTTGTTTATATCGTTTGAATGTACCCTCTTATGGCCATGGGGAGATTGTAGTGTGCGAATAAAATGGTCCAAAGTTTCATTTGCCTCAGCTCGGCACATTCGTGTTGACTGACCAGTAGTGGCGCATAACCTAGTGAAAAGCTGTTGTAGATGTGTTTGTTGGTTATGTCGCATATGATAGATGTATCTCAGTACGGATAAGGTCTCAGCGTAGGTGGCTGCGGCAATTTGTTTTTCTAAAATGAGCTTTTGGTCATTTGAGAGAAGATGTGATATGCGTACACGACTACCAATGGGTGCATCTTCTATCCAGTGGTATGCTCCAGGGAAAACGGAATCACTTCTATTTCGCAATTGACTAAGGAAAAGGCTCTCAGCCAAAAGTTCTCCTGCAGCTGCGCACTCACTGCAACTGGTGTTTATACCATGTTGCAGCGTGCGCAGCCTGTTGGCGGCTTCTTCTAATACTCGGTCGCAGATATCAGTGTCTTCCTCCGTGAGCTTTAGGTTGTTTTGGTTACTGTGTTTTTCTGCACGTTGGCGAGAAGCAACAAGCGCTATGGTTCTAATTACTTCTGCCAATCCTTGAATATTCTCTGCGATAGAAGGTGTCTTTTTGCAGTGGTGTTGGAGCAGGTTCCTTGCAATGGAATCTTCACCTACTACTATGAATGCGTAACAAAGGGCAGCTAGGTCACTGTTTCCTAGTGTTTCCAACTGCGTAAGGTTATTAGCAAAGTGTTGGATTATATTTCTACCCTTTGTATGACTTTCCAGGCGGTTGTCTACGATACATCTAACGATTCTGGGTACTTGTTTTGGAGCAATTGCTTTCCTTCTATTATATATTTGGGCAAGTCTTGACCCCCAAATATGTGCCGAACGCTTCACCTTCCGCTTAGAAAGTTCGCCTAGGGAGTTGATAAGAGCATCTATTATCGCAACCATGTCATCGCGTCATGTCAAGTGCAAAGCGCATTCGTGTAAACGGTATGATTCCATCATTAATTTCAGTTAAGTATTTAAGTGATATATTTTAGCGTAGCATACGTCGGTAGGCCACTTCGTTTCCGTGGTTGCTGGCATTGCCTGTTTATGAGTCTGTGCGCGAGTTTCATCGCTTTTAATGGTTAGACGTCACATAATTATCACCTACTGCCCGTTATCTAATGTCAAAAAATACTGTTGTGATGTTAGTGTCTGCGTGATGTTTTTTGAGTTGTGGTACGGCATGTGCAGGAAGTTTTTGTGTGAAGTGGCAGTCAATTCGTTTTTTCGGACTATTTCATGTATCTGTGGTTGTTCTTAAAATATTGTGGCCAGACCGAACACCGGTGTGCCTCGGGGGTGTCATTTTGTATAGCCGTTATTACTTGCCTTATATATACTTTGTGTTGCGTTTGGGGGGTACCGGACGGTCTAGATGCGTGTAAAGATCTCCCAATTCTGTGCGCGTAATGGTTTATGTAGCAGGAACGAAGCTAAGAAGCTGATTCAATCTGTATGTTCTTGTCGGGTTGCTTTTAATTATAGCAGGGTCAACTTAAACTTAACGGTGTCGTGATTCGAGCGGATTCAACTGTTAGGGGGACGTTACATCCTAGCAGTATCACTTTTAACGCTCGCGCAAGGTTTTCCGAAGCTAACAAGGTATCTGTGATGCTTCACAAGCCGGAATCCTATCTGTCTACTTTTAGTCGCCGGGTTTGTGGGACCTATGATTTAATGAACAACCGTTTCAGACGGATGTTTGGTCCAAGTCTTTATTGATACCAGAAAACCGTTGTGAGAACGATATCCAAAATCATCTAAATCCGTCTAAATTGAGACGTTTAGTACCTATTAATCCTCTTGAATACGGAGCCAGTGGTCTTACTCTTTTTTCTGAGGTATGTTAATTACAGTTTTTGGCTTAAGGTACCATTTTTATCACTCTAATTGTTATTATTAACCTTTTCTTTTGTAATTTCTCCATAATAACATTTTTGTGTTTTTCCTTGGTATTGAGATATGTGATCCTCTTTGCATGTTATTTGCCTGTACCTATAACTGCTTCAGGACGTGACTTTAATATCTCGTTTCTCGGATTGCGAGGAAGAATATCACGTTATATTCCGGGACCGCTTGACTGAGCCTAAGGTCTACGTTCTGAGTTGCGAGTTGCATATAGACGGTGTTGCGATCCCCCGGCTTAAGATAGCGCCATTAAGTGATTATTCTGCACAGATATCCATCCAAGGCGCTTCTAGCAAGGTGTGTTTGTGATATGCATCAATGTTATACTGACTCCCCAGCTCCGCAAGGCATGCCGCCAGGCTGGTCTAGAAATACGGTCTCTAAAGCGTCTAAGACTAGGTCAATTAGAGCTTGGTGATCTATTATGTGGTACGTGGAGGATGTTGCGTCGTTATAACCTAACGTAATGTGCGAATGGTTAGGTGTCGCATTGACGTCGCACATGAACAGTGATGTTATGGCAAGGACTCTGCGCATCCCTTTGAAACTAGCTGCAAATGAATTCTAGATTTCAGTAAGTAATGGTGCAATACTCTATAGAGCGTCACAGGAATGCTACGCCTATCAACTGCTTTGTCTGGTTCGAGACAGCATGGTTGGCGGTTTGAGAGATTGAGACCTACTGTGAAACGATATGTACGTATCAATCATCCACCTCAATTACGTTCTCCTCTTTTGAAACTAGAAGGGGATAGCAACAAGCTGCTGTACGTGTGCAATGGTCGGGTCTCTAGGGAGCACATTGCGACGTTCGAGTCGTCTGCGAGGCATTTTATCAAGAAAGGCGATATTATTGAGACGCCTGTATTAGCAATAGTAAAAGGTGGTTCACATATTCTACTAGAGACGTTATCTATGGATGACATCGATGAGTTCGAGAAGCTGGTTCCCGAAATCCGCAAGGCATTTGATGGTGGGTGTTTGAAAAGTAAATTAAATATATCTGTGATATCTCAAATGGCCCCTAACCGTCCCCGTGATGTTGCTAGTGACCTTCTTTCGGCCCTATACCCGTTGTAGTGTCGATTCTCTCGTGGGAAGCTACGCGCAGCGGCACCATAATCGGGCCACCGCGCGTCTAGGTGTTTTCTATCACACATTATTAATTTCCGCAATTACTAATCTTCAGATTGCGAGAGTCAAGGTCAGGAGTGTGCTGTTATGGAGCATCGAGCGATAGACTTTACGTTATAAGCTTTTCTAGGGTGTCCATGATTTGTAGCATGTGCGCGCGTTCCATAGCTTCAGTAGCTGTTTTATGTCTCTTGTGTATTTTTGATAATACCTCATTGTCGTCATCTTGGTCTATCGTTTCGGGTTGAAAAACGTCCGCATCAGGTGTGTTTGGTTGTAGGTCAGTTTTAGATGATTGCTGTCTATTTTCAGTTGTGTTATATCCTCTTAATGTGAATGTTAGAGGTCGTCTTTCGTTGGAGAAGCAATCGATTAGTTCGCAAACGGTATAATCTTCAATTGCTGTGACGGGTTCTTGTTTGGGTAATTTGGCTGATCTGTTGTTTCCTATCCAGGACCTAAGCATTGTTTCGTCTATTTGTGATATTTCTTGTGTGGAGTTATCGAATTTGTGTATTACCATTCCTTTTTTCCCGAACTTGACTGCGAATGTCTCACCTATGCCGAAATTTTCTTCAGAATCAGACACATCTGAGTCTATTGGTTCTACAGTCATAAGCGGTGCGATAGATGCGGGATCTTTTCTTTTTTTGAAGTATGGAATGAATCCTTCTGAGTTAACTTGGTATATGAGTGTATCTGGTACGTCGCTTTGTCGGATAGCTTCTAGGCACTCTGTTTCGTGTTTGGCTGATGTTGTACATATAACCAAAGTGTGTTTCATATTACCGCAGTATACGTCTGTATTGTTTGGTACTGCTACATGGCGTACGAATTCGCTGCCATTACTGACTATCCTATTTAGTGGTACTTCAAGCAAGCTATGTGGTATGTACAACAATCCACGGCACACATCGTTATCGCAAACTCGGTGTTCCATAGGGTCAGGTTGTTTTAGTGCATACCTTTTTAGCATATCAGTTGTTTCTGCTGTACGTTTGCAGGTACACAGCGGAGGTGTATACCCGAGTGGTGTCATATTTCGTCTCCATCGCCAGAAATCGAAGCCGATTCTTCCACATCTTTCTAGAGCTTCAGCATCAGGGCTCAATGGTGACACATCACCTGGCCTTACAGGATAGTAGAAGGTTGTCTGCGCCCTCCAATGTAGATCACGGTATAGCATCGGAGGTTGTTTATCCGTTAGATTTACATTTTTATCTACATTTTCTTGGACATTAGCCGAGTTATCGCTGGGAGGTACGTTATTCAGCGATACATCCTGCTGCAGATCAGGTTTCGTCAACATATGCGTTAGTTTATCATATACTGAGGGGTCTTTTTGGAGTTTGAGTTGTTCCTGCAGATAGGTAAAGAAGAGCGCTGGTTTCGTCAAGGTGTCGTTGACGTGGGCCGCGGCGTCTGCATCTGTCAGGGTCATTATATTAAATATTAAAGTTCTCTAGGTATGTTATTGCTGTTTAGGTACTTTCGTCTGCTGCAAACGGCGCTACCAAGGTTGGAAGGCGCGAGTTCCGCATTAGTCGTGTGTGGCTGCAGTGGGCTCAATCCAAACGAGGGTGGTTGCCGATCAGAAAACATAGGTCTATATGTTTCTGGTCTCCTTACGCACGTTGTTGCATCCGAATCTGCAGATAAGCTACCTCCATATGCATGGGTATGTATAGTTTCTTCTTCTATTCTTGCACTTCCTTTTTGCCTATAACGTGAATGTGTCGGAGTGCGTAGATGTTTGTGCGTCATCTTTTCACGGTCGATTTTTCGACGTGATATTGTATGCGTCGCCTTATCCGTTTTGACTTCAACAAGTCTCCCCCTTCTTCCCGAGTTACTAGACTCGCTACTATTTTCTGTAAATCTGTACAAAGAGTGGTCTTGGCCGTACAACGGCGAGCACGTGTCCGTGATTTCCGCGGCATCCGTTGCCACGTGATTTGATGTTCTGCGATAGAATGGTATTTCCGTTGATCTCGGCGATACTGTTGCGATCCCTGAGTTTCCGATTGAGCTGCCAGCCATGATAGTCATAGTATTGCGTGGTGTGTTTATCATGGTAACTGTCTGTGCAACATCATCGTAGGACTCTACGTAGTCTGTTGCGAATGGTACCTCCATTCCCCCTGAGCGCTTTGGCACGGGTGTGCGTAGCTGAGGTAGTTCACAACTGACTAGTTCGGACACAACACTTGGTGATATTGATGATCTCGGTGTGTTTCTTCGCATGATATTTTCATAAATTTTTTCACGATCACGAACGTTGACAGTAGCCCAGAACCAGTCGAATACCGGTCCATCCCACATGGTGAACCCTAGACACTGTACGGCGCTCGCTCGCCTTGAGGGATCTTGTTGTAGTAATGCATATAGTAGTGAGTTGAGTTGCCTACTACGTCCAGGTAGTGGTAGTGGTACCCCGTTTTTCATTTGTTGTGCTAGTTCCGCCAGTGTCGTGGCCTTATGAAATGGTGTCTTGCCATAAGAGAGCTCATATAATACAACTCCGAGTGCCCACATATCCATTTTATCATCATAGTTTTTAGTTTGTGACAATAGGAGTTCTGGACACCAGTAGTACGGTGTGCCAACGCATGAGTGGGCGAATGACTCCATTCCTATACTTCTGCACAATCCGAAATCTCCTATTTTGCATATATATCCATTTCTCTGTTTATTTTTATGTTTTGAGTGTAGGAATATATTTTGTGGTTTGAGATCTCGATGCAGTATCCTTCCCTGTTTCGGTCCCAGTGAAGAGTTATGGCAATATGCTAGTGCGAAAAGTAGCTGTAGTGCTATATCAAATATGACTTGTTCATTGACTTTGACGTAGTGTTTATGAAATTGCCTCATATTTTCACCCAGATCGCCCGAGTCGCAATATTCCATGATGATGTATAGTAGATGTTTTTCTCTGTCTACTACCCTATCAACGTATCTTACAATGTTTGGGTGTTTGAGATCTCTCATAACGTTTACTTCCATGACTAGTTGTTCCTTTTCTTTTTCGCTGAGTCCCTTATATGCGACTACCTTCCAGCAATAAAGTTCTCCGGTTACCTATGAATATTGATAATATTATATAGTTTGTCTACCTTGTGTTGTACTTGAAAAACTTCTCCAAACCTTCCGGCGCCAATGCGCCTGAGTGTTTTGAACTGTGCGAGTCTTGACTCTTCACTTGCCATGTTTGCTGTCGTGGATTCTGATCGTTCGAAGCGTTTAGTGTGTGCCGGAGTAAGTTGTCTTCGTACCTCTTGGTGAGTTTCGAGGTTCTTGAGTGCCACTCTCGGGGGCGTTGCGATGGTTGCAGCGCCGGTTGCTTCGTCAATCTGTTGTTCTTCTGCATATGAGCCTTCCAGCCCGACGGGTCACATGACAACGCACGACAAAAAAGCGTGTCGGACAGGAAGATTTCTACGTTAGTGTACAAACATAAAATTTACAAATAAGTTGATTGGTTGGGCGCACACTTAAGCGCATAATGGATCGCACCCATTGCTATTAGGGATTGGCGTACAGCGCCATGTGCGACATTCCGCATTCATCATTGAATTTATTACTTCCTCTGGCTAATCTAACGTAACCTTCTTCCCCCCAAGTGGTCCCCCAAGAGTTCTTAATAATCCAATAGGGCCCTGTCTCGTCTCTTCCAACTCCTGCCAATACTACGGCGTGGTTGATTTCTTCTGCGCAGTGGTTTAATATTCCTGAATGATAGAATTGCCAGTTTAAGGAGACAGCGACGTATACCGTCAGAGGCCCGTATTCTTTAAGTAATTTGACCAAATCCGGTGTTTCCGAGAACCCGAACGATTTTAATGAGAATTTCGGTTCATTATCCATTACTTTGCACGTTCCAGTTTTAGCATTATATGGGTATACAGCGTTTCTGTATACACCTTTGTCGCGTACGTACTCGTATGCGAAATACGAGTTGCCATATTCACATCCATGGCATTCCGACACACAATCTACTAATTGTTGTTCACTAAGAATAACTTCCGTGTTTTGTTTGTTTTTGAAGTAAGGTTCTACTACACCTATCGTGGCAAATGCCCAGCACGATCCGCATGTGCCCTGATCCTTCACTTGCGTCATGTATCCTGTGCGTCTAAGGTCAATGTCTTCTTCGTTAATATTTTGTCTTTGATTTCCTACTATTTGTGTTTTTATTCCAGTGGCTATGTGTTTGTCATTCGTTAAGTTTTTTTGTGGTATTTCCATACGTACACCGTGTAATGCCATAAACTGGCTTTGAGACACATCAGCGAATTGATTTAATTTCATCTCAAAAGTCCGTTCTTTTGTGTCATTAAAATTTCGTACTATACATGCATTTTCGTAGTATGTACGAAACCTCCGAGCTTTGTCGGTAATTGTTTTATCCTTGCGATTGTAGATTCTGTTGAAATCATTGAACTGTATATATAACTCGGCAGCTTCTATTGGTGTCATAGAGTCATATTTATGTCCTAGTGCGGTTACCACTATAAATCCAGGGTCCTCGCGCGCGCGTCCTTCGACAGTATGATAATTTTCGAAGTTCCGTTGTATCAATGCTTCATCGATATAACGTTCACTTTCTTTGTTAGCATAATAGTTTGATATGAGAATAACAACGGCGAATCCTATGAAGAACAGAATCACTGCAAGTGTGAAATGTACATAATTTGCTCTATTTTCTAGGAATTTCGACATTTTGGAGTACCACAATTTGGATATCACCCGTGAGCGGCGCTTTGACCGTTCCGTGGCTTCATCCGGATAGGATACCACCTCGTCGTCCAGTAAGGGCGTAGAAGCCATTTTATAGGCGTTTTTAATGGTGGGTTTCATCGCGCTGGGGTTGTACACACTAAAGTAGGTTGGGAGTACAGAGTGGTGCCTCTACTGGCATGTTTCATGTTAGGTAATAGTTGAGTGATATTTTGTGAAGTGTCAGTGCATAATCTTTTTGAGTTCGTCATAGAATACGAGGACGAGAGCTCCGCCAAAGCCACGTAGTATGTTGGCGAAGGCCCCTTTGAAGAAGCCGTTAACTCCTTCGTTTTTTAGGATTTTACTGAAGCAGTCGAGTGAATTCTTGTACATAATATCGGCTCCGGCTTTCTTTCCCGACATCATCATCATCCTACGTCTGACGGTGTCAAAAGGATAAGAGGCCAGCCCGGCGTTTACAGTTACGAATTGTGCGACCATCCATTTGTAGAAGATATTGACATGTTTGCCATCTCCGAACAGCATGGCCTTAGCGGAATCGTACATGCCAAAGTATGTACCACGGTACACAATAATACCTGTAACAGATATGTTGAAGCCTTTGTATAGTGAGAAGAACCCTGTGGATCGTCTAATCTTCATCAAGCAATCGATAAGGCCCGTGAATTCGCGTTGACCTTCTTTTCTGACATCGCTTGCTAGACGTGTTCTGGCAAAGTCAAGTGGATATACGATCATTAATGAGTTGGCTCCTGCTAATGCTCCGGAAGCTATGTTTGTTGCGAAGAACTTCCAGAAGTCAGTGTTTTGGTTATATTTGGGAAACAGGGTCTTAAAGTAGTCCTTAAAAGCAAAATTGAACGCCTGGGTGGGGAAGTAACGAATCACGTTTGCCATGTTGCCTCTCCACAATGATGCTACACCTTGTTCTTTGCATACCCTGCCGAAGCAGTTAATGATACCCGTATATCTGGGTATTTTGCCACTTTTGATTTCTGGGATTGTATCTTGAGTTTGAATTAACATTTTCACTCGTTCTATAGGTGCTACAGCTGTTTTGGACACAGCGGCGGACACCCCTCCCATGAGGAAATCAGTGACGAAGGTGTTTTTGGCCTCCATGATGTCGTATCGGCGTGCAGGCTCGGACCTTTATCGCGATTAGTTACTCCCACTGATTTTAGCGCACCACACGCACACAAGCATGTCAGCCAGCTACCCTCTGCGGCGTCACAAACCTTTTCTTAGCTTTGTAGCTTAATCTGTACGAATACGTGTCGTTTATAACCTTTTTGGAACGGATGCGCAGTCCAGGGCGTACACTGCAAAAAAAAATCTTAGTGCCCGTACTCCTGGTACTGCCATTACGTCTCGTAATGTCAACGTTGTCGTATTGAACGTCCTTGTTGAGCCCTTTGTTCCTGAGGGCGCCTGTGGACTGCCCCTCAGTCCACAGGCCTACTTCATTTTTGCATACTTGGTTCACCATTGTGAGCAATGCGCGCACTGGTCCTGCCCCAGTGCTTCTTTAAACTTTATCCAATTTCATTATCTTTGTCCACTTAGCATTTTATTCGATAAAATTCGATGACATGTTACATAGGTAGATTGCGCAGTTCGTAACCGTATCGTTCCCTTTTTTGGAAGAAGGCCAGTCGGCCTATTCCTTTTTCAGTCACACATTAGTGATGTCCATTCTTATTTTTCGCATCCTGCTGGCGTGTGCCGGCATCCTTTGCGCTTGCGGTACGCGTCGGAAGGCCGACTATATCAAGTTGAATTCGCTCATGGGTGAGTGTCTTTTATTGTTGAAGATCGCTTGAATCTTTTTTTTTTAACTTTTTAAGAGGCAATTGCCTCGTATATACTGTCTATCATACGTCGAACCATGTAGACATCCGAAAGTAACAATGTATCGTATTTGCTTTTCGCTCATTCTGCTAGAATGGTCATTTTTTTTTCTGTGTGTCGCTGCGTAGGATTGTCTGCCAACACGCACATCTTTTCAGGTAGCATAACCGTGCCGCGTGACGGTTTGCGTACAGTTGGTGATTTGCGGAAGAAGCTTGAGGGGCAGTTCAGTGCCCGCGTCGATTTGTTCCGTGAAAACAAGGCATTGAGCAACGAGGAGCTGATATCTGAGGTATGATTAGTTTTACTGATAATAAAAGCTTGCTGTAGTTGGACAATGGCCGAATAAATTTGATGATTCCGCTTCGCGGCGGGATGCGTGTACAAGTGCAGACAATGCTTGGTTTGTTAAATTCTACAATGATATTATGAATTTGCAGGTCAAAAACTGGAGGTTGACGTTGAGCCAAGTGACACTGTGTTAGATTTGAAGCGCAAACTTAGTACCAAGCAGAAACTACCTGTTGATCAGCAGCGTATAATATTTGAGGGTAAGATGTTACAGGATAACAAGACCCTTGCTGAGTATAATATAAAGGTATGTGTTTAATATACGTTGAACATTGCGTGTAGAATAACTCTGTTATACACATGGTGCTGCGTTTGCGCGGCGGCATGTGTTGTCCCCTTGGGCAGGTGCGTGTTTGGTAGTATACACATTAGCCCTATTTTCTTGTACGTTGACGCGATACAAAGGGTAGTAATCTGGGGGGCTATATTCTGCTCGTTCTAACGGCAGTAACTTTAAAGCGTATCGTGTGTGGACGTAGTCTGGTATCGATGTAAGAGAACTCTTTGATATAATAATGGAAGAGCTCATTCCGTTAGTGAGTAAGCTTCATGTTATTCTAGCTCACGCGGGTGAGAGTAGTTTACAGCTGCCTGCGGTAGCAGTAGTTGGAGCCCAGTCTGTGGGCAAATCGTCCGTTCTTGAGGCGATCGTTGGCCGCCCTTTTCTACCCAAGGGCACAGGTATAGTTACGCAGCGCCCGCTAGTATTGCAGGTATGTGTCTATGGTGCTATTAGTGGTATATACGTTTCAGCTTCGTTATGATGCGGATGCTATCGAGCATGGTGAATTTGGTCATAAGCGTAACGTGATATTTGAAGATTTTGATAAAATCAAGGCCGAAATTAAGAGTGAAACTGAGCGTTTATTAGGCACTAGCAAAAATGTGTCACCTGTGCCTATATTTCTCAAGATTGTGTCGCCGAGGGTCGTTGACCTGACGCTAATAGATTTACCAGGTATTACTAAGGTGCCAGTGAACGACCAAAACCATGATATTGATCATCAAATTCGTGAGATGATAATGGATTACATAGCGCAGCCGTCTTGTATAATTTTGGCGCTTACGTCAGCGAATACGGACATTGCTACGTCTGACAGTTTGCAGATGGCTCGGGAGGTTGACCCTATTGGTTTGCGTACTATAGGTGTGATAACGAAGTGTGATACTGCGGACGAGAGTTTCAGTGCCCTTGATGTATTACAGGGTCGTGTGTACAAGTTGCGTAGGGGTTATGTTGGTGTGGTTTGTAAGGACAAAAGCGGTCTTCATGACGCGCGTCACAATATCGCTGAAGAGGACGCTTTTTTCCGTAACCATCCTACATTTGGCGCTGTTTCGAAAAAATGTGGTATCCGTCACTTATCGGCGTTGTTGAACGACATCTTGACGCATCACATTAAAGAGATGTTGCCTTATGTTAAGAGTAAGCTTTTGGCTATAATGCACGAGCGTGAGGCTGAGTTATCGTCATACGGTCTCGGTTCTCTTGCCGATACATCATCTCCTGGTGGCTGTCTGTTACATTTCTTCACATCATTTTCTCAAACCTTCAGGGATATGATTAGTGGTCGTACATCATCTAAGTCTCATTCCTCTGAGATTTTTGGTGGTGCTCGTATTTACTACATTTTTAATGATAGTTATTTGAAGACTCTCAAGGCTTTTAGTCCTTTAGCAGGTCTTTCTGATATCGAGATTCGTACCGCCATAAGGAACTCTACAGGTCCCGCCTCTGCATTGTTTGTACCCGAGATTGCATTTGCTAACCTTGTGAAGAAGCAGATTAATCTTCTTGAGGCGCCTTCATTGCAATGTGTGGATCAGGTATACGACGAGCTTCTGAACATCCTTGACAGTTGTGATGTCCCCGACCTTGATCGTTTTGTGAACATGCGTAAGCATATGTTATCGGTTGTGAAGGAGCTTTTGAAGCGTTGTGTGGAGCCTACTAAGAACATGATTCGTGATTTGATCAAGATAGAGCTTGCTTATATCAATACGAACCACCCCGACTTTTTGAAGAGCAACGTTTTGGCCGAGGCATTTCAGCAACGTAGTCATCAACGTGATTATACTCCGACATTTGTTCCTGGTTCTCAAGCCTCACGTCCATTAGTGCGACACTCGGTTCAAATTGATGCTACGTCTACGTCTGCCGATTCGGTTACCTATTCCACTCTACCGAGGGCATCGCACTACGATAGGCAAGTCGTCAACAACGACCTTTATTCAATCCTCCGCAGTAGGATGGGAGAGCGTCGAGGTGACTCGTTAGATGATGCGTCTCGAGTTGATAATTCAGATGTTATGGGTAAAACTTCTTCGCAAACAGGTACTAGATCTGACGGGTCTATGGATGAGGATGCCCCTTCACTTTGGCTTCCTACTATTCCCAAAGTGGTTAGCCTTGGTAACGACCCTAGTGAGCGTGAGGTTGTGGAAGCAGAGCTTATAAAAACTCTGATTGAGAGTTACTTTTCTATTGTCAGGTATGTGATTTAATTTTTGAAAGGGCTATATTTTTTAGGAAAAACATTGCCGACGCCGTTCCTAAATGCATAATGCATTTTATGGTAAACCGGACCACGGATTCTGTCCAGCAGGAGTTGATATCTAATTTGTATAAGAAGGAGCTTTACGACGAGCTTACGGCTGAGTCCAGCCATATAATAGAGCGTCGTGAGCGATGTGTGGACACTATCCGGTGAGTATGATATTCTATATGATAAAAAATTCTTTAGATCGTTGCGTCAATGTATTTCCGAGCTGAACGATATTTCTGAGTTCCGCGTCAAGTTGTAGCCACACACCGATGTTACGGCGTGTAGCTTAGGCTATCGCAACATCTGATAATTTTTTTTGTTACTTAACAATGTTAAAGGGTGGTTCTGAATCTAAAAGTTGGGGTTCTTTGCCCTTTACGGTAGACGGTAGTGAGCAGTGGATCCGTAATTTTCGTGATTATTCTAACCTTGAGCTTAAGAAGGATCATGAAAATCGGCCTATATGGGTGTGTCCTGATGGTTATCTATACTTTGAGCAAGCTAACAAGGTTACTAGACAGGCACAAGACTTCCTGGTGACTATCGCTGAACCAGTTTGTCGACCGGAGCACTTACACGAGTACCAGGTATGCCGTTTCCCCCTCTTAAATAGCACTAATGTCTGTGTAGATCACCGTTTTTTCTCTTTACACAGCCGTTTCTGTGGGCCTTACTGTAGACGAGCTCCTTCTTAACTTGAACAAGTTTTCCAAGAACAAGTTACCAGGGAAACTGAAGGATTCTATTGTCAAAACAGCTTCGGTTAGTTTTAATACACACATTTGTTATTATTTGCACGAAATATGAGTTATGTTGTGTCTCATGCCATAGTTGGTGTCGATTATGTATGCCGAAAGCACGTTGCTGTGTACTATCGTGACATGTATATGTCCATCGGTTATAGAATATAACATTGAGTTACAGGCTTTTGGTAAAATTAAGCTTGTTTTGCGGGAAAATCGCTACTGGGTGGAGTCTCATGATAAGAAGGAGTTGGATCTTTTGCTTAAAAACCCTGTTATCCGTAGTTCACGAATTGTGGGCACGACTTGGGGCAATCACGGTATTTCCGCTACGCCGAGTACTTCCAGCGCCCCTCGTCCGAATGACGTGGACTATGTGACAACGTCAGTCCCCACCGCTGATGTATCTAGCATTATGTTCAACACTAATGATCATGGTGTGAATGCGCACCCGGTTCAGGAGTCTAAGATGCCCGTGGCCATTGAAGGTATGGGCCGTATATCGCAAGAATCTTCTGGGACAAGTGAGGTGTACTCTTTCGAGGTTCATCAGGAGAAGATCGAAGAGCTTAAACGTGAAGCTTTGCAGTCGATGCGTCGTCCTCTTGTGATGGAGTATGATTTCCGTAAAGATAAACAGACGCCGACTTTAGACTGTTGTATACGTACTACTATAAAGATCCGTTACTATCAGGAGCGGGCTCTTCGGCGTATGTTTAGCAACGGTCGTGCGAGGTCTGGTATCATAGTACTGCCTTGTGGAGCTGGTAAAACTCTTACTGGTATATTGGCTGCCTGTACTGTTCGTAAGCCTATATTTGTTTTGACTACGTCGGCTGTTGCTGTTGAGCAGTGGGTGAAGCAGTTTATGGATTTTACAAATATCTCTCCTGAGAGGTTGGTTACTTTGACATCGGATAACAAGAACAACTTGTGGGACAGCAAAAGTGCTGGTGTGGTGATATCAACTTATACTATGATGGCATATTCCCGTAAACATCGTGAGGGTACTGAGAACCTTTTAACCGAGATAAAGCGTCGTGATTGGGGTCTGTTGATATTCGATGAAGTTCAATTCGTCCCAGCTCCTGCTTTCAGGCGTATAAACGAGATCGTACGTTCTCATTGTAAATTGGGCCTCACTGCTACTCTCGTACGAGAGGATGACCTCATTAAGGATCTTCAGTGGTTGATCGGTCCCAAGTTATATGAGGCTAACTGGCTTGAATTACAAGAGAAGGGTTTTTTGGCTAAGGTGATTTGTAAGGAGATTTGGTGTCCAATGACAGCTGCTTTTTATCGTGAATATTTAAGGAGTGATTGTGCTAAGAAGCGTAAATTATGGTCATGTAACCCTGTGAAGCTTGCTACATGTGAGTATTTGCTCAAGTATCACGAATCTCGTGGCGACAAGGTCATTGTATTTTCTGACAACTTATTTGCGTTATTACACGTTGCTAAAATGCTGCATCGCCCTTTTATATATGGTAAGGTAACATCTGCTGAGCGTATTATTATCCTTGACAAGTTCAAGAATGAGAATACGTTTAACTCCATAATTCTGTCCAAGGTTGGAGACAATGCGCTGGATATACCTTGTGCTAATGTTGTGATTCAAATATCATTTAATTTCGCTTCACGTCGTCAGGAGGCACAACGTTTAGGGCGTATCCTCCGTCCGAAGAGCAAGAGCGATGAGAGTGGTTTTAACGCCTTTTTCTACAGCCTTGTGAGCAAAGACACGCAAGAGATGGTTTTTGCTGACAAGCGTCAGCAATTTATTATCGACCAGGTATGTTTCCTAACCTTTTTTCTATGTCTATTGTTTCATTCAGTAGATACTGTGTGTTTCTTTTCCGATTGTCAATATATCGTTCAGGGTTACGCTTACAACGTCACAAGTTCCTCGGAGATTGTCAAAGACGAGAATGACTTGATATATTGTCGTCCCGAGATTCGTGATGAGTTGCTTCGTGACATAGTTCTTGCAAGTGACGAGCCTGATGAAGAGGAGGATGATCACGTTTTTGAGGGTAAGGGCAACCCTCAGCATGAGGATTTGGGTATGTATACAAACCCTAGACGTACATCTCTGTCTACTCTTACGGGTTCATTGCACAAGCAATATTTGCGTCGTACTAAGTCCACGGTCAAGCCCAAGAAGCGTAGCGCCCGGAGTTTGAGTAGCCAGCACCCTATGTTTCGGAAGTTTTTCTCTAACATTAAGCGCTGATCACACATTTAATCAAATGTGTAACATCGTATAGTAACATGTTAAAACATCATGTCTTTCATTCCACTAAGGTAATCTCGGCCAAAGGTGCCGCCTTCCGTAACTTTCAAGGCACAAAAGGCCGTTATTTCATGGTATTATCGCATTATCGTCATTTTTCAACGCAAAATTCTAATTTTTATCATGAAATTGACCGTATTAAAACGATCCTAGCTCACACATCTCAGGAGCCTTCATATGTCTACTCGGAGTCTTTGAAAGAAGTAGGCCACATTACAAGCTATCTTATATCTATATCGTGTTACCTCACTGTTCTACACTTTGTATATGGATCGTAGCATTTGCCTTGCACTTGGTCAATCTCATTCAGCGCATTGGATCTCTCGGCAAGGAAGCGGGGTTGGCCAACGATCCGGATGCTAAGGCTATCGTAAACCGTCTAGCAGAAGACGCTGAAAGGTATCACGATACTGTAGTCGGCTATATGTGTAACCGTGATATATACAATCAGGTAAGACTGTGTTTCAACAACTTTATCATTATATACAGGCTGCACAAACAAAAATCACTAATGATGTTAACCTCAAATACGGTATAGTTGGAGTATCGCTTATGTGCGTATTCGGGTCACTGGCGGTATCACTGCACCCAATCTTCTTGCTGGTGAGTGGCACCTTGCACGTTCGTATGACTAATCAGGGCTGCGCGCTTGGCGGGTATGTATACAGGCCGGTTTTTAGACAAAGCCGCATGAAAGAAGGTAACTATTGACTATGTGCTAGTACATTAATTTCTCGGTGACATGCGCTCAATGCGCTGAGTAGAAAAGACTATTTACCTTTCCCCAAACTATGCAGAAACGACGAATAATATGGAAAGATACCTGAAAATCTGTAAAGATTACAAGCATAAAATGACACAACTACATAAAGATATAGCTGAACAAATTGGAACTCTTGAAGAAAATATCGCATCAAACCGTAAGATCTCGACAAAAAAATCTTGAAGAATAAATTACCTCTGACGACGACGAAGGATAGTGCTGTAACATGCTGCTCCCAAGAATAACACGGAAGCAACAACAAATGGACGCTCGCCTAACGCACTTAACGACCTGTTAACAAACTCATAAGCATGATCGAAGTATTCCCAGTGCTCGTCGAACATGATACTAGTTACTTTCGTATAATCTATTTTCTTGCCGAAATTCTTGCGAGTGTAACGCAAAAAACGGAACACATTTATACTGTAACTAGGACCCGTTGTTGGAGTACTGACAACTGGTGGGATCTTTTTCGCCTTAGTCTCCTCTGGCAAACGCTCGTTCAGCACCTTTACGGCATCCTGTAAATCGATCACGTGGATCTTAATAGAATATGGAACCTGGATCGAGGAAGTAGCCGTTTGTTTATGCTGCACAAAACGGTTGTAGATAGATCCATGAGTCAATATTTTGGTCATGTAGGTATCATCAACCTCGTATCCATGCTTTGCATAATACTCACGTGTACCGATACCGGCAATCACCGCTATCTTGCGGAAACCCTTGGCAGCGGCTATGATGTCCGCTGCCAATAAGAGGCTAGCACCAATACCGCGATGCTGATAGGGAGTACACTCTTGAGAAGATTTACCGTGGACAACCACTACGCCGTAAACGTGTAACTCACGGATTAAAGCACAACCCTCTAGACAACGGAACAATGAAACTTTAGGGTTATATCCGCTATTATCACGTAGACGTAGCCGCAAGAATCCAAATATCTTCGATTCATCCTCGGTCTCGTAACTCAAAAAGTACTCGTCACCAGCATGACTACGGTACTGTCGCACCATCAGCTTAGCACCAAGATCATGACCACCTTGCTTTACCTCACGACAACGGATACAACGACACATCAGACCACGCTTAGCCATATTGTTCAATAGTAGCTGTCGCATGTTCGTGACGTTGGTACCAGCAATGATCGATGGGTTAGGTATATCACGGATCACTCGGTTCAACCTAATCCACGGATGGATCGCTCGCTTCACACTCATCAACAGGTCCATAAGCAAAAAAGGATCAGTATCAAAGTAGGGAGCGTAACGACCTTCCTTATACCACTGCTCGATGCGTGAGAATGGTGTGACTTCACAGGGATAGATTTTCCACTGATCAGCTTGAAGTTCATCATCACCCAAAACCTCCGCAAACATTTCTCGGTCAACCTGAGGGCTACTTGCCGGAAGGTCGGGCATCAAATGAATATCAACCTTGTAGCAGTTATCCTTTAGCAGTGAGAGCGCTCTTATACCGTCAACAATGGTGTGACCTCGGTTAACATGGCTCAATATATCATCTTTCGTATGCTGGATACCTAATTGAACCCTAGTGCAACCTAATCTCCTCAATATACGAATCTCAGCAGGTGATATACGGTCAGGTCGTGTTTCCAAAGTCAAACCTATAATTCGGCATGACGCTGTCACATTTATATCCTGTTCCGTCTCCAGAGATTCACGCGACCGAGCTAATTCCAGTGGTAACGGGAATACATTTGCAGCGTAAAAAAGATCACGACAAAATTCCTCCTGATAGGATCGAGGGTAACCACTCCAGGTTCCACCCAGTACCAATACCTCAATCTTATCAATCACATGACCATTGCGGTAGAGTGTCATTGCACGATCGTGAAACTGGCGAACAGCATCAAAATCGTTCTGATTCGCTCTTAATACCGCTGGTTCTGTTGAAAGGTAGCTTCGTGGTTGGCCTGGTTCGTTAGGGCAGTAGTGACAGTCTGAGGAGCAGCTGAAATTTCCAGGAGCAGTCAGTACCGTAATAACTACAACACCAGAATTCGACCGTACAGATTTGTTCCTTAAGAGATGTTGCATTCTTGGGTCATACCGAACGGCAGTTGGTGACACAAAGTCTTCTACAGATTCAGTGCCGCCTTTGGGTGTCTCCATTTCTGATTCTTGACCAAAATCGGCATCACTCTGTAACTGCAACAATCTTTCGAATATATCACGCTTAGAAGGACTAATTCGACACTCTCTTCTTAACCTGGCCATAACTGAATTTAGACTATTCTGGTCCTGTACATTCTCAGATTGTGAAAGAAGCTTGTATATGAACTTGTCTAATGGCGAGAGCTTAGTAATATCCATCTTCAAGAATATATCTCGATAACGATCAAACTGTAATTCGGAATACTGTGGCACGTTACCACCTTCCAATGCATTATTCTCGAAATTGCGCCAGTTATCCATAGAACGAGCAAAACATTGCAAATGACGGCGACGGTGAAAATCTTGAAAATCAGCACGTGTTACACGCGTCACTGTTCCTGCTACTTCTCTGAAATCGGCCCGTGTCGCTGGGAAGAAGTTACGCAACTCTTCGTCGTTCTCACTTTCAATCATGACCTGATCTTCGGTGTCACCTTCTACAGTTTTACGCACACTGCCACATCCTGATGACATAATATTATCTAGGTCGTCTTCATCTTCATCCTCTAATTCGTCGTCGTATTCTTCGTCTTCCAATTCTTCTTCGTCGTCTTCGTATTCTTCGTCTTTCAATTCTTCATCTTGTTCTTCATTGTTCTGCGTAAAACTATTGTCATTGCGTTCAAAAATATCATCAGGTACACGTGTCAAAGCACTCGCTAGAGACATACCATCCTGCACGTTAGGTGTCGTGTAGTTTGGTGAATTGTACGGTGCCACAGCGCCATCAGATACCTGACTGTTTTGTCGCGAGATCTTGCCAACAATGCCCCTAGCAAGTGCTGCCGAGGCCTCATACAATCTATGCATAGTGTCCAGTTCTAGGGGAGTGGGCGTAGTCCTTCCTGGAGCAAAGTGCTGGAAACAAGTATCATCGTCTTCAATATCAACCATGTATTCATCAGAAGATTGGACAATTTCGCCAAATACATGCAGAGGATTACCCCTATTGATACTAAGACTATTGATTCTTCGTTCAGCGGCTGATAGAATCTCATCAAGGTCCAATGAAGGCTGACTTTCAAGATCCAGAGTTTCTGTCCTGTCCTCTTGCATAGTTGGGATAATAGTACTAACACTTTGGACATCATTGTTGATCGATGAGATTGAACTGTTTTCTTTCTCTCCCACCAGATTCGCAGTATTAATCGATTCCGTGACATTTAAGTCACCACTCAAAACGAGTTTCGGTAAGGTGTTTTCCGGTGAATTCATTGTGGTCCTGAACATGGATAATCCTTTCTAACGTTGATTTGATTCCTTTATGGAGTCGGAAAATAAATATAACTTTGGGCTGTAAATATTTTTTTTTACTACAGCAATGCTCTCGGGGCACACCTTGTAGGCACTCAAAGCAGTAGACTAGAAAAATTGTCGCCAAATTTTTGTCCAGATGAACTTGTCACTTTTCAATTGCTGCAGCAAAGAGAATATTGAATGGATAAAATGCCAGGATCAATGATGAACCTGATTCAACCCATGCTGGACTCATTTGTGCTCATTGACTCGACACATGCCACCATATAATGGGCCAATGCACTAAATAATTGCGACATATTGATTCTATCAATTTGTTTTGCATTTAACTTTGCGCCAATACCATTATACGAACTGATGTGTAACACCCCCAGACACAATTCCCCTACTTATTTTCTCCTGCTGCTCAAACCCAATTTTTTTCAGCTCTAACTAAAAAGTGTGTAAGTGGAAGGTGAGTCTAACCCACATTCAACTATAGCCCCCGCGCTGACTCACGTGTTTAAAAATAGGAAGGCATTACATACATTTCTACGAGCGTATATCGCATAGTAGCAGGGCGTTTTGAGGTGTAAAGTGTTGGAAGTCGCAAAAAAATGGCGATCAATGCTTCGATAGATAAATCTGTCGTCGGTGACGATGAGATAGATAAACTTGAGAAGGAGGTTAGACGAAGGTTAGGTGTCGTAGGGGGCCTGCTCAAATTAAGGGACAAAGATTCCACGGAAACTTATAAGGAACATTTTGAAACGGCAAAACGAGAATTCGATCAAATAGCCCAATACATAGCAGAGGTACAAGAGAAGGTCGACAGGGAGCTATCTTTGATGCATCAGGTAAACGGAGTAGTTCGTGCCAATGGACTCCAACAAATAGTATTCAAAGAATTTGACCGACAAATTCAAACCTCGGAGACACTGCAAGCTATAAACGAACTCAAGAAGGCCTCGAAAGAAATTAAAAATAAAATACTGCAAAGAGCAAAGGAGGCTGCCAGGCAGGGCGATACATGTGTAAGCACCACCAAGAAACAAACTAGACGCAATCCGTCACCATTCACCGGGGAACACAATGACGAGCCTGCACACAATAATAAAAGGCCAAAAACTGCTATGGGAAGCTACTCAAAGGATCGTGACACATTCAACCGTTACATCCTATAAAACGAGATTGGCATAACAAAATGCCTAAAAATTTTTTGTGCTTAAACCCCGAAGCTTGGGATTAATCTTCCAGTTAATACATGTTTTTACATCAAAATGATCGTAACGAAATTTACAATAGATATATGTGATCAACTTAGAGACAGGTGATATGGTGACAGATATAACGTCACTAACCGACAAGATTCCATTGTATTTTATGAACAGATTACTGTATACAGCCTATTTGTGATTTCAACGCCAAATATAGGCAGTTCTCTGCCAGGTGACACACACATGTCGAGGCACCTAACAGGCTCAATAAAAGCCCACGGAACTTTTGTCTCGGTAATATTACCACATAACAACAGGTGGCATTATATGTCTAAGAGAAGATTATAAAACAAAGTGTCTCCTGTTATATGGACATAGTGGCCACTATAATCTGTCTCCTCAGTCAGGCTAAAGTGGCCCCTGGGGAACTGGGTAATTTGACACCTCCAAGCCCCAGGTTTGAGAAACACTTAACACAGCACACATAAAGAAAAACAACGAAACGCGATTCAACAAAAGCCCAAAAAAGCTACTCAATTTCAATTCCAAAAAAAACTGACTTCATCGCCTAGCGATAAAACTCCAAGATTCTACGACAACTGTAAGTTACGCGTCTACATCAAATTTTCAGCGTCCTACAACATAAACGGCGAAATACTCTTATCGATACATTTTTTACGTTGTTTGTGGATATATTACATATATCGTGAAGTATATATTATATTCGGTGGAAAACTACACGGTTTTGTTCAAAAAAATCATACACTCGCAGAAACCAAAAAAACAAGCAAAATGTCTGCACCAGCTATCGGTATCGACTTGGGTACCACCTACTCATGTGTAGGTGTATACAAGGACAACAATGTCGAGATCATACCTAATGACCAGGGTAACAGAACCACACCCTCTTACGTCGCTTTCACCGACACCGAACGTCTCATTGGTGATGCCGCCAAGAACCAAGAAGCAAGGAACCCAGAAAACACCGTTTTCGATGCCAAGAGACTTATTGGTAGAAGGTTTGACGACAACACGGTACAAGATGATATGAAACACTGGCCATTTAAGGTGGTCAACGGTATTGGAGGCAAACCTACCATCGAAGTAACCTTCCAAGGACAAAAGAAGAGCTTCCACCCAGAAGAAATTTCGTCAATGGTACTCATCAAAATGAAGGAAATTGCGGAACTGTACCTAGGAAAAACTGTTAAGGATGCCGTTATCACTGTACCAGCATACTTCAATGACTCACAGAGACAGGCTACCAAAGATGCAGGTACCATTGCAGGACTCAATGTTATGCGTATCATCAACGAACCAACCGCCGCCGCTATTGCCTACGGTCTCGACAAAAAGGGATCGGAAGAAAAGAACGTACTCATCTTCGATCTTGGTGGCGGTACCTTCGATGTATCAATTCTTACTATCGAGGATGGTATCTTCGAAGTAAAGGCTACAGCGGGAGACACACACCTAGGAGGTGAAGACTTCGACAACCTACTTGTAGAACACTGCGTAAGGGACTTCATGAGGATCAACAATGGAAAGAATCTCGCCAGCAACAAACGGGCCCTTCGCCGTCTTAGGACACACTGTGAAAGGGCAAAACGTGTACTCTCCAGCTCAACTCAGGCCACTATTGAACTTGACTCACTTTACGAGGGTATCGACTACAACACAACTATCAGCCGTGCCAGGTTCGAAGAAATGTGTGGTGAAAAATTCAGGAGCACACTCATTCCAGTTGAAAAAGCACTAGAATCAAGTGGATTGGACAAGAGGAAAATACACGAAGTTGTACTTGTAGGAGGTTCAACGCGTATCCCCAAGATCCAGTCACTCATCAAGGAGTTCTTCAACGGAAAGGAACCCAGCAGGTCAATCAACCCCGATGAAGCCGTTGCTTACGGTGCCGCCGTACAAGCAGCCATCCTTTCTGGTGACCAGTCTGGAAAGATTCAAGAGCTTTTGCTTCTCGATGTTGCACCACTCTCACTCGGTCTCGAAACTGCAGGTGGTGTCATGACCGTTCTTATCAAGAGGAACACTACCATCCCTACCAAGAAGACACAAATCTTCACCACCAACGAAAACAACCAGGAAGGTGTGTTCATCCAAGTGTTCGAAGGTGAACGTGCTATGACAAAGGACAACAACCTACTAGGAAAGTTCCACCTTACAGGTATTGCACCTGCTCCTAGAGGTGTACCTCAAATCGAAGTCACCTTCGATATCGACGCTAACGGTATCCTTAACGTCACAGCAATGGACAAGTCTACCGGAAGGTCGGAACATGTCACCATCACCAACGACAAGGGGCGCCTCAGCACTGCTGATATCGAACGTATGGTTGCCGAAGCAGAAAAGTTCAAGGAGGAAGATGAACAGAGACGTGCATGCGTTGAGGCCAAACACCAACTTGAAAACTACTGCTACAGCATGAGAAACACACTCAACGAAGATGCAGTCAAGGCGAAACTAGACTCTGGGGAAATCTCTGCCGCACTGACCGCTATCGATGAGGCCATCAAGTGGCTAGAAACCAACCAAACGGCAACCAAGGATGAATTTGAATACAAACTCAAGGAAGTCGAAAGAGTATGCCAGCCACTTACCACCAAAATGTACCAATCCGCCGGATCAGCAGGAATGCCAACCGGAGGACCAGGTGGTTTCGGAGGACCAACACCAGGGGCCGGAGCCTCAAGCGGACCTACCGTGGAGGAGGTCGACTAAATGGTCAAAAAACAAGCTAACAATGCTAGTCGTCGGTTAAACATTATTGTTTAATGTGATAACAACTATTTTTATAGCCTATAACCTCATCAACATGTTACTCGAGGTATATGCGCCGTACATCGTTGCGGTCGAATCCTACCTTGCACACGGGGCATTTGCGGTTGCGCGACTTGAAGAAACTAGATATGCACGGCTCGCAAAACACGTGGCCGCATTTAGTCAAACAACGGTCGCGAAAATGCTCCGAACATACAGTACAGGTCATGCGGCGCCGAAGCGCGTCGTTCTCACGCATAATACTATCCATTTCACCACCAGGTGAAACTGTCTGATCTGTAGAAGTTGTAGCAGTGCCGTGGCTCAAGAGGCCCTCCAGGTGGGTCACACGAGACTGCAGCTGCTCATGCTCACGCTGGCACTCACGTAAACGACACTGGGTTTCACATAAAGCAGAAGCGGCCATGTCACGCTTCTTCTCAAAGAATAACGCACGACTGTATGATGAAACCCAGTTACTCCTATAAGCCTCCAGACGACGAAGCATGTCATCCTTGTGCTGGTATGATGCAGCTACCTTACGGTCACAAAATGACATCGCACGGCTGACTTTATCCTCCATACCACGCAACTCGACCTCAAGAGTAGCACATTTCGCACGATAGGCAGATAGCTCCTGAACCCGCTGTTGCAATGACTCAGTTTGCTTCACTTTCTCCTCATAAGCACCGCTTATCTCCTCTAACTCAAAAGAAAGGTCCTGCAATTGGGCCTTGTAATCCTTAAGGGCAGGATCGGGTGAAGAGTTGCCTTCGCATGGAGAAAAGGTTTTTATCACCTCAGCCATCTTACGAAGACGCTCGCTAACAAGTTTATCCCGGGATTGCAACTCTGACAAAGCAACATCACGCTCGCCACGGACCGCTATGATCAATTCTTCTAGCGACTTTTGCATATCGCGATGTTGTGACAGCTGTTGCGCACATGAATCTAAACGACGCTCATATTCATCAATACGTTGTATAAATTCAGTCTGGATAGCTTCCAGTTGACGTAGGTCCTCATACAATTTTCGGTCACCATCTAAAGCTACCTCCTCAGCACGCTTACGTAAAGCCGCATTCTCACGCTCCAAACGTGAAATCGCATCGTCTTGAGATTGACAGAGCTTATATAAACGAGAATAGAGGGAGGAACCGATGATAAACTCGATAGTCACATCTTCAACACTACGAACAGAATTAGCAGGACTATTCTCTTCAGTAATTGTTCTTGAGCCTGTGCTAGTACCATCAAACGAATAGTAATCCTTAGATGAAGCACTGTAGACATTGGAGATATCCAAACTATTATTACTAAAAGATTGACGTAAAGATGCGTTCAGCTTTAATAATCTCGAAACCTCAATCTTTAGACCACCGCACTCTGCACGATACGTTTTTACACGGTCACTCAGCTCTTTCACAGTATCGCATAAACGAATAACTGCAAATTCCAGTATCTGACGCTTCCCTTGCTCACAGGATAATCGATCTGTATCTGTACCCTCCTTCTCTAGAGACTCACTATCTACAACAGCACGAACCGGCCTAGCAAGTGATTGCTGTATTCTCTGCACAAGTGCATCTTTCCTGCGATTAAATGCTTCAACATGGCTAACCAAAAAGGTTTGAGGATTATCTACAGTAACAAGATTCTTTGTAGCATGAAATTGAGACTGTGACTTACAGCTCAATGATGTTGCGATGGACTCACTATCAATAGTGACTTTAGGTGATTCAGAACCTGGATCCTTTAATAAAGTAATGGAATACGGTAGGCGCGTACGTAATATAAGCTTCAGGAACTCATCAGATACAACATCTCCAGGACCGTCACTTGACACAGGATGCGACTTAAATGTAGCATCCAAGTCATCGTTTAATACATCCCATATACCACCAATACTAACACATAGATGCCTCAATGTATCATTCTCACGCTCTAAATCATTTAAACGAGACCCCAAACGATGAACCTCTGTCCGGTACTCCCCAAGACATTCACGAAGCTTAAACAGACTCTCTGCAACATCTGCAGTGTCCTAACGAGAAATCAAAACGGAACAACAAAAAACTAACCTGAACTGGTAATTCAAGGCTCTCCGCCTCCGATCCTTTCTTATGTCTTTTCCTTGTCATAAGTCTACACACCCTCAATACAAAGGCGACAGACCTTTGACGCAAAACTCAAAGTAATCCATCGCAAACAGAGAATTACATATATATAACCATGAAATTAACATCTCAACAACACAAACTACAACAACTGTGGTGCTCATTGAGGGACCCGGTACAAGATAGGTAACCTATTATGCATAAAATAGCCACAAAAACCACACATTCCCCATTATAACAAATGTAGTCTTGTTAACAATATTCAGAAGACTAGTATAGCGGTTCTATACGGTTATGCAGCGTCCGGAGCATCTTGCGAGTAATGTAGAAACTTGGGTCTAACGTACCTCGCACGCTCCAACGATGACGTCCGTGACGAACTGTACCATGACTTACGTTAGTGTTGCTATTTATTCGCAATACACCACGATCGACGCTGCAAGAGTTAGGTATGCAAGATTCCAAATAATTCACTAATTCAGGCATACCAACATCACCAGTATATAAACTGTGGTCCAATGAATGACCGATGACGCTATCCGTGGGCGCAGCGTCACCAGACGACGACGCATTCGAATCAGCACTATCTAAGTCCATACCGTCACCAATATCACCGTCAACCTCGTTCAAATGACGTTCACCAGTAACAGATAATACGAAATCAGGTATGCGAGAAGGACGGTCTGACCAAAATGATAGACAACGTAACATACTCGCACTCTCTGATACACGTGTACCCTGATCCATCTCAAAACGAACTATAGCTTGATATGCACGACGAGGGTTATGAACACGCTTCCACCTATCAATGGAAGCAAGCACAGTCATTATGCGTTCTATTCGTGGGTGCTGACGCAAACTCTTCGGAGGCATTAGAGTAGGACCACGCGCCAAATCCAATAACTGCTGAGATGCACAATAGAACATCTTCGAACGGTTAACCAACTCCTGACGCAAATCCAATGGTATAGAAATACGAGGATGGACCTTACCAGGTCTATTACCTAACTTATGCAATTTGCAAAGCTCCTCAGAATATCTGTAAATTGTACCACAACCAGGGACAGAGTCACGAACACAACGCTCAATATCAACCAAATCACCGATATCATCAGTCCTTGGAAGCAAAACGATACTACTAGGACATATGTCACGTATAAACGATACTAGCTCACTTTGAGCGTGATGATGCTGCAAATAACGAGTCACATACAAACCACTCTTGATAACCAGAGGGATACGCTTGTGGAACAACCTAGATGTCTCCGAACTAGATTTCTCCTCACGAGAAGTTGCACTCTCATCCTCAAAGATAATAGGTGCAGGCTCATACTTCCCTAAATGATCAGTATAATACTCGTTCAAAGGGTTAAAACCAAAGGAAGTAGGAGGGATACGCATGGGAGGTATGGAAACATCTGGAGCTAACGCATTAGGTGACGGATCACCAAATACGGGGATGGCACCAGGTGACAGTAAGTTAGGATCAAGTTCAGCCGCAGACATAGAGGTGTAAGATAAACCATAATCCATATTGCCATCATTCGGACGACCACTACTCTCTACATCATCACGAATTATAGGTGCAGGTAGGTACGTACCTAAACCGTTATGCACCGTAAAGTAATGGCTGTCCTTGAAAAGAAAGTCAGTCCTCACCTCCTCATCCAATGGAGCCGCCGATTCATCACCACCAGAGGCCTCAGGCTCATTAGAAACGAATTCAACATCATCTGGAGATTCCATCTCAGTATCACCAGAACCCTCGGGAGATACCAAGTTAAGACGTAAATTAAACTCGTGATCCAAACCACGCTCCGTATTACGCCAAGTGAATTCCTGATATCGTTGCAAAAGGTTACGGACCTCAGCAGTCTCATTAGTAAAAATCACAGTATTACGGTTAGAACAACCTAAAGCTGCAAACAAATAACTTGAGACGCCAAAATTTGTGGAACTCGATGTTGAAATATAAACACATGGCATGTTAGTATACTTACGAAGCTCATCCATACTAGATATTGGATGGATGAAATCCATATTGAACACAGGGTTCCACAACGTACGTAAAAAACTGTGACACAGACTCGAACGCAAATATTCTATGCAGGTTGCAAAAAGAAGCACCAATTGAGCTGCAATAGGTGATACCAAAACTATAGGGTATTGCGACAAATTCGAATTAGCCCACACAGAATTCAAATGGAGCAATAAATCTAGCAAATGAGAACTCACGTCCACAGGGATCAATACCGAACCTTGTGAACAAAGGGTAGCACCAATTGCTGATAATATAGAATCCATGCTATTACATTCCAATGGCAGCAGCTTCTTGGATTTGTCCCACAGAGGAGGCTGATCGTGGGTTATGAACACATCAGGACGCCTAAGCGAATTTACATCACAACAATCCAAGTACCATGCAGCCTGGGCACGATATGTTGGCCCGCATACAACAGTACGAGCACCAATCTCCAATTTCCAAACAGCACCGCCAATCGATACACCATTATTCAATGGTGTAAGTGAAATTTGAGCTCTCCAGCCTTCACCCAATTTGGTGTATCGATAACTCTCGTGATAACGCAATTTGCTACAACCATCGTAAAAATACTCTAAATCTGCAAGAGTATACTCGTAAAACTTGTAAGAAAAAGCCGCATTCTCCAAAACGTCCACTAGACATGCTCGCGCAAACTTGTAGCAACCCTCAGTGCAAAGGATACGCGGTACCTCATCGTTACCTCGCTGGTCACGTAACCACGCAAAAATCACAGGCAAAGCGCCAACATGCTGAAAATCACCATCAGTTAGGATGATAACATCAACATTGTTAGCGTGTGCTTTCAAAAGCTCGATAGACTCTTGCTCAAACTCTAGTGACCAACCGCAGTTAATCAATATGTTCAATTCACCAAAATCATCATCGGAAGAACTATCGATCATCACTAGACCACCTTTATTATTTTTCTGATCCGCAGCATTAGATGACCTGCGGCATGAACGTAAACTGGACCTAATACTAGCTCCAATTGAAGGAGGTTCAAAATCCTCAATTTTAAGACCTCGACCGCCGCGCCTTGAACCTGAATAATTTATCAGTTTAAACGTCAATAAATGTACAACCACGTATTACCTTCAATCAAACGACAAACACAATCATGGACATAATAGAGCAGATACATTGACGCCTATCCCTAACCGTTTACTGTACACATTAAAGATAGAAGGCGTAGACATATATATTAGAACCCATAACAACCTATAGATAGTAAACATAGAGTCGTGACGTCAGGTGACTATAAGAAAACGCCAGACATACCTTCATTTTCTAATATGCTAAACGGGATACGGAGTGTTAGCTTCGTAGCAAGCAGTGAACCGCATATAAGCGGTTCAACCAAAAGTGACGCCATTTTATAGATACCATTACTGAAAATGACTTAGCTAACTATCCTGTTGGGCTATCGCGTGGTAGACTCGCGCGCAACATCTATGGTATATGCCACAACATACAACAAATGAAACATCAGTTTACTAGACACATTATCGCGAAGTTCACCGTGAATTCGTGAAATAATAACACTGTCCCGCTTATAGACACAAACAATGTCACGACCGTGAAAACATGATTAGGCACAAATATTAAACCTTAAAGAAGGGGCAATTGCCCGAGTTTATATTAGGAATTACCCTAATTCAAATTTAATTGCTACCAGCTACGTGACTTGATGGGCGTAGCGGACAGCGGGGGTTGGTGATAGTACCCATGTTCAGCAAAATTTTCAGCTGGTCCATGAAAAAATCAGTCTGTTGACGTTGTACCGGGGTAACCAGTCTAGCGGTAGTTTCGAATTTTGAAACTTCGCACGGGACACTCACCGGTAAAAATTTCTGAGGTAACATGTCACCGCCGAAGAACATAGTCTCAAAACGTTGGTCAATAGATGCTAAACGCAGTAACAAATGACCACGCTTACAATCTGCCAATAATAAACGTATCAATTCCTTAGTCTTATCATTCTTGTGAATCACCTGGTTTACACTTACCAAGTAACTCACCTCATTTAAACCGGAATCCACATGAGTAACCACGTGAAGACGGTTGCTAAACAACAAGTAAGACTTAAACACATCGAACATCAAGCTATCGCCCATTTTTAGCGTATAATCGCTCCCAGATATACGAACTGATTTTACATTCTTCAACGTAATCAGACTGCGATTGTCACCCATATACGGATCATCACCCTCACAAACGGCATCAGAATGAAAACCAATATGACCATCACTTTTATCCAATGGTCGAAAAATACGACCCATAGGATCTTCTAACAGCTCTTTAAAGTTGTCATCGTCACCTTGCCAGACACGTTCATCCAGACAAGTGTTGGATGGCTCATTCCATTTATCGGACGTTGGCATATAAGAAACCGATACCGAGGAATATAATGAAGCAGAAAATGGTGTTGGGTTCATCACGTGATGTGACAGGTAAAGTGTACCTTCCAACGTTATACTCTGATCACTCTTACCCTCTATCACAAACAACTTGTGCTGAGATTGACTATCAGTCCTGCTACTCTCCCATAACTTGTTACCAGAAAAACCAGTAGGTGATGCCATGAAAAATCCAGCAATACAACCGATAAAAAAAACAAACACCGCTATCAAAATGAAATGTGTAGAAGCCTGAAACGTGTCAACAAGCCATGCTGAAACTAATTATAAACACAAAAGTAACACACATACCTGGAAAAGCAAATGAATTGCGATGTTTCATGTTGGAAGTACTACTTGACAATGTAGACTCAAGCTCAGGTAAGTCAAAGGCGATCTCTTGAAGCAAAAAAAGATCCTCGTAAGCCTCACCAACACTCATGTTGCTATCGATGGTACTCCTCTGAGACATCGATGCAGCATCAGACGATCCGTTACGGTAAACATTATCCGAATCACCAGCATTCTCGTAATCGTACGAGCGCTGTAAATGAAGAGGCGTTGCCTTCATCGTAACACCGGACGACACAACACAGCCGTGCCCGCCCGGGGTGGAACAATGTGTGATACCTCACACACTAATATATCAAGTTAACAGGACGGGGGACCATAATCCACCGTCAGGACCAAGCAAAGATCCTAGTAACAAACACGCATTCAAGGTACACACCGCCCAACAGATTAAATATTATCCACAATCACATGTAGTGTGTAGGATCATACGTCGCAAACATACAATATGTTCGTACTCGAGAGGATAATATCACTCCTTATATTGGTAAACGAAAATACAGGGAACCGTACCTGGTGGGATCTTTATTTCGACGAGGACGCGTCGCAAAATAAAACTTCAGAGAAAAAAGAAAAAAAGAAGAAACGGGAAAACAAGGAAAAATAAGGAAAAAGAACAAATTGGACCTTGTATATCGCAGCTGTCTCGCAAACAACCAAAACAATTCGTTATTACCTATCGCAAACTTGTTACCCCTTACCCTAAGCTTTTCAATAGCAATATGCCACAAAACAAATCAATTAATAACCTAAAACCCTGTAATAATATCTATCTAGATATAATTACCTTACTATGTATCTAGGGTAACGTAACACGAGCCGATAGCCGTCTACGATAGCTTCTAAACAACCTTTAAACACAACACACAATTCTTAACCAAATTATAAACGCATAATCTCGCTTAATTCAGTACAATAAAAATATTTAAGAGTTTATGTATACTGATTGTTATTACATATGGAATCACTCATTTAAACAAATGCACCTGAATCAACGGTGTAACGCTCTACGTGTATCAAGACGAATCAAAGGATCACGAACTGCATTTATAAGTTGATCAGTGAATATAGGCAGGATGTCTACCTTGCACTCCCTCGAGATACAAGGGATACGATGCTTCTCCCCGAATAATACACAAAAAATACAATTTGAAAAACCACTAACACTAATCGTAGGACCAAATGGAGCTGGGAAGACGGTACGTTACTATACATGTAGAATGTGATCACACTTGATCCTGTGTTTCTGCCTTCCTCGCAGTATAACCTAGTGGCAACAACATGTTATAAAACGCCCGCTAAATAATTCATGTAACCTGCAGACCATCGTAGAATGTCTCAAAATGGGACTTAGTGGCATACTGCCGCCAAACTCCGATCGGGGCAAGTCATTCGTCCATGATTGCAAACTCTCCCAAGAACGAGAAGTTAGGGCACAGATAACATTAGCAGTAGAAACATATAAAAAGGAAATGGTAAGGTTAAAACTAAACATCTATCATGCTATCTATAGGTATATGCCACCAGAAAGTATAGCATCACTCGTGACAAAAATATACCTAATAAAGCCACATTCAAGGTATGAACACAAAAATAACACAGTAACGAAAGTCAACGTAATCAGGCTGGAGAAACCATTATGACAGTAAAACCGCCCGTTGGAGAGCAACGAACTGTTAGCATGAAATGTTCAGATATGGATTCTTCAATGCCAGCAATGATGGGATTGTCTAAGGCAATCATAGATAGCGGTATGTAAGGAAAGCCGTTATGCACACATTTATTCAGTTATATTGTGTCATCAAGATGAAAGCAACTGGGCACTGGATGATATTGCCAAAGTTAAAGCAAAGTTCGACGATCTATTGGAAACATCAAGGTATACAAAAGCATTATCAGCACTCAACAAGGCAAAGAGGGAACAGGATGAAGCGGTAAAACGTGAAACAGCAAAGCTACAGCTAGCAAAAGCTCAAGTTGTACAGGTAACCCTGGAGAAGCAATATACACAATCTCACGCAGGTGGCCGATCTCAAGAAACAACTTAGTACAAATCATGACGCTATATCAAAAGCAAAAGCAAACATCGCGTAAGTTGATGAGGCACTACAATTGCATAAATACAATATAGAGAATTAGAAACTGAACTCATCAAACTTAACGAAACGTCAAAAGCACTACGTGAGGAACAGGAAGCCACCTTAACAACGTTCAAAGAAATCAGACGTACTAATGAAATCATTGAAAGGTAAGACTAACTATAATCTAGCTATAACATCTAGACTCACGAAGGAGATAAACGCAATGCATCAAAATATGCCCGAAATATACAATGATGGACTAGAAGATATGCACCATTATCGAGAACAACTGACTAAAGAACTGGAGGTAACGACATTTAAAAAAATTGCATAAAACATCTTCAGATATCCGATGAAGCTTATAATAAGGCGGTACAAAATGTAGAAACACTAATGGACCGCATGAATGAAATTCACCAGAAGCTCAATATCACAAATGCCCAGGTTAATTTACACTACCAAGAATACATTTTGCGCAGATGTCTAATTGCATGTTGATTGCAGAAACTATCAAAGCAACAACGGAAGCCCTGGAGTCGGCAAAAATGGATATCATGAGAGAAATGAAACTACAGGATGACTCCCAATTCAATGAAGATACTGTACTCATATATGTCGAACAATTGGAAAATGTACAAAACGATAATCCGAACAATGAATTGCTCAACGCACACAAAGATGAAATGGCGGCCTTGGAGAATAACATTTTGGAACTTACGACAAAAGAAGGTGCTCAAGATGTTCTAACAGAAGCCATAGAGACCGAAAAACAGGATATAAAACAACGAATGAGATCGCTTGAAATCATGCAAGCAACTCGAAAACAGAAAGATGTGGCTAAACAAAGGGCAATAGAAGAACTATCACAAGGTCAGCAGCGATTGCAATCATTGCTTAAGGAAAGAGAACGGTTATCGATTCTTGTGAAGAAACAAAAAAATTCTATCAACGTAGTAGATGTAGCTGATACACAGGAGTTGCAATGTGCTATCAAATTCCTGGAAGCAGTCATCAACAACGATATACATCAGATTGTGCAATATGTCAAGCAGGTTATAGGCACCGATGTCGATGAATATAATCTGGGAACGAAACTCAGAGAGTTTTTCGCTACATACATGAATAAAGAGGCGGCACTTGATGGCTACCTAATAGCAAACAATATGAGAAATGAAGAACAATTTCAGCAGGACTGCGTCACAGCAATAGTGCAGATGATAAATCACGCACAAGGTAGGATACACAAATATTTGATGATCCTATCTTGCAGATTGGAAGATGGAACATCATGATGACCTCCGGCAACATAATTCGAACATTGAACCATACAATCCGTTGCTAAAACTTGTTACAACAATACGCATATCAGAGTATATAGCGTACTATAAGACGTTGCTCAAACCATATATGCCGAAGGATTTGGATTCACATGTTTCCTGTGACGAAATTAAAGAACAGCTGGATTCAGTAGATACTGAAATCATAAGCATTGAATCCAGAATAACACACTGCAAGGCGCTTGTGTCACAATTCGATACAGAAATAATGCAGATCGACTTTAACATTCAGAAAAATGGTGACCTGGATGCTAAATACGCGGACATGGTCTCAAAAGGAAAAAAATCGGAAGAGGAAATACAGTCAATACGCAATGCACTGGAACAGTATAAATTGCAGCTCAAATTAAAGCGAGAAGAATATGAAAATTTGAGCGCCCAAGTATCTGCAATCAATAAAGCTAACGTCATAAAGGCAGCAAAACTCACATCGTAAGTAGGGTATTACATCACTATAACACGACCTACAGGCTGGTTGAACGATATCGTTTAAATAAAGAGAAACTGGAAAAGGCGAAACACGAGCTGGAAACTTCAACAACAAGGGATAACGACACTACGGACCTGCAGATGGAGTTAAAAACTCTAAACGAAACCATCAATGCTAGCCGCGTGGAACAGAGGGGCCTTCTGCAAAACCTAAACAGCCAACGTACTCTACTAGACAGCCTTGAGAAAAACATCACTTTAAAGATGGCACAGCAGGAACTTCAGGAAGCAAGGATACTACTAAACACTTTGCAAGAAAAAGTGGGTTCACGAACAGACGAAGACGTCGCGGCAAGGATCAGAAAAACAAATGAAAACTGTGGGCGTTTAAGCGTAGAAATCGCTACTTTAAGGGGATCTGTGATCACCCGTGAAGAAAATATCGCAAAACTACAACAACTTATCCACTCTGGCAGCTACAAAAATGTTCATCGGAATTATTCAGATATACTGCTAGCGCTTAAATCACACAATTTGGCCAGAGAGGTGAGATAACACTGTTGTTTGCTATAATATTCACAGGACCTTGAGATTTACACAAAAAAGCTCGAAATAAATCTACACAAATTCCACTCGGAGAAGGTAAAAGCAATATATATCTCAAATGAAAAAATGTAGATCGCTCAAATAAATACCGTTTTGAAACGTGTATGGAGGGAGGTGTATACGGGGAACAATGTAGACTACATAGAGATTCAATCAAATGTTGATGGAGTTGTCCCAAGCACGGGGCTAGCACCCAAGTCATACAATTACAGGTACGTTTAAATTCACACTCGCGTCACTTTGTTCAGGATGGTTATGGTCACGCATAACGGTGTGGAGATGGATATGCGCGGTCGCTGTTCGGCCGGAGAACGTGTTCTAGCGTCCCTAATACTGCGTATAACTCTCTCGGAATCGTTTTGTTCGAACTGCAACATCCTAGCTCTGGATGAACCAACTACAAACCTTGACAGGGACAACATAGCGGTAAGTTGCTAAGTCCACTGGTCTATTGTGTTGCAGAGCCTGGAGGCTTCACTAGCTAAGTTGGTAAACGACTGTTCTATCGATTTCCAACTTGTGATAATCACGCACGACGAACCCTTTGCAAGGAAAATGGCTCTGAAATGCAGCTGTGAGAAATATTACAAGATAACGAAGAATGCCAAAAATGAATCAGTCATCAGCGCCGTGCCTTTCAGCTCCGGGTCACTGACGTGATCAATGATGTTTTGTAGAGAAAACTGCTATTTAACATATATTTACAAATATTTCATTGGTATGTTATGTGTTTCGCAATGGCCCATCAACAAGGTGATGCTAACCGATATGGTGAATGAAGTTGTGAGCCATTCTATGGTCAATCGATTTGATGGTTTTCATGCATTTTAACATTATTTTCCCACCTTTCATTCGAGCTATATGAACTTATAAGCATATTGTAAGCTTAATTGGTTATGTAGTTTGTCAAGTAAGAGCAAAAGAGGTATGTATTTTAACGTAGGTGACGTATGGTACAGGCGAGGGAACTGGGATGCAAAGTGGTTACAAAAGCCTGAGATCTACGTGAGCTTATAGTTTAATAAGGCATCCCCTATTACATTAAAAGTGTTCGTATTAACGCGTCTCATACATTTTAGTCCGCTAAGAGGATACCAATTTGTCAAATCATACCGCACATCTTGGGAAATCGCGAAGTGCATAGTCCAATGTGTACATCTCGGCCATGCTCCTATAACCTATCAGATCTCCTGATCGGAAAAGGTTACCAGCGTCGCAGTTGAGTGGGCTATCCGCATTCGGATCGTCTAATATATAAGTAATGCCTTTACACAAATATTGTAAAGTCCACGCTGGGCTCCAGTTAGACTTTAGAATATCCATACATAATTCTCCTGAATATAGGTATTATGTTGTAATTAACTTTCAAGAAGATGCAAAATTGATACTACAGTTAACATAAATTCTGATAAAAATATCAAATGCAAGACCATCGTAACATTAGTTTGCAGCAGTTGCACTCGATCATCGTGAATGTTAAACGTACCAGTTTCGAAGTTTACGTTTGGATGGAAACATTTTGTTAAAAATTTAACTATCGGTGGGTGGATAGGATATGAAGCTGGGCATACGATACTTAGCTTAAATATCCCTTTCTGCATACACTAAGAATGCATAAACAAAGCTCATACCTCATACGGGCTTTTAGCAGGTCCCCTGATATATGCGTACCAGTTATGTATATTAGATCCCACTAGCTCCAAACGCATATTAGGATCATTCATACGAGTAGCCTCCTTCAGCTCCTTCTGGAGCCTGTTTCGCGCCAAAGCCATTCTCCTGCAAACTGCTGCGCAGCATTCGCCTCTATCACAGAGCGCAACCTTAGTTGCCCATGTTAGAGCGGCGTAGATTGTACAATGCGGAAGAAGATGAACGGATAGTGTGCCGAACCTTTTTAAGGCGCGCCACTGAGAAAATATAATTTACAAATAATATACACACTCAAAAAAACAAAAAATTAAAAACCTATATATATCATATTAAATTACCTATGCGATGTACCTTCGCGTTGTACCGGTTGATTGCCCCCTTGATGTTACTCTTGGACTTCTGCAAATAATATCATCACTGTTTTTTGTGTCAACGGAGTCCAATGAATCATGTGTACTTTTATTTGTGATGCTAAATATGCAGGTCTTTTCTGATTCACGTGTATAAAACCCACCTCGAATTTTCGCTTGATTTCCCGAGATTTTCGAAGCACATCTTGATGGTACTGCTGACTCGGCAGAACACGTTTAATCATCTTTAAAAACACTAAGAATATAGAGCACAATGTGACTTACAAGTTTAAGGGCAGTCAGATGTGTTTTCTGCTGCGTGTTAACGAATTCCTTTACGTAGTCTTTCCTAAAAAAACTGACGAGCAATAGTATTAAAACTCACATATTTACTGCAATTAGGAACTATATATAATAAAGTTTGTCGAAATAAGTTTCTCGGATAGTGGTTGTTTGCTGATGTGTCTGTTAAGAACAATACATATAAATATTCCTCGCACACCGCTGTGAAGAGTAATGCTGCTGCAGCAAGAATGCAAAGTGACACCCTATTACTGCCCACTATTGTCTCAATAGTGTATCGCCATAGGTGTCAAACTGTTATAAGTTACAAGCGACGCGTGCTGTGGTATGATCCATTGAGAGGATCGATGAGGTGAAAACCGCTATATCCCTTTCGTCCGATGATTTAATCATTAACACACCAACATATAAACATTAGAAGCAACGATACACGTAGAGTAAGGTAGGGCGAAGCAATGTTGCCCCGGTTTAATAGCCAGCACGATGTGCCTCGAGAGCGGTACTCCTGCTGACACAGACGTGAGCCTAAAAGTCACTCCTTAAAGGAAATAGCTTAAGGGTTAATTTCCGGCTCAGTGTGTGCGAGCTGAGGTTACGGTATCCGCTGAGGAAACCGACTGCTCTGCTATGGCCACGCCAACAACCCCCTAATAAAGGCCACGAAACAAACCCGCGAGCACACCCATCATGACTGCGGTATATAACCCTGTCTTTAAAATCACTGGTCAGGCACGGAAGCTCCCGAAACACCAAAGGGACTTCGGAACGACGGACCAGGTCCCTTGAGGTAACGCGTCGAACACGCAGAGCATAAAGGCAGAAATACACCTGCTCATTAGACGATGCGTCCACTTTATAGTTAAAAGACAGGTGATAACAAGAAGAGGTGTGTCGCCATGCTGATAAAGTGTAAGACCAAAAGCTCAAGGGTGAAGGGTATCACCTTCCACCCGAGCCTGCATTTCCTCTTGGCATCGATGCACTCCGGAGAGATACAACTATGGAACTACATGAACTCTACATTAGTCGACGTATTCTCCTACCATGAAGGACCAGTTAGGGGTATTGATTTCCATTTATTGCAGCCGCTTTTCGTCAGCGGTGGTGACGATACCAATGTCGTTGTCTGGGATTTTAAACAGAAAAAGATGCTTTTTGCACTATCTGGACATACTGACTATGTACGCACGGTCCAGTTCCACCCAAACTACCCCTGGATTCTCTCAGCATCAGATGACCAAACCATTAGGATATGGAACTGGCAAGGAAGAAGCTGTATCAGTGTATTACAAGGGCACACGCACTATGTAATGTGTGCTAGGTTCCACCCAAAACAGGATCTGTTGGTATCCGCCAGTCTTGATCAGACGGCCAGAATATGGGACGTAACTGTGCTTCGAGAGAAAAATTGCGCCATACAGATGTTAGGTACTCATTCATGTCCAAACGTAGTCTCCGATGTCCAAATGTTCAGTGTTAACTCTCTATTGAATAAGGGATTCGATTACACAAGGAGTAACGACAGGCTATCCTTCACTGATGTAACTTGCTTGTACAATCTCTGTGGGCATGAAAAAGGTGTTAACTGGGCAATATTCCATGATACCATGCCGTGCGTCATCACAGCGGGCGATGACAAGACAGTCAGAATATGGAGGTACAATGGCCCAAACATATGGCAGACCAATATACTTAGGGGGCACTACAACAACGTCTGTTCTCTTATAATGCATCCGAACGGTATCAGCTACCTTCTTTCGGTCTCGGAAGACCGATCCATTAAGGTTTGGGACACTAAGAAATGGACACTGGCACACACATTTGTATTGGAAAAGGATAGATTTTGGGTGGTGCAAAATGCAAAGGATTCAAACTATATCGCCGCAGGACATGATACAGGGTTTATTGTCTTCAAGCTATTTAAAGAAAGACCTATTGTCACAATTGTAGGAAACACACTCTATTATGTCTGGAATGATGTTATATATTCCAGTAATTTGGACAGAGAAGTTGATTTGACAGAAGAAGAATCTCGGAAAGGGATTGTTACAGCAAATCATGGTGAATCTATGAGATGTAGCGCTGTACCTAGCCCAGCTGAAGAAACCAATTGCGGCCAAACTCTGCAAGATTTGTTTGGGTTCCACAGGAACATGCGAGAACACTCACTTGAAGATCATGAAAGTACCCAAATTATAGACGATCTCGTATTTCCAACGCCAGCAGGAGAGTTCTGCAGAAAGAATCGCACTAAAATACTGACCCTAAGTGCTCTGAGTGATCGCGATACTGTAATGCAACGATTCATGGCCGCGTTACTGACTCGTACGCAGTTGCCTAGTAATATCGGAACTTCTGGCGGTCTGATGTTCCCATTCGCCATGTCATACAACCATTACTGCCCGGACAAGAGCCTATTCCTAGTGAACTACACTTTCAAGGGGAGATATTTCTACGAGGTCTTGATGCGTGGACATTCTTCCACTGCTGGTGCGGGACACAGAGACACGTGCCATATTGGAGCAGGAATATCGGCATGTTTTGCTTCACGGGAGTGGTTAGTAGCCGTGGATCCATCTAATGATGTTGTTACACACAACCTGGAAGATGGAACAACAGTGGACTTGAATATCTACATAAAGGTAGACAAGGTGTATTCGATATGCTCAGGTATTGTCGTCATGTGGTCGAGTGAGAAGAACGTAATGATTATATATGATATTGAGAACAAGAAACAACTTCGCTTGGCAAGTGTGCCCACTGGGAAACTTTCCAATGTTCTAGTGTCACAGTCTAAGAAGCTCATTGCTGCCGTGTTCCGCAACAACGTGACCATTTACGACAGAGAGTTGGGCAAACTCGCTTCAGAGGACGTCCGTGGTAGGATTAAAACTGCTGCATGGTATGACAACTCTGCTATTATCTACGCGACGAGTGACCACCTATATTACCTCATGGTAAATGGTGACTCTGGGATTTTGCGCAGCATATCAAAACCCATCTACATCATTCGTGTTAAAAAGAATGCGTTATATATAATGCAGCGGGATCACAAGTGCTACAAGATGGATATGGTATCGTATGAGTTCATGTTCAAGTTAGCTCTTTATTACAATCATCTAGAGTCGGCAACAAAGCTTATAGAAGCGGGAAAGATACATGGAAATGCAATGGTCGCATATCTTATAGAGAAAAACCGCCCCTCTTTGGCCAGGATGATAATCACAGACCCACGTATGAGGCTGGAGTTAGCCCTTCGATATGGCAATATCAATGAAGCATTGGAAGACGCGCAGGTAATCGACGAAGTGGATTCTTGGAAGAGTCTTGGGGATGCAGCATTGGAGCAAGGTAACTGTGTTATAGCAGAGGTCGCGTTTCAGAAGGCTAAGCTTTTCGACAAGCTCAGTATGTTGTATTTGATTACGGGAAATACACTAAAATTGAAGAAGATGTTGAACATATGCAAATTCAGAAACGACGTTACCTCTACCATACAACATGCACTATATTTGGGCGACATGGGTGAGCTCGCGTACATATTGAAGGAAAACAAGCAGGCAAAGTTGGCAGAAATGTGTGAAACCACTTACGGGATAAATGGGGAGTCAGGAACTGGGGCAAAACAGGCAGATACCCATTATATGGTACCACCACAACCAATTAACAGATTTGTTGGAGAACATCTGAACTGGCCTATTGTACCAACTGAACCCATTGTTCGTGAGGCTAGGTTTTACGATGACTGTGACCCATCGGAGGCCGATCCTGATACTTCCACCCATGGAGATGCACATATCGCGAGGAAAACACAGGTCAATGTCGACATTTGGGGATCGATCGACGAATTTGACAATGTTGATAATGTGGCCACTGAAAGCGCTGGTGGTGAGTCTTCCGACAACACTGCAGCGTTTGGTAGATCACCACTCGACCTAGTGACCAAAGGTATGTTCAACTGTCTAATGTTACATATTGTGTAGGTGAACCAGACCGCGCGCTGGATCTCCTGGAACGTTCTTTTGGTTTATGCAACAGAGCCTTGTTGGCCGACGTTGTGGCACAGGCTCAACAATCACAATCGTATGATCAATTAGGATCTCCATCCAATGCATCCCAGCATAGAATGCCTGTTGGCGTCAACCCAGTTCTCAACGACGAGTATGTTGGTGAGATAATGAACAGGGGGTATGCGCATGTTACAGCGGGTTCGTTCGAAAACGCCACCACCGAATTCAGGCTTGCACTTCGGCATTGGATTTTCCTCGTGAGCGAGGCTTCACAAGAGTATATAGAACAGTGCCGTATATACATCACCGCCATGATACTGGAAGCGGAGCGTGAAAAACTGGCGGATATCGATATACGACGGTCACTTGAACTTGCTGCCTACTTCTCATGCTGCAACATGTTACCCCAACATCAGTACCTGGTAATGCGACGTACTATGGGTATAATGTGGAAAGCTCAAAACTATACGACAGCGGCTAAATTGATCAAGCGTCTTTTGGCGCAGGATGTATCTAATATAGAAGGTGCTGAGGAGGAGATGGAAAAGGCTAAACGGATATATGCACTTTGTGAAAAGAAAGCGATTGAAATGCATTCTTTGGATTATGATGATTCTGATGAACGTGATTTGTCTATTTGTACGGTAAGTCTGGTGAAAACCAAGGGACGTCCTACAGTGCACTGCGGGTTCTGTGGTGCATTGGCATTGGAAAAATTCGTTACTCAAACTTGCAACATATGTCAGCTCTGCAAACTCACAAGGTGAACTGTTTACTAATATGTATGGTTATGTTTTTTGTTAACGTTTTTGGACATTTTTGGCAACCAAGGTTTTTCTCACCAACGATTGGATGGGTCGTATATCGTCATTCTCCATTATTTGCTACACCATTAAAAGTATATGTGAGGATGAATGATACGATGTTGTTCGGTAGGTTTCATAAAACCTAATCACTTTTCAGCGATGGACATCTCAACTATTTGGACTTCTTTCAAATCGTATTTCGTCAGCTAAAAAAGAGATTGGTTTAAAATGCTGCGGTATCTTCAAGAACCGGAACTTCAGTTGCTTTCAGGTCGTGCCATTCGTGGTTATCGCATATTTTCGAAGAAACGGATTTTTAGGCGGGATGGCATGTATGGTCACCACAACAAAGTGACCTTACTATCGACATTAAGTATGTTTATTATTATTTCTTTTACATAAGTATGCAGCTGCCACGAATCGTGAACCGTCATTCGAATTCCATGTGAATACATGTGAAGAACAATTATCCGCCCGTTATATTAAGCCAACTGTCTATTTCAGGTTTTAATAACGGTTTATTGCAGGTAACTTTATATTTTTAATGAAATAAAAGCGACAACTGGGTCTACATTCAACTAAGGGGTATGTTAGGATGTTATCGTATTAGTGTAACCTTGCGTAGGGAATGGACCCATGAAGACTCCACAACACAGAATGGGATGAAGCTACGATTACTGAACTGGACGTTTATTCGAGACATCACGAAGTGTCAATATGCGTATTGTAACACATTTGGAGCTGCAAATTGACGCTCTTGCTGACTAACTGGAACCATGCGTAGAACCTTCGATTCGAAGATGAATTTCGAATTGATGAGTGTTACGAAGGGCTTGTAGTGATGAAGCATGTCTTGAAGTAATATATCTCTAGAGCCATGAGAGTCCTCATGATAGGGAGGGAATGCCTGCCCGGGACTCACAGCCAGAAGTTCCGACTTCACCTCTACTATACCGTCACTGTAGAAGAGTGAATAGAATCGTCATCTGTGGGGAATTAAGACAACATCTTTCTGCAACGAGCGAATGGGGCGCCCTTGGAAGGATTTGGAACTACCTGGCAAGGGGCAAGGCAACGTAGGATCAGGGAGGTGGTTCAATTTTCAATGGCAAATCCACGGTCGCCTTGATAGGCATTGTGTATTAGCAGAAGGGCTGTATAATCGCCAGTATTGACGTTTTAATTAGTATTATTTCTATTATCGTTATATTTTGTTGGTGCAGTGAGCTCCATTGACATATTAAAGATCGCCACCAAATCCCTTCCAACAGCTACAATTTCATCAATATCAGTGTATCTGGCAATAAAATCGACAATTTTTTGTTATAAGAAAATGAAAAGAGACAGCGAAGTTAGAGAACACATTTTGAGGACACCCCTTAGCCACCTTTGCATGTTACTACTCGCTTCGTTGATGAAAACGGTTAAAGCAGAGGCGGCCGCGAATCCAGAAAGTGTCACTCTAGGTCAGAAGATTGTTAAACTATTTAATCATGACATCACCTTCCTTGCGCTTGGGGTACTGGCATTGGTATGTTTCCTGACGGCGTTCATTGTAAACACTTGGGGACAAGACAACAATACCTTCATCGCACTCACATCAATAGGTTGCCTGCTGATTTCTGGGTTGCTCGTCCAGGCCTACAGAATTGGTTACCTTCAAAGCCCCTTTACAGGGTGGCATATAGCGTTCATAGTGTTCAACGCGTTGATTTTGTTCACAGTCCTCGGTGTGATGATGAACACCGGTAACCTAACTGCTAGCAGTATGAGTGATGCACTTAAATTCTTTGCAGTTATTGTTATGTCCATGCTCTTCCTCGTGGCATCCTTGATCTGTGGGTACTGGGTATCTCTTTACAATAGGCCCTTCTGTACTTGTCAGATAATATGTATTGTTTTCGCCATCTTAACGTTGTTATCCACGTTAGGCATGATTGGAGTCTTAATCCTAATTTATCATAAATATGGCTCTAGTAGCTCTTCGCGTGTTGGTGATGGAGAATATGAAGTCGGCGCACTTCAAAGACTAATGAAGCTTGCATACCCACTCATCACCGGGTTCATATTGTCTTCATATTACCTTACCCTGCTGGACTTGCCATACAGTAGATGCGAGATCATATGTCTGTTGCTCATTTCCACGATTTATTCATTTTTAATAGGCGGACTTTTTATTGTACATACAGCGAATGGGTGGTCGTCCTATTTAGTCATACCCATAGATTTAATCCTTACCAGCCTGCTGCTCTGGTTACTGCACCACTATCAACCTTTCTCGAAGTATTATACACCGTATGAGATAGCTTTTGTAGTTATAGGTATAATGATATTCATCTGTGCTCTTGTTGTTATCAAAATAGATAACATTCAGGTTGAGTCATATGAAGTAGAAGTCCCTGTTTATTTCTTGGTTGCATATGCGTTTTGCCTAGTTGTACCGTTTGCCTACTACGCATACCGCCTGGGTCTTCTAGATTCCATTATGGCATTATTGAAACGTAGTCCACGAGCTGACAAGACCAACGTCCACAATTTAGTTGGTAATGTCAGCGAAGCGGTCCCAAACGCCATGGCAGCAGACACTTAATGTCTAATATGTTGCATTTTTATTATGATTATCAATTTGTGTTTTTTGTTACTCCATGTGTAATGGAGCCAAATAGGGTGTAATGTAAGATCTACTACCGTCGTTAATGAGCTCATCTATATGAATACAAGACAGTTAAAGTATCATTAGTACATACGTAAACCACGTGTGCTGGATGTGTTACCTTTCCCTTGATCGGTGTCTGTATACGTACATGTGAAGTGGAATAAGGTGCTGCAATAAACCGTTTAAAACCACAACATTGTATAGAATAGGCATGTGGAGATGGTATACCCTTTATTTCCAGAGTCGCTATATCTAGTTTATGACCAAAATGGCACTTGGCCTCGCATACCCTATATACGGCCCAGTCCCACCCACAGACGCACTAAACAATCCATCTAATTGGGGATAGTTACCGTCTCATAATCTAGAAAATTGCACCGTATTGACAGAAAGTGCCTCACCTGTTGTTATATCGTATTTTAATCGCTGATACTCACGCCATTTTATGTACTAAAACTTTCACAATTAAATTGGGTCCATGTTTTAAAAGAAGAAGCCCAGAATTTTACCACCGGTGTGCTTACGACGGGCCTCCTCGTGGTCCATGATACCGTAGGCAGTAGTTAGCACAAGGTGACCGAACTGCCTGCTGGGCAAGATGTTAGAACTCCATTGCTCAATGTCGTCGAGGGCAATGTTGTAGCGAGGAGACACAACAGCGCACTTGTTGATGCGTCCAAGAAGCTCGATCACAATCTTGCCACTGCGATGGTCATCAGCGATGTGGAATTCGCCAATGTAACCGTGTTTCTGCATACAGAGCAGGAACTTGACAATCACGCGGCTTGATGGCCTAATCAAAACGCGCCTCCTACCACGCTTCTCAGCGTTGACGATGGTCTTCAGGCAATCAGCCAACACACTCATACGAACCATCTGTAAACAATGTCAGGAAAGTCTCCAATGGGGTAAAGAAATACAAGCCCGAAATACCATATTTGAGCCGTGAAATTGAAGCTCTTTACCTACCTTGAGTATAGTCTGAAACTTCACGAGGCCTACTGGCTTTGGTTTAAAACAAAAAATCTCCCCACAGCGTCCCCAAGATAAACGGATGCCGAAGACTAGAAATTGTAGGTCTTGAATAACAGCTATTAACGCCTCGGACTCGATGACGAACGACCGTGGGGAGGCGGTCGCTGTGTTACGCCTGGCCAGTGGGGATGGGTTGGTGACGTCCTTGAACATGGTTCCCAGGACCTTGACAACCGTGGCAAACACTGTAAACATATTCAGAGGTTATGGAAGAGATGAGTTCAGACATCAGAATACTAGGCCACTAGGGTCGGCAGCAGCGCGGGTTCCGAGGTGTGACCATGTCTTTCACAGCGACAAAATAGGGTTACACAGCTAAAAACTTTTAATACACATTAAATCCATTGCTTGAGTGTTATGATCGAGCGGCCTTTGGCAGCACGAGGAACTAGTGGTACCCATAGAACGACCTGTCCAGTGAGTGCTTACAGCATCAGGGTTTGGTAATGTGACCTTCCAAATGTTGGATGTAATGCTGAAAAGGTCACTTGAGTTGTATAACTGACCATTGTCGTCGTAAACAACTACGAATTAGACTATTTCATCGGCAACAATGTGACATCACGACCACCGTTGCACGCTTATTTAGCTTCACATTTCTTATGTGTAAGGTGAAAGTGACTGATTGACATACAATTCCGTAGCATGTAGGTTTGTGGTTAATTTAAAGATTGAAGACTCCGTTTTTGTGACGTCACGACCCCTCGCGAAGTTAACTCACACTAAACTGAATTACAGTACGACAAAAACGAATGTCAATTTCACATATGAATATAATAAACTTATTTCTCATTAAAACTATCACGTTGGTGCTCAATATCACCGAGCATTGCGTGACATAACGGGACAGTATTGAACTTAAGGTGGTAATGGCCAACATAAGAGCCCAATCGACGGTTATAAGAATAAATAATGGGTAAAAGATAACAGAAGTTAACAAACTTCATACGTTGACACAAAGGCCACTGCTGCCTGCTCAAGTGTGTTGCCACGTTTAAGGTAGGACCAGAGAAGCGTCTTAAAGAAACTATATTGTTCAATGAATATATTTTGTTTCAGCAAAAAAAATTCAAGGAATCGGTACATTGGCAAGGGTCATAGAATCCGTTACGAACACAGCGAGAAAATACGACATCACCTAGGGAAACTTCGCTATAGAGAGGTGTATATTAATGCTGAAACTTCGCAAATACATTAAATATATTAAGAGTAAGAATTTGGAACCATATTATGCAGGTGCACACTGCCAAACTGGCTCTATATAACATGACGCACTTGCCACATCGCGTCCCACGTAGCAATTAGTGTACAGACTCCCCACGACATTGAAATCAAATTTTTAAAAAAAATATAATTTCTAAAATTGCAAGGTGCAGGTAGTGACGCTTTGCAAAATACCAGGACTGTGACCGTGTCACAGAAACACCCATTTCAACCGACCAGACAAAGGAATCATGGATTTGAAGCTTGACGATACCATAATCTCGCCCGGATCACCAAGGCAGGTACCGAGACTAACGGAATGCTACCATGACGGAGCTGTCGACTGGGAGAAGCTTCTGGCATACCTTGACCACCATGCCGAAGCCTTCCCATTGATGACGAGCCTTGCGCGCATCCTGAAGCTATCACCAGGAATAGTCTTGTCAATCTCAGTAGTCTCAGTGATCATACTCTTTGCTTGTGGAAAAGGCACAGCAATGATATGCGACGCCGCGGGACTGCTATACCCAGGATACAAAACATACAAAGTCATCAAGCACTTTGATGGAAATCCAGCCATCAGAAGGGCAGCTACACAGGAATTAAATGGTGCTGTAGGGATCGATGGGAGCACTCCCCAAGAACAATTGATGTTCTGGGCAAAGTATTGGGTAGTATACTCCCTGGCATTCGTATTCAAGTACATACTGTTCGCCGTATTCTTCTGGTTCCCATTCTTCGATATTTTCAAGTTATGCTTCGCGGTGGCCATGTTCCACCCAAAACTAAAGGTAGGACTACCAAGTTACCAGTGGAGACTCTAATCAGTTTCAGGGAGCGGAAGTTGTATTCAACCTACTAGTATTCCCAGTGCTCATTCAATACGAACAGCGTATTGATAGTGCACTGGATTTCCTAGACAAAAAGATGACTACAATGCTAAAGTATTATGGACAACGTGCTATGGACACTGGGTTGAGGGCACATCTCGCAAAAAGTGAGGCAAACATGAAGGCAACTAGCAGTGGCAAGTGAGACTACTGTGACTCGCAACCACAACAACATACGCTTGTTATATCGCAATAATGAAGTGTAGTCTCGCCAAATTCAAACCATGCTCTTACAAAATGTATATAACGACATGGAGTGTGCCGAAACACCGCAATCCGGTGAACGTGACAGAAGGCCTGTCACATGGCGTTTGAAACCATAACTGAATGTATTAAAATACTCAACAAAACAAAAACATTAAAGTATTACTCATTAGGTTGGTAGATTCGGTAGAGACCGACGCAACGGGGACTGCGTTTAAGAAAAAGGTGCGATGTGTTTTCACAATAACGGAATCACCATGGAGCTTTCACATAGTTATCGCCGCGATATCGGTTTGGAGGACGAACAGGTGGGTAAGAACGCTCTTGGTACTCACCGTGAACCTCGATGTTGCGACCATCGAAATCATAACCGTTGTATCTAGAAACAGCCACTTTAGCATCTTCCACTGATTTGAAAATACAGCCACCAGTACCCTGATAGACTTATGGGTCCCAAGAAAACGTGACATTACCTTAGAGCGGTCGGTGTGGTCATAGTCGATCCATGCCATGTCTATTTCCCCAACCTCCGAAAATAATTCCTGAAAAATCACAGACTACCACACCAGACACGCACCTTCAGCTTATCTCCAGATACAGTGTAATCCAGGTTAGCTACCTTCACGATGTACCTACGACTACGAGCCTCGTAGCGCGGTCGTTCGTAACGTTGAAGGTGACCTCTGCGAGTTCCAGGAGAATCATCCCGATGCTTATAACTGCGATAATCCCGTCTACGGTCGCGATTAGAGCTTTCAGTGCCCTTGTCTTTGCGGATTACGCGGGCTTTGTGCATCACCTTGTCGACGTCGTCTGAAGTTATGAGATGAGAATGTCTGACACTCACCCAATGACATGTCTAACAGCCGTGACGCACGCTCTGTAACACCTGACGTCATGGTGTCCCAGCTAGATGGACAATAGGAGAGCTATAATCTCCCTTACGAGGCGGCGCGTACTCGGGAGTCTGTGTAACGGTTGCTCTGTATTCCACGCGCAACAGAATGCCACGCGCTAAATAAAAACACTTTTATCAAAAATAATTAATATAAGAAGGTTGTAGGCTATTTGGGGCTAAAAACTTTGGCGGTAACTCCACACTCATCACTAGAGATCAGCCGTAAAGGCACTAGCAGGGCGCAAACGCAAATAATCTCAGCAGCCGCCCGAAATAGGCGGTTGCAAGTGATCTAAGACATCTGAAGGTATCCACGGAGCCGGATTCTACGCTTAGCTGAAACGCCAAAAGTCAATTTTTAGCAAAAGGTCATGATACTTTACGATTCATGACACCTGGATTCCAGAGCACAAAAAAGGACCTACGGATGATCCAACTCTACCTTATATACAATGAAAGCCGCACAAAGCTGCGACATTTGCGGAGAGGCGTTCAGTCTCATCAGTAGGAGGCGGGTATGCAAACGCTGCAAGCGAAGCTGCTGCAACAATTGCATTGATGATACATACGTCCATCCTACTGGAAACAGCGCAAGAGTTGGAGATGCCGAACCAACGGAGACATGTACGGATTGCATACTTGCAGAGGCAACAAACTACTCCATATCGGTGCAAGAGGAATTGGACGTCACTGAAGAAATAAACCGTGGACTGAAAAACGAACTTAAACGGCAATTGCATGCAATGGAGAAGTTTCGAGGATTTCTCGTTGAGTTTTGCGAGGCCTTCTCACCTGAATCGGCGCTCTTCACAGAAAACACAAGCGGCAAGGGGGAACAAGGCACAGCAACTAAAGTGGATTCCACACAACCTATCGCAAATCTTATTGACCTAGGTGCTGAAAGTCTGCAGAATCTATATGCACGCATAAAATTGATGAGATCCGAACTCGAAGCCACACGCACCGGGAATGAGCACCTCAGGAAAACGCTAGACCAAGCACGAGAACAACTAGACGCAGTTGCACGTGAAAGAGATTGTATGAAAACGTCTCTAAATCGTGTTAACGAGGCCGTATTACGATTGGAAGCAGAAAAGCAACACATCGCCGACCTGAGGCGTGATTACGATGCCCTAAGGGTACGGTGTGCCAAGATGGAGGAACAGCAGAGCCAGTTGTCAGCACGAAGCAATGCCACATCTCTGCCGCGATATGACGAGTCATACGAATGGAGACCGCGATATTCAGCATTATTTTCCCTTTGTTGTCCACGCATAACATTTTGAACCGAACATCACCTATTTTTAAAAGGCTGGACTAAATTAAAGCTAGCGTGATCAAACAGTTCATAAAATAGATGCACGAATTTTATACCATATTAACGATCAGTAGTATACATTAGTATGGCTTCTTTTCCTGAAATGTTGAGTAAATAGTCGACAATTGTTCACCGCGCTGACGCAGCTGCACTTCACAGCGTTCAAGCTGCTCGCTCAGGCGGCGGTTCTGTTCCTCGGCTGCTTGTAGCTTCTGAGATGCCTGTGCATGACGGCCTTGCAATAGAGTAAGCTCCTCGGTAGACTTGCCAAGGCGGCCCTCCATCGCCTGGAGCTCTCGGCCAAGACGCTGCACTTCACTCTCAGCGGTTTCCTTCGCGGTACGCAAAGTGCCAATGGCACTCTCATTGTTGCGGCAGCGATTAGATAAATCTTCAACTTGAAGTTGACGCTCCTGTAACTGACTGTTAGCCTGTGATGTCTCCTCCTTGCTACGTGCAAGGTCGCCCTCCAGTTGCCGGTGCTTCGACATTAATGATATCAGCATACGATAAACACGCTCTACCTGTGCGTTAAGCTCGACAATCTCCTGACTCAAACGACCATTGTCGCTCTCCACGTTGCGTAGTTTTTCGATTGTTTTGTCGCGCTGTTCCAACTGGCCCTGCAATCCCGTCACCTCGGTCTTCAGTCGATCACGTTGTGACGCTGCCTCGCGTAAGTTTTCGTTAGCCTGGGCACTTTCAGCAGTGAGCTTGCGAAGTGCTTGATCCAGCTCGCTAACTTGATCACGTAACCGGGCACATTCTCGGTCTAACTGTTGGGCCTGGGAAGTTACCGAACTAAGCTGACTTTGTGCGTTGGCGAGCTCAGCTTTTGACCTCTCAATCTTGACGTTAGACTCCTCACGTAGTTGTTCAAGTTGCTTTGCTGCCGATGCTTTATGCTGTTGCAACTCCCGGGCCTGAGCTTCAATGCGGGCGTGGCTCTTAAGCACCTCACGGCGATGCGCCGCAAGTTGAGCCTTGTACCGGGCCAACACTTCCAGGTGTTGCTGCTCGTGAAGTGTGCCTTTGGGACAGAGCAATGCGTGTATGAGGCTCTGTTTGCTCACTTCACTTGAGATGTAAAGGGATGCTATTGTGGCGTGGACGCTCAGCAATCCAGCGACCCTGAAATTGCGTGTTGGATTAGGTACAGAGGAGTCCTCAGAAAGTGCACGTAAAAATTTCCCCTCACTAGCCAGGCTACCTGCTCCATGGTATTCACTTATCCCGGCGTATGTGGAGGTATAGTCGTGTAAAATTGTAGCGACATCTGGGCAGACCTTTACAGCACTACAAAGAGCACACAATACAAATGTGCCCGCATCCATGCCATCTGATCTGTATCCTACAAGCGCATCGTATGCTACTAACTTCGTAGCAAGATCGCCAACGCACAAAAGTCTGTGCAAAGAGTCACACGACACGTTGGTAGCATGCAGAGATACCAACCGTAGCTGCTTAGCATTGACATCCTTCATGGCAGTAACCAAATCAGACAAAGCACCCGCTTGAACGAACGCATCAAGTAGTGCCACCTTAGTTACTAGACCAGTAGGATCAGCCTCTGTCGATCCGGTAGGTTTCTTCAGTCCGACTACAGTGAGAATGTGTTTTATAAATTTGCCACGCAACTCCGCGCTCATAGATTTCGTCACATCACATCGCAACAGAATGCGACGCATAATCAATGCCATTATTACCTGGATGGGACCGATGCTAAGTGTCGCAACGTTCAAAAAAGTCTCAACGGCATTGCCGACGGTGTCAGTATAACGCTCGAGCATACCCGATGCCCCTCCCATAGCGTTGGCAACATCAGGCAGTGTCTTAGGACAAGCATCAAATAAGAGATAAAGCATTTGTAGGATGGGTACAGCCAGGTCGTCCATTTTGTTGTGGATGAGGTTGCACGAGTGAAGCACAAATATCGCAAAAGTCTTTTGCGGATTCATACGCTCATCAGCATACCTTACAAAACCTGAGTCACGCATACAAATAGTAAGAGCGTTAGTTATAGCTTGTAACTGAAGCACGCTTTTAGTCTTGGTCATATACTCAAACAGTATCCTGGGGATGGAGTGGTTGCCATGAGCCAAATCGGATGGACACAAACGTACATAGACACAATAGGACCATAGTAAGAGTGATCTTCCAACGTTACTAGTCTCTAGAGTGTTGCAGAGTGCCTTTACTGCCTTGACCAATAGTTCGCTGTTGCCGAACTTCACGCCGCGAGATAACAAACCGCTCAAGACGCTCCAGTGCTTCGTGAAAAGTGCATAACGGTCTCCGATATCAGGTGCCAGCCTATCATCTATCATTTCGTGAGTTGAAGGTGAGTAAGCCGTACGGTCACCGCTGCGGATAGCCTGCTCCACGAAGCAACACGCAACACAACCTATTGTATCGTAAAGATCGCCATCAATGGCAAGCAACTCTTCTGTACATTTACCATCATCCACAAGTAACACATCCAACAAATGAAGACACAACGCGTAGAGGAGAGATATGCGCTGCGCTACGCGGCGGTCGAGCGAAGCAAACGGTTCCGACGCTTCGACCGTGGAGCGCCACACCCCCCTGCTTAATAATGAAAAAAAACGACGCGCTGTATCAACACCATTACCAGAAGCTATTGCTGGGCCGGCAGCAGAAGCGGCATAAATTACGCGTATCACATTTAGGACGTGCACATACACGTTGGCGCCGTTACTCCCCAAATCATCTGGCTGCGACGACAAGTACCCAATTTGGTGATACTTTGCAAGCACAGAGAGAATGGCGATGGACGTCAAGTGGTCAGTTGACGTTAGCCCCGAGTCGGCTATGTCGTTGAACGTCAGCTGCTTAGAACCCCCGCAAGTGGACGCTGTGCTAAGCGCATCAGCACGACCAAAATACGAGTGTAACAAGCGCTGACAATGTTTAGTAACTAAGCCTTCGCATTCCGGCGTATTCAAATAGCGGCTTCTATAAGGGTTGCGCTCGAACTTCTGCAACTCTGGACGACCCAAAGTAGCACTTGAAACCTCACGAACAAACGTTACACAATCGTCGAATATGTCCGTCTTGCAATAATGGCCCCCTGCAACGATGGCAGGTTTGGCAGGAGCACCACTATTGGTATAGTTTATAGTAGTACCGTATGTTGCACCGGTACCAGGTTCGAATTCACCCGCAGGAATACTAGACGTGACTTCACCATTTTTGATAGAATCGTGACGCATATATTCAGTTCTTCCGTTCTGATCGCCGGGATTAGCGATGTCCAACGGTTGTGTCGGTAGCGCTGCGAAGCCACCGTGGTACAGACTGCCGTAAGTTGCCTCGCGGCCCATTTTGTGAATGGTGCCACTTCAAGTTGGCTTTGCACACCTGTGTTATGTACAACGAGAGTTATGTCACAGTGCTATGTGGCAGCCTGCAGCTGCGATCATTATTGCGCTGTCTCCCTAACGAAGAAAAATCACGGGCAACGGCGTCGCTGCAGCACTTATCGACGACGAATTAGATGCGAGACGCTTCTAGACAACGTCTCCTTCACAGGATTTTCCTCACGCCTGTCTGCACAAGGTACATGCGTCGCCCAGTGTCTCGCAGCTTTGGACTCGCTATTCGCCGACGTCCTTAGGATTCCGCGACAATGGAACGGTGTGTCCAAGAGAATAACTGCTCTGAGAGACTTAAAGAAACAGGATGTGTCCCTGGTGCCCCTGTAACTCGGCAGAAGATGTATTCTCGGTCAGATCGGTGAACAAAATGAAGTAGCGTCTACACACCGTCCTTAATAGTAGCTTGGATTACACGGGAACAATTTTATATGACTTAATAGTACAATATGCCACAAAATATGAAACAATTGTGGACCCGGTGTCCTGAACCAGCTTCCGGTGTCGACCAAACGCTCCTGCTAATGGAGATGTCGTTCGGCCAGGCTCACACGGAATGCGATTCCACTACTATAGCACCTCGGCAACAACCCGCGGCCCGAACATCTCAACGGGAAGGGAATCCTTCTCATGGAGAAAGTTGATAGAGTGCGCACGGCGACAGCTTGCGCTCGTACAAGGTATCTAAAAGCTCTCCGCATATGGGGGATAGACAACGCCGCAACTTGCGCCACGAGAGTTTAATATACATTTCGGTCATCGGAACAGTGCCTTAGTTGGTACATGCGCTGTTGGAAATAGTCAAAGCCGCCATTTATGTACGAAGGTCCGACATCCGCCGGGTAGACACCTACTCAGCGGCTGACAACATCTGACTTCGTACGCGGAATAGGAATTGAGTTGCATTACATAATGCGCTTTGTCCTAAGGCGGCGGTGACACCGTGTTCTCCAGAGAGACTCGCGCATTCTAGCTATCCCTCAGTTGCAGCGGTAAGAACCACGGTATTACGGGCGCAATGCCGATATATGCCGCAAATTTTTAAATGGAAATAACTGATCTAACATTGTATATATTAGGTATTGTCAACCGGGCGCTCCAACGCGACAGTGCCCGCTCCAGATATTTGTAACAAGTTTTTCGAGGTGAACCTTGAGTTACCCGTATCTCGGAATCAATTTTCTACTGGTATTATCACATATATATCTAGGTTTCATCAATGAATACCTGTTACTGGATCAGTGGGTGTGTCCGTGTCAGCTTCAATACTTGCCCATTTTAACTGCCCATTAGGAAGTATAGTTAGCGATTTCAATGTATATCGCACTGTGTATAGAAAGATTATTAGATTGAGTGTAAAGATGACAGAAATATTGGCATATATAGACAAGTCAGCGTGACGCCACAGCGAGAGGTGTTCGGACGTAACACTCAGATGAAAGCCAGAAAAGTAACAATAGTTGGCAACAATCGACCAATGCGGGTCAAAGTATTCGAATGGCTGATTCTCTGCTGCGCTGTCATCCCTTCTGTGGTCTTAGGTCTCGTTGATCGTACCAACGCTGCTAAGATAAATCGTTTTGGAAACGTAGAGGCCACTGCAATAGTAAACAATTTGCAACCACACGTATCGCGATCGAAATACCTGGGAAATCTCGGCAGTGATATACGGTGTGGAACACCGAATACATCTCAGCGGGCATTCCTTTCACCGAAGGCAGGCATCGGGTCACGCTGTTGGTACAAAAAACACTGGAATAAGAGGTACTATGGATACTATAGCGACTGTACAACGCTTGCTGTTGGTAACATGCAGAATGTAGCGGCAAAGAGATCTAACAGCAGCTCAAAACATGAACCCATTATTGGAGGGGACATCGATACTCCACCTGGAATCCTACACACTGCTGAAACGCCAGAGATGCGCAATTTCACGGATGAGATGTGGAAACAACAGGTACCTCTGCGTGAGGCTGTGGAACGTCTTAACCTGTTAGAACCCATACAGCCAGACAGCGTATTGGACAATTTCATGTACGGCAAGAGTACGCAGAGCGTTGATGAGCTTGTGAAACAGGAAAATGAAAGTGAAACAGGGCACAATGATGAAGAGGTGATCGGTTATGTTGCGCCAACGGAATATGTTGACGAAAAGCAGTACCTCGCGGAAACTCAAGAAACAAAGCCTGACAGAAGCACGGTTGTGGACTCGCCAATGGAGGAGGACATGTCCGATGATGAGGACGACACAGGTATATACGAAGTCAACTACTCTGCACTCAACAGCAGTGAACGGCAGTTAGTACTCACACTGATGTACAGTAAGCTGGAGGAACCAGAGAGCCATGAGGAAATCCTCAAGGAAATGCTAGCAGGAGATATGGGAGGTTTGACAGAAAAACAATGTAGGACATATTTTGACAAATTCAGACGTATAGGAGATATACTCCTTGAACTGAACAAAACCGTACAGGTGAAACCACTGCAAACGGACTGGATACCAGAAGTGCAAGCGCGGATACGAGATTTTGTTTCCAATATGGGACACGAAGTTACGTCAATAAAGTGGACGGAGCATAGCTTGATTATCGCGCTGAAGGGCATATTTGCGGAAACACGTTTAGAAAAGCTTCATGAAGCCTTGGCGGCATACCTCCGCACAGATGCAGGAGCTGATATCTGCCCAGGGATTAAAAACATTGGTATACTGCTCTGCATGGCCACTCCTGATGAGGGTGAAAGTTAAATGTGAGCTTGCCGAAACTTAGGTGATGTGCTCCGTCGTCAAGTGTCAGACGTCGTACTTCTGTCGTGAACAGCAGGGTAAACTGTCAAACACAACTTAATAGTGATCAAACATTGTGATATATACCACACTACCACCTGTATTGCGTGTGTCTGGTGTACAATAGGTAGTCATTCCAATGCTACGAGGAACACGCCATTCGCTCATATATAGCTGATGTGTGTCTCCACAACCATTGCTGGAACAGGCAAGACCTAAAAAACTTATGTCGGACACTAAATAGCCGTGTAACACAGTCCTTTTTTAGCGAAGCGACAACACAGCCGATCTGTCTAACTTCTTGCAGTGCTATGGCGTCAGGGCACACTTCTAATATAAGAATGTCTGGCAATTATTACATCAAATTATTAAATTCATATATTATTTATTTATTAGAATTTCCGCGTTGAGAACTAATATCTGTTCGTCCGGGTCACCAGATTAGCCAACCTTCCGCGTCCTTTTCCCATTGGAATTACATCTCAGACCTGAACTAAACTAGAACTGCAAAAGCAATATAAATTTTGTTTGGAGCAGCCGTTAATGTGCTATTACTCTTATATAATTTTAAAGGAAGGGCAAACGTATGCCGCTTAAGCTGAAAGGTGGGTAGCGCAATCGGCGAAAAAGATTGACATCTCAATCAAACCATAATACACATGTTCAGAGTCTGTGACGGTATTTCTATCCGTCAGAAAGGGATTAGAGGCGTGTCTTCTAAACGAAATTAAAAGAAATCCGCATCTAAATCACATCGAACGAATACATTTCAAACGACAGGAATCTTTGCGTGATAGCCACCAGAAAGGTGGCATAACTAATGAAGGTTTGATAAATAAGGGGTTGGACCTTGGGAGCACTATAATCCAATCTGACGGGATAGACAAGTGGCGCTATATTCCGGGGTCTGAAACTACTCAAACAAAGGGATCTGTGGGTTGCACAAACGCAGAACGCAAAACAAAACTAGTCGAAGGTTGTACCATCCGATTACAATCAGGTGGACTGGAGGTGAAGTGCAACAGGGAGTGGCTTATAGGTTGCGTGATTAGTCTGAGGTCCATTGAAAGCGTATGGTTGCGTGTGGGAACGCCTTTCAGGTGTCATAGCGCTGAAGATCTTACGCAACGTGTGGCATTATTACCTTGGGGGAAACACCTACCGCACATACCGGTAGAAGATATCCCTTTACGTGTAATCAGTAGACACTCGAGCGTTTGGTCCCGCGCAGTCATCGAGGAATGCTTAAAGCAAGGCATACGTTCCTATTTTAATCAAAATACAGAAGTTGTCGCTCTCTCAGAACCGAAAGCTGATGACTTCTGTATTTCTGTAACACTCAATCGGAACACGTGCTACGTCGCAGTTCAATGCTCGTCCAGGCTTTCCCCTAGGCGATTCAATTTCAATAATAACCTAAGTTGTGTTGATAACGATCGGTTTGCAGAATTGAATGCACCATTCTGGTCGATTTACAGGACCAAGATACAGGCACACCTAGACGCCACAAAAAAATCCTCAATTGCTGTATCAAAAGATACGACACCAAAGTTTCATCTGGAATGCGAAACGCAAGCTAAATCTGTACAACGCGGTAACTTCATTGAGGAACAACAATTATTAGGAGGGGATAAGTACGATACTGCAGATGCACTTACGGCCGGACTTCTGCACGCTGGTAACATATTCAAGACGTTCAAAAACACACCACTGCGGGTAAGTTGCTACATATGTCTGTTGTAAAAGACACAGATTTGGAATCCGTTTTGTGGGAACGGACTTGTCGTCAGCGAAATCATATCATTACTCCTCCAACTACCAAACTTCACAAGGCAGAACCCACCATCGGAGTTATTCAGACAACTGAATGCCGACATCTCTATAGATACATACGATGCCGTCATTGAGAAGTATCTAGGATCAAAAAGGCAAAAGGTTACGGATGTAGAAATAGTTGCATCCGATACAACTGTTTTAAAATTAACTCAAGCCGCCAAAAAACTAAATGGGCTCTATCACTACTACAGTCCAATTTTCGATAACGGTACCTGCTTTATTAAACTAAAGGAAACAGTTTGCAGAGGGGAGCGTGGATAAGCAATTGAACGAACAGTCTACTACCTACAGACACTATTGCAATAGGTATGATGTGAATGCAGGACTTTAGAAACTGGTGTGCAGATTGCCTATATCTGTATCGTTGCATCAAGGCTCACTGGGAACTATAGCGCCCCTTATTCACCGGTCCTTAATAATAGCGAAAATACCGTCCATAAGAATACGGGTAAGTATTGGCTGAAAGAGATAGTAATGGACATCTTAGAGTGGTACACGTAACACATACGAGACTATTCAAGAGTACAGAGAATTTGGGCACATAGTTGCTTCTAGATCTGATTGGAAGGGAGTTTTTGCCATCGCTAGGGTAGGAGGAAAGCTAGGCATGGAGATAATTTTTATCAGGGTACTGGATTTGAATATTATAGTGGACTGGATTGGCATTGTATAGCGAAGGTTACTGGTTCCGCAGGAGATATCCTTAAACTCCTCAAGTGAGATACATATTGTATATCTCTCACTGCCATTCAGATGGTCCGGAAGGGCACATCACGTTACGTCGCATGAGGAAAGACTGGGTCAACTGCGTGGTTTGGAGTGCTTGTAGGACTACAATTAAGATGACGATTTGCCAGGGGAATTTTTCCAGCAGTCTCCTATGGGGACCTATATTGCTACTGGCGCTATCGCAAACCATGGCGTTTCGTAAGTTTCGGGTATGGTTAGAGATATCTTCACAGGGCTTTCTTTTACCAAGCGTCCGTGTTTACGTGCAAGTCATTTGTAGGTGAACTTGTTAAAATGTGGAAATATGTTACAGAATGGCCAAACCCATAAAGGTGGCTGTTATCGGCAGCACAGGGAGCATTGGCACCCAGACTCTGGACGTCATTCGTAGGATTAATGCCGCATCAGATGAGCCAAAGTTCGAAGTAGTAGCTTTGACTTCAAACTATAAAGTTGCGGATCTTGCGAAGCAGGCAGTGGAGTTCATGTAGGTTATACCTAGGGTATTGTAAGATAGAAACAGGCCCGAAGTTCTCAATATTAACACTGGGGTAGAAGAACTGCAACAACACGTCTCCGGCAATTGCCAAATCACTCATGGTAAGGAAGGAGTTTTGGACATCTGCAAAAAACTGGAGTATGACCTGTTGGTAATGGGTATATCTGGTTGCGCCGGTATAGAGCCCACCATTGCGGCAGCAGGGGCTGGGAAGCGGTTAGCTTTGGCTAACAAGGAGTCCGTGGTATCTGCAGGTACAGTGGTGGATATCATAGATTTTATCGGCACTTGCAGGGAATCTGTTGCGAAAAGCAGCAAATGACACCAAATGTGAAATAATTCCAATAGATTCGGAACACAATGCGATATACCAGTGTCTGATGTCGTCAGCACGAGATTTCGTGGACCATATCAAACAGAGGGACTCCAGGCCATTGTGTGGCATATCTAGGAACGTTATCAACAGCGTGAAACGACTTATTCTCACAAGCAGTGGCGGACCTTTTAGGGATACGGATCCATCTGTGATGAAGACCTTGCGATTCAAAGATGCGCTCAAGCATCCGGTATGGAGCATGGGTGCCAAAATAACTGTAGACTCTTCAACCATGATGAACAAGGGGCTGGAGGTCATAGAAGCACACCATCTTTTTGGAATTCCATACGATCGCATCCGAGTGCTTATTCAGAAAGAATGTATCGTACACTCATTGGTGCAGTTTGTTGACAACTCAGTTTTGGCGCAGCTCTATAACCCTGATATGAGGCTTCCAATTGCATACGCACTTAACTGGCCAGATAGACTCGATAATACCCTGCCGGAATTGGATCTAGTTAAGCAGCCACTCACTTTCGCGGAACCGGACCTGGAGAAGTTCCCGTGTCTCAAATTGGCATACGATGTTGGCAAGATGGGAGGGCTGTATCCTACGGTTTTGAATGCTGCTAACGAACAAGCGAACGAAATGTTGAGACAAGACAGAATTGCGCACTGGGAGTTGTACGATCTGGTGAAGCGCGCCATAGAAGATTTCAAACCTCCAGAAATAGAACACTTGTCTATAGAGGATATAATGGACGCGGATGCATGGGGTAAAGACCATGTCATCAAATTTTTCGGTGATCGAACTTAGAATTCTTAAACTCGACAACTGGCAACCGCTAATCTGTAGTATTCGTCTCATTGTACTCATAGTGCGTAGGTTATACAAATACATAGACAATCCACGTAGATATACTTATGAGATTTGGTTGTTACTTGCTTGAACTGTAAAAAATTGCTATCATTACCATGGCTGCTGTCACGATTGTGTCATAGAGCCTTCAGTGTTGACTTTTCAAATAGTAGTTAAGACTGTGTTAAGCAACATTATCGTAAATGGCTAGCCATACAAGATTCCATTCATATCACCACAATCTGTTTTACACATTACCACAACACAAAGTGGTGTGCTACAATATACATGTAACTAAATGAGTTGCATTATTCTGGTATGCACTTATAAAGTGTGTTTGTAGGTTAACAAACTTGAAATGTAGTGTCTTTGTTCTAAGCCGTTATTCGAGAAGCGTAGTTACTCCCCGCATGCTCGTGATGTGGATGATGGTGATACTACTACAAAGACACCGACGATTTCCCCTGTGATTACGTCGTAAACACTCCTCAATGCCTTTGTTTGGCAGTGGTATTGTCTAGACGTGTATGTATCACCATAAAGGATAGGGGGACACTTGGGGACACTTGGAGACACTTGGACAATGCGAGTAATAAGTGGTGAGGAAGTCTCAACGTACCGAAATAACAACAAACGTGTCTAACATGATGAAGACTCTGCTAAGTGACACGTCGTCAGAGTTTGAGCTCATCAGTAGATACCGCTGCCATAGGGTACAAATGGAGTTGTTAATGTAAGGGCTACCGTAAATATGGTTGGCCCCGGTAATGAAACGCGGTATACCGGCTGTAGCTTTAATCCCGCGATGCCGTTCAAGGGGAATTGCGTGCTGGAGGCTAAGCTAGTTATTAATAATAAAATGCGTTCACTCATAAAAAGCAAGGTTACGACACTCTATCTAGAGTTTTTTGTTTGAAACTGATTTACATCTAAAGAAATGGTAAGATACGGCCTTTTACACGACGTATTGACGTGAAAGAGAGGGAAATCTACTTATGAGCTGTGACATCCCAAAGGTTTATTGACGATTTGTCTATTGTAGCCGCATCGAATTAATATTTTATACGAATAAATGATATAAACTAAGT